CGGAGAACGTTGGTACTCGGAAAGTACTTGACTACAACACTGTTGCTGTCCCTCCACTTCTATCCTGACCATCGCATCCCTCCGCACTTACCTTCCTCTGTCTGGGCTTTCTTCTTGGCCCGCTTGATCTTCTTCTTGAAGACCTTGGTCAGGAACTCGGCAAACTTGTTGTTCTCGCCCAGTGAGGCCTGGAAGTTGGCGTAGAGCGCCTTCTCCCTCTCGTTCAGCCGGTCGATGTCCTTGCGCTTGGCATCCAGCTTCTGCTGGCATTCGGCCACCTGTACGCGATGAGACCAAGACCAACTTTGGCCGATATCCTAAAACGGCAGCTTAGAAATTAAAGCTGGGAATTTTTACAGTCCGTGAGGTTGACTTTGCATCAATAGAGGATTGAACAAAGAGACATTTTGTGGAAATCGGGAGCTTGAACCGATTTCTGGAACACCCTGACAGATCTCAACCCTTGTTACATGGTTTAATTCCATAACAGGAAACTGTCTTTACTCAACCAAAACTTGCTGATTTCTTCAGGTCAAGTGCTCAGAAGCCTGACTCATATTCTGGCCTACTTGGATTCCAACCAGAGTACCGCAGGCGAGACAATCCAATGTAGAAGTGGCTTACCACAGAGATTTGGTAAGTACAGAAAATGTACGCTTAGCAAAAACAGGTTACGGGCCAAAGTGCCATGCAAAGGATATGACTTGCAACTGGTTTACTGCTCATCCATGTTCAGCACATGACCGGCTGAGCTCAGTGGAATTCGTTCCCATTGACAACCCTACCTTGACTTGGCTGTCAGATTTCTCTTTGATCTTGGTTTCCACTTTTGCCGCCAGGACGTTCTCCCGCTTCTCAAACTCCTTCAGGAGTTGCAGCTCCTCAAACAGCGTCACCCTCCTGCAACCCGTCAGTTCCAGTAGAGATCGATTAGTTTTCACTATTTCTATTTTCTCACTATGCAATGTATCCAAAACACACAAGTTGTAACCAAAGCATGCCAATATGTCTCTATATTAAAAACACCAAAAGGCTGCCTTGGTGCAGTAAGCTCCTTTGGAAATATGAACACAAAGAAGGAAATTAATATCAGTTCATGTGACTGTTAGGTGATGGTGAAGTTCCAGTTTGATGTGGCTTTGATTTCCATAAAAGATTAGGAAAGAGTCACACGGTGTGTCCTGATACTTTTTCATTTCCATACTATATTTGTCACTTTCATGACTGAAAATTTCAATCATTTTTCAGAGGCCAATCTTTGCAAAGAAAACACTTTAAAAACTCTAAGAAAAAAAAAGAATCTTCACACGGCACTTAGAGTACAGTCAGACAACTCTTGCCGAGTCTTGGGCTATTTTTATCCAGTAGACTTCGTTCAAGGCCTTTAACTCAAGAGTGGATCTCTGGAGACTTCTGACTCATTTCATATGGTTGGGTCACAACCGGTCAAAGAAATCATTTACCTGAGATCAGCGTGCTTCAGCTCGGTGTCCAGACTCAGCTTCTCATGCCGCAGCATGCGCAGCTCGGCGTCAAAGCTCACCACCAGCTCCTGGACCTGGCCGATCAGCTCCCCCTGCCGGTGGTGCAGGCGGATGGCCTCCATGGCCAGCAGTTGCTGCTCCAGCGGGGACAGCGGCTGGGCTGCGGAGTCGGCCCGGGATTTGGCTGAGAGCAGGGAGGAGTGGCGATAGGACAAGGGGGTGGTGGGATCCTTGTCCTTCTGCAATCCCGAGAAAAAAACACCGTAAATTATCAACCAAACTGCAAGGGACACTTTCAAGGCACTTGCATCTCAATTGTAAAGATGAACAAGGATATTGACTGGAGTGGGATTCTAACCTGCAACATCCGGAACACAGTGCTGGTAATCTACCAACGGAGCTTTCTAGCCCTATGTTCGTGGTTCTACCTCAATTTTTTATATGTTTGTTCAGGGGGCATCAGTCAATATGACAGCAGGAAAAATAATTGTGTACAGTAGTTCTTTTGTTGCGGTAGTAGCATGAGGGGTAGAGAGGCAGAATAAAATGAGCAGGTAAATTCACAAACAAAATAACGATGCCGTGAGAGAAAAAAAAACCAGACAGCGAGCAGATTATGAATGCAAAACAGGAACGGTGAGAACAGATCATCTACCAAGTTAGATATTGATCCACTATCAAGAGAGTAAAATAACAGATGACAGAAGTATTCAACATCACAAATTGTCAAAAGACAAAGCCTGAGGTGGGAATGAAGCTGAGATTTGGCACAAACCCTTCAGGTCCCAGAATAGCATAGCTCCTAACCTGCTCTGTGGTTCCACCTCCTCCGCCACTGCCGCCCCCGCCAGTATTAAATCCTGCCCCAAAGCCAAACCCTCCAGTGTCCCCTCCAGTCTTCTCCAGGATGGCCTTCTCTGCCATCTGAGCCTTGAACTGCATCAGGGTCTCGCGGGTGTACTCCAGTTTCCTGAAAGAAGGGGATGGACAGACAAAGGAAAGACAGAGATATGGATCTGCGGTCTGCAATGCAAAGATTAAGTGAAGGCACTCTTTGCGAGGGATGATTACTTGTCTCAACTCTTGCTTGAAAATTGACATCTTAACGAAAACCAGCTGGAGTACTGTTAACAACTGAGGGCAAGGTCAAGTAATGACCTGTTTGTCGACCACCGATCGATTTTCCCTGGTAACCTGTGCACAACATAAAATCTGGGTACCAGCAAAACTGACCACTGGTAGATAGGTGGTCATTGCTCGAGCCTGCCCTTAGCTTCTCCCATTTCCTAAACCCAAACCTTAGCTTTAGAGGTTTTCTGCTACTTGTGACCCAGACTTGTGACTGGACCTGTCAACAGACTTGCAAAAGGATCTGTGATGGGCTCGGCTACAGTCGCGTGCCAGATACGGGCCTTACTTCTCTGGTGTCTCGCAAGGATGCAGTGTGGGGCATTCGGGCAGCGGCTGCCTCTGGTTCTCCTCCAGGACCTTCTGGATGCCGTTCAGCTCCAGCAGATGCTCCTGGATCTCCTGGATGATGTGGATCTTCTTGTCGCGTAGGGCAACCACTCGCTTGTTGAACTCAGACTTGTGCTTATGGATCTGCAGGCAAATATCGGAAGCAGAGCTGGTAATGAATGATGAAGTTTGTAGCTGTGTGACCTTGCAAAGCACCATAAACATTCAAAATTAGAGTAGTTTAGTTTCCATTTTCTGTGTTTTTAAGGTTGCAATTATTGCTTAGCATGTGGTGCTAAATTCAAGTATTTTAAAAGTACTATACAGGTAATTCTATTTTTGTGTTTTTAAATAAAGAATGGGTAGTAATTTTTTTCGTGCAAAATACATGTTTGAGGCCCAAGAGGGATCCAAGGCAAAAGTTCATTTTTCCTCGACCTCATATAGAAATGTTAGCTTTGTTTTGTAATTAGCACACAAGATTATTAAAAATATGTTATGATATTTCATTCAAGATCAACATCATCTCTATCAAACGTTTCTAACTGGAGATGCAGGCGTTCAAAGTTAAAATGAAAGAGTGAAAGGTCAAAAGTTTACTGACTCATAACTCACAAACCATATAACCACAAAATGCTAAGATTTAAGGATGTGGAGTTTTTCAAGTGACCAAATCATTTCAGCAAATCCCAAGTAAATACGTAAGGCTGTTCTGAAGAGTGCTTGATTGAACAAAGAACGACCCTTGGGACAAAACAGATGAAAATAACTGAGAGGGTAAAACATTTTATTGGTACCATTTCTTCAAGGGTGACCAACTGGTTGCGTTTCTTGAGCGCATTCATGCGCAGGTGTTCAGGCACACTGTAATCTTTGGCTGTCTTCAGCTTGAAGTCTCCCATGTGGTCCTGGGCATCCTTGATGGCTGCTACGTCAGCTGGGTCCTCGTAGTCCTCGGGTGGCTTGCTGCAGAGAAGCTCCTCCCACTGCGAGAACGGAGGCCCCCCAAAAAAATAAGCACACCGTGATTACGGAGAAGTGCTTGAAATCTTTTAGTGTGCTAAGCACACTTCTGACAAAATTGATTCATTAGCTGCCCCAGTAGGAATTTTAATAATGTTAGCAGTTAGCACAGCTGGTGAGTCAGATCAAGAAATGCCAAGCAAGCTGTTCCTGCTTGGTCTGCTTTATGGATCACTCATTTTTCCCCACGGCAAATAAGTTTGTAGATTATGCCCTTCTGCAAAATTGTTTGGTTGCCAATACCACTGTTGTTGCTTCTAATCGGAAAACAAAGTGAAGTAACGGCAGCTAATGACCAGCTATATGCAAACTGAACTGCACCTGACCACCTTGCTCGACTCATTTTTGAAGTAACATGCCCTCAACTATGATGTGTCGTAAGTAAGTATGCAATTCTTGCTGTGAGGGTGCCCATCAATGACATCACATACACTGTAATCCTACAGGCTGGCCTCGAACCCACAATCTGCAAAATTACACCCAGTTTTTGAAGAACTATGGGTCATTAACCTACGGTGTGACCCAGCCCATCTTCCTTAACAGCATGGCTTCTTCTCTCCTTCTTCTCACCTGCTTCTCCCTGGCCAGCCTCTTCTGCCGCACCTTCTCAGCCTTTTGAAGGGCCTTGGCCACCTTCTCGCCGTGTCGTCCGGTCAGCACCGTCGACTTCTTCACATCCCGGGCACCGGCGGCCGCCAGTGAGGCCTCGGTCATGCTCTCGCCCAGTACAGGCCCACTGGTGGGAGTGCCCCGCGTGGGCTCCCGTTGCAGCCCCTTGTCCGACAGCACGGTGGCGCGCCGGGTCAACTCTTGCTTCATCTCGTGGAATTCCCTGGGCAGCTTGGTGGTCCGGTAGGTGGCCAGCTCATGGTCAGTCTGGATGGACACCACCACGATTCGCTCACATTCCAGCTCCGTTTTGAACCTAGTAATGAGAGTATTGCAGTCAATGCATGGATCTAAAGAACAGGGCCTGAGGGATGAATGCCCACACAAGTCAACTCAGCCCACCCAAAACTAAGACCTTTTTTTGAAGCAACTGACTATTTTTTAAGGCATAAGCATGATACAATTCAGCAAAACATGCTAGAAATTTTCTTCTTTTTTTTAAAACTTCCGATAAATCAAGAAACTGAACCCTCCCAAATCAATTTCAGGAGAGTATGAAAAGACAAAACCTTTCCAATCATTACAACCCTTGATAAATACTTCTGAAAGTCTTCAGCTCACAATTAAACAAATCCGTATTCACGTTTCCATCTTTTAAGATATCAAATACCCAACAATCCCCAGAAGGAAAAAGAAACGCAACAGACAAATAAAAACTCCTCAAATTGTGCTTGTTTTTTGGCTTCAGGCTTTGAAAAATAGGAAACAAACAGAAGAGGGTTTTTGGGTAGCAACAAAGAATTCCCCCTGTGGAAATTGATGAAGTTGGGTGCAATGTCACAGCCCTGCATTGGGAAGCTGTTCTTATTATTGAAGCAAATGATGTTGCTGCTTATAAAAGCACCATTCTGTGGCATGGATGTGCTTATTACTGCTATGCATGATGATTTCTGGTGTTACCTCACCGAATTCAAACACTCTTTTCTCTCCTAGATTAAGCATGCTTCTGCTGTGCTTACTGCTTAATGATCTCTGTGATGTAGACACGGGCCCTCTCTCTTGGTACAGATCGACTGTTTTAATGAACAGGCTATAAAAACGGGCCGAGGTGATCTGTAGAACCAACCTCTCTTTCAACTTCTCCAAGCTGATCCGATGTTTCTCTGCTTCCCAAGCCAACTCCCTTTGCACCAACTCGATCTTATCGTTCGTCTGCTTCTCCAGTTCCTTACGAATGCCTGGATCCATCTCAAACTCCTATAGTTGAAAAAAAAAAAGTTGGATATCAGTTTAAATTTTTTGAAATTTTGCTCCATCCTCCATCAGCAATAGCTGTGAAATTCAATTTATTTACACGTGATATTAACACAGAAGAATCTGGAAGCCGTGTGAGACAAACAGCCAGGAAAATAGACAGTTTCAAAGAGGACGAGTAGGAGGTGATGCGATAAATGTCTGCCAAAGTAAGAACTAGATGTCGTAAGAGCTTCACCAATTCTCAAAACAGTTTTCAGAAATTCCAATCAGTTCCTGGAAGAGTCAACGTGTGCGCTCATCACACATACAAGTACAACCTCCCCATAACTTACTTTCCTGAAAACTGCAATCTGTCACATGCAGCAAGGAAACAGCAACTTTCTATGCATGCTTCAAACCACAGGCGCAACAAAATCTGTGCATACAAATGGAATGTTGTTGCTGAGCAACAAAGCGCCCTCTCTTGTCCATACCTTCCTCTGCAGCTGCAGGTGCTCCGGCAGCTCCTGGTTCTGCTCCAGCAACTTCTTGAACTGGCGTCGCAGCTTGGCGATGGTCCGCCTCACTTCCATCTTCTTCTCCTCTGCCTTCCGCATCCTCTTGTCCTGCTCCGACTTCTGCTTCTCCAGCTCGATGCTGTAGTGCTCCTTGCTCTCGATGTCCGACACCTTGCGCTCCTCGTCCTCTTTCTGTTTCAGTGCACAATTTTAAAAAAAAGAAGAGGAAATTTGAAATCAATGAGTCTGTGAATCCGTGCACATAATTGCAGTTGTGAAATATTTCTGCATGAAATTCATCAACAATTTTTGCAGGCAATATGATGGCATTCCTACAAATTTAATTGAAAATACTGCGATAATTTGAGAAAACAACATTTTAAACATGTTCAATGAAAAAGAGCCCGTAAGTTCTTTACATATTTTAAAAATAAAAATCCAAATTAAAATGTTGATGAATTTCCTGCAGATGAGCACAAAAAAAGATATGTCAGACAAAAAAAGCACTTTAAACTTTCTCAACGCATCACTAAAGAAGTGAGTTAGCATTTTATTTCGCTGTGACAGTTCTGCACATGGCAAGTTTAACAGAAGATCTGCTTTCTAAGAAATCCCTTTCAGGCTAGGAGTAATAATCCTAACATATTATCCATCAAATAGAACATACGGCTTGTTTTTATAGTTAAAAATCAAAGCATCAACTGATGCTCAATTGTGAATGTCTGTTTTGACCAAGCAATAAGTGATATTGACTTCTGAGGCAAGTTTACCTTGGCCGATGGGATCTTAGCCTTAGCCAGAGCCCGAGCCTCTTCAATCTTCTCCTGGCTCATCAGCTCAAAAGCAAACAGGTTTCCGTCGGCACCACAGGTGAAGACAAACCTGCCGTCGAAGCTGGTCCTGATGCCGGTCACGCGGCCGTAGCTGTTGTCGTGGACGGTCAGTGACCAGTAGGGGCCAAAGAGAGAGAAGTCAGCCTGGCGGCTGTCGGGAGCGTGGTCCTGTTGGACACCCTCACTGTCCAGAGGGTGGATCTGGATGGCTCCGTTCTCCATGCCCAATAGGACTTGTTTACCATCACCACTGAGTTAACGAGACCAACCATCAAGAAAACCTTGTTTAACACGCCCAAATAAAATGCAAAAAAATTAGAACCTATCTCAGCATTTGCTTCTAATTACCAGTACCAGGGGCATAACAGGTTTTGGGGAGGGGTAAAGGTAGGCTTAACAGTGAGTTGGAAAGGGTTTAAACCAGAGTGGGTAGCACTTCTGATGACAAAACAAACCCAAACTATTGAGATTCCCAAAGGAAAGATTCTTTATGATTAGACTTACTAATCTTGAACAATAAACGATGCAATTACATACTCAATAACATATGCTGATGTGTCTCTCGTGTTTCAGTCAGGCCACAATGCATCTGCCATGTTAACTAACTTTAAGACTTTCAGAGAAATTAAAAGACTATTTATTGAACAGTTGATGCCAATTTATTGCTTTCAGAGTAAATACATAAAAATTTCACTATGTTGCTTTAAAAACACACTTTCGATAAGTGAAACTTCTGAGTTCATTGGAATGGTTCCCAGATCCTTTTGGAGACACAGTAGAATATATGACACAGCTGTCTATTTCAAGCTCTATTGTGGAGTAACGGCCTTAATCAGTCGGGCTGCAAGTAGCCCAAGCCGGAATAGGAACCGGGTTCCCTAAAGAGGAAACTGTAGGGAACAGACAGAGAAAAAGTCCCGGGAATGGAGTACTAACGTGAACTGCATGGTCCTGATGGGCACATCATCGCTATCGTTGACTGGCACTGTCCGGATAGCTTCATTGATTGCCTCCTCACGGCCTTGCCTGATCATGTCTGCCTTCTCCTTCTCGTCACGGAACTTGCACTCATACAGGTAGCCAGCGTCAAAGGTACCCTACCAACAGAGAGACAGATTTTCTTCTCTGAATTACCACACTAACTGTTTGCTTTCCACAGTACAAGTGCAATCAGACTTTCTGAAAAAATGTCACGTCGATTCAGAAATTAACATCTGAACTAGGCATGCAGGACTTAAGCTTTGAATTCCAGTTGAAAAATGAAATTCAACAGCACTAACTCTACAGGATTGTTTATGGGGTCGTGCTTCACGCTACTCTCTACCGTAACATAAACATCACTGAAACTTTAGGAGATCCCTTACAGTAGTACTTTGCAGATATGCATACTATCCAGTGCAGACTGGACTGTTACCACCATATAAACCCCTCTATTCTTTGGTTTGAACATCCAGACATCTCCGGCAATTTGTTCACAGATTAACTTTGAGGAGGATAGATTTCATTCCTAATGCTTCATCCGATCATGAACATTCAGAGTTTGTCCTGATTATGAAATAGAATTAACGCCCCATGACTGGTACCCTACCATGGACACCCAGAATTTGTCAGGGTCGCCAGGTGAGTAGACACCGTAGAGAATTGGGCTGGGCTCCTCGGGGATATAAAGAGGTGGAGGCTCCTCCTCCTCCTCTTCTTCTGCATGGGAAAAAGCACAGAAAAGAAAATCCATTGAATAAAAGGAGAAGTAACACTAGTGACCTACACGTATCGCTCTTTGCAAATTACATGTAGCCATGCAGCCAACCCTATGGAATTTTGTACATTGAGTTTTGTCTGTCTCAGAATTTGTGCATCCTACAGCCATTTTGTGTCGGACAAAGCTGTGTTGGTGTGATTCAACTGCAGTACGTCAATTAGCAATGCACACTTCAAAATATGGAAAGGGGGGTTGAATTCTATCTTTTTTACTTTAAATACATAGAAATCAAACACAAAATTGATTAAAAAACTAAAAACTGCTTCCTTCGTGAAGACTCTGCCTGAAATTTTAAGCCCATCATCCTATCACTTATCCTATTCAATCAGCATCACTTTAGGTGCCCCTAATTGAGCTGTCCATACCAAAGTCACATGGCTGGGGTATCTAGGCACACGGGCACAGGGATGTCTGTTGTCTCTCAGGAAACATATCAAGTTTTCAAATGGGGTGTCACAAAGCACTCACTGTGCATTACTAGATGGATAGCGTGATGCTTCAAAACCCACATTTCCATTTAAGTTCACTTGGAAACTGAATGACACTGTCAACTATACTGCTTTGAATAGAAGCATTATGGCAGATCAACAAAGGTTGAGATGACCCACCTTTCTTGTCCTCTTCTTCGTCTTCATCTTCTAGGCCTCGTTCTCGTCGGATGCGGCGCTTTCTCTCCAACTCCTTCTGTCTGGCTTCCTCCTCTTTCCTCTTGCGTTCCTCTTCCTCTTCTCGCTGGTCGCCCACAGACCCCAAAACCCCCAAATCAGTCATTACAGAAACTTGTTTTATGGAATTTTGCACCATCTTCTTGGCAATGTGCAGTTGTTTTTAAGATAAAAAATTCTGCGTCTGATCGGCAGTACAATCGATTTGGCAAACATTTCAAAGTAATTAGTTCGTTGGACCAAATTTCACTCAAACATTTTGTTGGATTTTAATCTGTTTGCTGAACATAGGCAACAATTAAGTGGTGTGGTGCTCTTATATAGTCAACTCATTTTGGCAGTCATGGACAGTGCAATGGTCCCTTTTCTTGCTTTATCCCGATTTATATGTTCTCTAGGATTTTCCTCCCACTTCAGAAACTTTAAAACTTTCCTATAAAACTGCACCTTTGTATACAGATGTTTTTAGTTATAGCTAGCCCCTTAAGGTGTGTGAATATTATTCTAATAATGGAGGTATCGGGACTGTCAGGGTTTAATAAGTAAACCTTTCCATTTCAAGACTGGCCATACTTGATAAGACTTACAACTTCCTGATATTAATATAGTCTTCCCTTGATCTGTCTGACTTCCTCAGAATATTACTTCCAGCACGTACCCTGAGTCTGGACTTGATACTCTTGAAGGTGGTCTGTCTGGTCTTGAGGCCGGTGATCTTGAAGGTCGTGGAGGTGTCGTAGGTGCCTGGTTCAGGAGCCTCCACCTCCAGCACTTCCCCATTGGCGCAGAACACCAAAGCGCAGTTCTTGTCCTGAGGAGAAAATCCAAATACAGTACTGGGAGGTACTGCTTGGGGTATAGGTCTGTGATGCTTCCAGGCTACATATGGAAGTAAAAAGCTTTGGCAGGAGTGCCGAGTGTGATTGCAGAGGAAACGAATATTAAAGCAGCAGAACGCATCATGCTTCACTACTAACACTACCAAAGCATTCCAAGAGGATTCACCCAAGGACTTTAAAAGCTAAAACTGCAGTTCCAAAAAATGCAAGCTATAGTCTCATTCACTCCTCCTGGCCTCAGTACAGTGCAATGGAACAATGTGACCCGCTCTGCAAAACAGGGTATGAAGGGACGCTGTGGTATTTCATGCTAAGGGGCTTTTCTATGTGGAGAGGGTGATTTTTACTTCTTGGTTTATTGGCTTCTATTGTATCAGTGCTTTCGTTATTCATACAAGAAACTTAACTGTTGCCATGGATATTCGAGAGACTTTCTTCTTGGCTGATTTCTTTTTCCACTTCCTGTGTTTCAAGGGCTTTATCTCTAAAAGCACTTCTGTTATGTGTACGATATGATTATGAAAACATCAGTATATCTCCAGACTGCAAAGTACCACAGGGTTGAAACCTACACCAAGTTGAAGCTTATAATGTAACCAATTCAAATATTGTAACTCATTTTGAAAAAAATTTCCCAAATAATACCCATTTTTTAAGAGCCAATTACAAATGGTTTTACAAAAGGGATGAGTTTGCAATATGCTGGTCTGAAGGCTGTCTGTGCATGTACAGGTTGAACTGTTAAAAAGCCAGAATTTTCAATTGGCGACCAGCAATGGCCCAAGTTGACCCCACTGTCACTCCTGTCTGTCCTTGACAGCAAAATCCTTTCCAAGTTGTTGAATCGCCTCATATGAATTCTTACGACCTCCTTACGATGCCTACACAGCATACAATGGGTAACTTACAAAGTAGCCTGGTGACCAGGTGATGTGGGTGACCTGACCGGGGGTGTCAATGAAGCCGATGGGAGTAAATGTATCGCCCACGTTCATGAAGAACAGCGTGTTGTCAGCACCCTGTGTATCGAGAGATAGGATAGCATCTCATTCAGAGGAGGTGAAAAGGTTAGCCCTGTATTCGTGGTGCCCTGATTCTAGGGACTCTGTCAGGTAAATTAGATGGTAAATTAGGTAAACTCCGACAAATCAATCCTCTTTTCGTTTTAGGCAGGTAACAGAGATATCAGGATAAATGAAGGAATTCTTAGCTTCTGTAGACTCTGTACAGTGTTTTTCAATACGCACAATCTTGCAAATGTGGGAAGTACTGAAAAGAAGGAAATAGCTGATATGAGGAAAAGCTGCATGCCTGACGTTTCAGGTCTGAATTGCAAAAGTTGTGCTGCCATGGTGTTTTACTGCAAATTTTCAGTGGATTAGGGCTGCGTCTCCGAATCAAGTACCTGAGCGTTGATATCAGGTACTGGTTCTTGTGACCAACTTTACAAATTTCTCAGTAACTTTTCAGCCGAACAAAAAAAAGGTTCTGAGAGGTATCTGAGGTGAATTTTTGGAAGTAGTCAGTCTATGAACCTGGCTATATGGAAAACTACATGATAATGCCCAAAGATCGCCAATGAAAGTTTCGGGTAATTCAGACAGAATTGGCAATCTGAAAGCAATTTTTTTTCTTTGAATTTTGGGATTAGGTGTCCTGTACAGGTTCCCCAACCTGTCAACCTGGATCTTTTTTTTTACTTGGTTCCCCGTATAGCCCTTACATGCCACCACTAGAGTGAATGCTCGTGACACCTTGAATATCTCTTTCATTCACTTGTTTAGTAGCAAGATGCAACCAGCAGATGATAATTTATTTGTGGAACTTGAACTTGGTATCCGAACAGGAGTTTTCTGAGGTACAAAAAACCATGTGTGAAGACTTGTTGAACAAGGGAAGGGTCTAATAAGCCTGCGAATGGTTGTTGGGATTGAATCTACATCACCAAGCTATGCAGATGCAGTCGATTCCCCCACCCCCTGAGAAACCACAACTTGTACTCACTGCAGTGGTTAGAATCTCCCCCTTGGAGTCCATGGCCATGGCGGTGACGGCCTTGGTATGGGGCTTGAAGGCCTGCTTGAGGGCCAAGGCGGCCGGCTGGTGGTGGGCCGTCCGCTTGCCCTCCTGGTTGTCGCGACGTTTAAGAGTCAGGCTCCGCACCACACCGTCAGCGAAGCCGGCCAGGAGGGTGCTTCCCTTGGGGTCAACCTGGAAGGAAGGAATCACGTATATATCATCAAAGAACCATGTATGAGGGGTGTCAACTTTTGCACAAGAATGAAACTTGTTTTTTTTTCAGTTTCCGGAATTCTAATTAATCCACAGAACTTGGCCACAAATATGTATCCTAATTCAACCAACATCAAAATATTTTCACAGTACATTCTGAGATAAATACTCATGCAGCATCAGTAATTCCGGTCTTAAGTTTGAATTGTGATGATAACTTTTGTTTATCCCAAATGGTCAAAATAGCAGGATGGACAATTAAGTGAAAGATAAGTGAAACAGTTGAAACTTACGATTGGAGGCACCCACAGCATGGAGGTGGAGCCAGCATTGAACTTGGTGGAGCAAAGTGGAGTCTTAGATGCATAGTCATACACCCGCACAGTATCTACAACACAGGAATTAACAAGAAAATTTATCTTTTATAAACAATACAGTTTAACGATCTTAAAACTAGTAGTTTCCTGAAGAACAGAGCATATTGTTTAAAACATCAGGATTTTCTCTAACAACTGGCTTTTCCCTGAGCCAACCCTCGTTCCCAAAAGAAATTGCATCCACGACGTACCCACAACAATACCTATCTGAATAAATAACTTCAAATCTGACAAGGAAACGTGCTGAATCACTGCTTGATGTTGATGAGTGTGACATAGCCTTTGTGTACATAAGGGCAGGGGGGTAAGGTCATCAGTGTTAAACTACATGTACTTGTTGGACATGTGACAGTCATGGACACAATCAATATACAGCATTTGAAGCAAGACATAAAATTGCATTTTATATGCACAAGATTGAGACTGGAATCTGTTTGGAATTTCTGGAATCGGAGCGGGTATTTTCAACACAAAAATTCTGACTACAGGACACATTTAGTACAGAGAAAACAGTGACAGTGACATACGATCCAGGGCAGCAGACGCCACAAGCTGAGACACGGGAGAAGTGTCGATGGAGGTGATCTCCCCCGCATGGAATGAGAACAGCTTCTCTGGATCCCTGGTAGTGTGTGAGAAGGACAGATCCAATTTCCAGATTGCGCCGTTCGCATCCTAGGGGGCAAACAAAATGGTAACTTTTTATGGAACATTGATTGTTCCATTCTTACAATCACATAATCCATTTCTGTATGGTAAAATACGGTCAAACAAACCGTGTTACGAAAGTGGAAAAGCAGGTCACCGCTGAAGTTACTTAGATACAAAAATGGATGGCTTTGGTTCGTTTTGTTTGAGCAGACTCACAATGTCACACACAAAAACGCAGCGCCACATTGGTCTCATGCAAGGGCCGAACAGTGCGCTGTAGAGTTTCAGCCCTTAGCCAGCAGCTACGTCCAAATTACAAGGCTACGGCTGGAAATGACGGCAGAAGAGCCAACAGAAAATGACTGAAGCCCCCTCACCAATGGCTTCCATTGTTACATCTGGCGGGAGTCGAGTATTTTGGAAGCGGGTACTGTGTCGGCGGGACTCACCTGGGCGTACCAGATGCTCTGGACCTCAGGGTCCAGCGACTTGACCATGGAGATCAGGTGCACGTCGTTGCCCACTTTCAGTTCGTTCATGCAGTCCATCTCAAATATGCCCGATTCGTTGGCTGAGTCCGCAGTGTCAATTGTCTCAAAGTCCCAAACCTGAAATATGCCACAAATTTTAACCCACGAGGAAAAGTAAACCAAAATAATGAACGCTATCATAAAAGTACAACAGGTGAGTCAAACCATTTCTAATGCCAAATCCCATAGATGTGTGTTGGCAACCAGTTGAACAATATACATGCGGCCAACATCTAAGAAAGAACAAAGACATACGGGTGGTCTTTAAGCAATAGTTACAACTTTGTGATCGAGAAAGTTGGGTTGCCATTCATTGAATACATTTGGATCTAGTAAACAGTGAACAGTGAAAATGAGGACAATTGAGAAAGCCACCTGAAGGAGCTAGTAACTTGTCAAAATGAATCTTCCTCTCAAAGCAACGATTTGGAATAAATGTTGACATTCGGTTTTCACCCCTCAGCAAGAGCTTGTGAGATAAAAATCAGAGCCTCCTTGTGTGGGGCTAGAATCCAAGACATCAAGCTGAGTAGGAAAACATCTCACCAACCAGCCTTGAATTTAAGGAAACTGTTTCCCTCCTTGTCCAAATCGATAAATTCCTACTTACCCTGACGAAGCCATCAGCTCCAATACTGATCAGCTCGCCCTCGTCCATGACGAACTGTTCAATGTTGCCGTTGTGACACGGCTTCTTGTTCTTCCGGCTGATCTGGACTTTGATCAGCCCTCCCTCCCATAGGAGCATGTTGCCTGAGACCAGAACGAGAAGTAACAATACAAAATAAGAAAAGCTTGCAAACTTGCTCACTGACTAAACAGAGATCGGAAAAACACGAGGGAATGAGGTATGACCATTCGAGGGAACCTTTCTGAAACCCAGTCATTTACACAATGCCAGAAAAAAAGTTTCGGCGAACAGATCCCTGACACAGAGGAGTAATCTAAAAAATGCTAAGTTTAAGGGAGGGTCTGACATGTCACATCCTCGCAGATTTCTTTGTCAAACGTTTGCCTTTATGAGGAAATTCTGCTGAAGTCACAATGCCAGGCCTTCCAAATTTTAAGCTTTAATTCGAACAATGATGAGTTCTATGTGGATAACTTGTGCCCTAAATTTTTGCACTGTACATCAGTGCAGCTGCCATTGAATAGGGAACAAAAAGCAACCTACCCCATTCTGCACCGGAGAGAACCTTGCCATCTGGTAGTTCCACATAACCGTGGATGTCAGAGATCTCGGTACGGCCAAACTTCCCCAGCTGACCTTGAAGTTTGAGACCAGTGAATGTGTGAGCCATCTTCCAAAACCTGGAAAATATAAACCAAGAAGAGACTTGGATGTAAAACTTTCGACTTTTCAGAGAAAACATAGCAATGGTAAATGGGGTTTTATATTTTGGGTTTCTATTTTTGAAAATCATAGATTAGCTTGTCAGACTGTGGGGCTTAATTATTCTGAGCGACCTCCCAAAACTCTGCTTCGTGTCGACTTCAGCTTCACTCTCTGCACCAGAATAATTGAATCTTCTCGGTTCACTGATTTAAAACTGTCAGTAGAAAACGAAAAGTACAAACTGCAGGCATGATATTGAACCCAGAGGAGTAAGACACAGTTCCCTGTAGACCTGTAAACCCCAAGAACCATAACGACTACAGTACAAACAGTTGAAAATGGAGGAAATAATAGGAAACAAGAGAAAATATGTGTGTGAAAAAAATGTCATACCCAAAACTAAAAAGGTGTACTTTTATCCTTATGCGGCCTTATAAAGAAAACTGACAGCAGTTGGGCTCGAACCTGTGACTGCTCAAAGACTACACCTGATATGGACTGACTTAAAAGAAATTGTGCCGTGTTGGCACCAAAACTACCTTGTTGTTCAATTCAAGGGTGACAGAAACCAGAGTGTGGGCACAAGATGGCAGGTGGTTACAGCAAATCCTTGAGGCAGGCAGCCTCAAGATATCTTTCTCCTTAAAAGGGCCACATATTAAGATCCTTCTGACTAAAAGGAAGACAACTTCCTCCAAATGACACGCATACCTGATGTGTCCTGTGCCGCTTGATGTAAGCAGGCCCTCATTCTCGGGCGAGAAGGTCACCCTGAAGATGTCCTGGGAGAAAGCCTTAGACCGCAGGACGATGGTCTCGTTCCCCCAGTCCCAGACGGTCAGCATGTAATCTGGGGCACAGCCGACCGAGGCCAGCAGTGTGCCGGCCGGGTTGAAGTCGGCAAAGGCGTAAGCGGTCTCCGTGCCCTCGCGCAGAATGCGGTAGAGCTTGAGCGAGGGGTACTCATAGATGTTGATGTTGGGCATGGTGCCCTTCTCACAGACGGCAAAGTACTTGCTGCTTGGGTGCACCTACAACATTTGGAAAGTAAATCACTAAACCATTTTACAAATTTTCTATGGGAAATAAGTTACAAGATGAAACGTAATGTGTAACTGGTTCTGACCAATGACCCGTCACAGAGCTGCTAAGCAGGAAACATGCTGGACACAAATCAATGGGAAACCAGTCACCAGAAGTATATAATAGAATGGCCTTTTGCTCAGTAACCTAGTCATGCTAAGCAAACGTTTCTGTGATAAGCACACATCTTTGCCAACCAGCTGCATGAAATTGGTCCACCATTTCAGCTTCACGAACGAACTGATGTGGCAATAACTTTCAGAATGAACACTTCCCACTGAGCACCAAAAAAGTGTATAACCCTGTGTGATAATCTGACGAAACCGCTCTTGCAACGTAAGGCTGAAGCCACATTGTAACTCATTAGAAATGACTAAAGCTTTCAAGCTTCTATACAGCAGTACCTGTAAGTCATCATTGGTCGTAAAAACATTGGAGAAACTAGACGAAGGCTGGGAATCAAGGCAGTCTTTAGAATGAAGGGAAGTTTTTGTGGACATTGGGAACAAAGAGTTATAAAATTCAATAGCCATTTCTCCTCTTTTTCTGTTTCGAGTGTACAAACAGGATTGTCAACGTAAGTTGGTCAAGTTTGGTATGTAACACCTACTAAATATCTACTGTTTTGATTTCAGATCTCTGAATGCTGATATTGTGTAGGGCCAATTTGGAAGTCTTGATGTCTGGAGTAGAGAAAATACTAAGATGAAGTTGATTCCATTCAATATTATTGAATAGAAAAAAATGAAATTTTTCACTCTTATTTTCATGCACATTACAAAGCAGCACATCTACATGTAAATCGGAAACTCAGCAACTATTTTTGGTAATACAGGTTACAAAATGGGAAAATTTATAATACCAAAAAGTATGTTGTCAGTTCAAAGCTGGAAGGCAATGCGTTACTTACGGTGATAGCACCGATGCCACCGCCACCGGTACTCCGTATGTATTTCTGCTCTTTGGTTTGGATGTTGAGTAGCTCTACAAGGTTACCGGCTGCAAAGATCAGGGTGTTGGCATCTAACATGTAGAGATTGGACAAGCGCTTGCAGTCGTAGCCGAATGAATGGCTGGACAAAAGGACTTAAAGAAAAAGGCTTTGACTCTCAATATTCCTTACATTGTGTGCTTTGTATACTAGATGTTGAAAGCTGTCCTACTTTAAAAACTACCCAGACACCAGCATTTGGTGACAGTCCACACCAGCATTTGGTGACAGTCCACACCAGCATTTGTGTGACAGTCCCCAAACGACGAGAGAATTACTTAAACTGACTTCAAAGAAGTTCAGAGAAAAAATTGAGAGAAAATTCAGCACTTCAACTGTGAGAGATAAAAGTTACTTTCACGGACTTTAAAAGGCAATTGTTTTCCTGCGGGGTGATTTTAACTTCTCTATTACTTTGACGCTTTTTGGCTTTCAAAGCTTTCAAGAATGATGTCCTGAAAGGGGCGACAGTTTGACTTTAAAAAAACCAGGCATGATTATCAAAAGAAAACCTATTAATTTTAGCCTGCCTACGCAGCTGGTGTCACATTCATGACATCATTCTAAACTCTGATAATAAAATACAACCTTGTGTCTGATGTCTCAACAATGCAGAAATGATTTTGTTAAAAATGAGTCAAAAAAACTTCAGACTCTCCTGACACACTGTAATACTCTAAATGGAATGCCGCTCTGTGGAAAGGATACTACAGGGTGAGCATGTCGGCTGGTAGATCCGAGTCTTCAGCCATCCTCGCTCTAGACACATGCTCCTGATAATCATAGAAGAAGTCCAATGGGATCTTGGGACCTTCCTCCTCTGCCTGATCTTCTCCAGCCTCTGCTCCCTCTCCTGTGACCTCTGCTCCTTGCTCTGTGACCTCTGTCCCCTCTCCTGTGACCTCTGCTCCTTGCTCTGTGACCTCTGTCCCCTCTCCTGTGACCTCTGCTTCTTGCTCAGTGACCTCTGCCCCCTCACCAGTGACCGCTTCCCCCAGCTCTATGACCCCTGCCCCTTCCTCCGCCACCTGTGCTTCCTCGCCAGCTGTCGCAGCATCACTTTCGGCCTCCTGCCTCTCTCCGCTGACCTTTGCCCCCTCTTCTTCCTCAGCTCTGACCTCTGCACCCTCAGCTGCATTCTCTGCTCCATCATCGCTAACCTTTGCCCCCTCAGCTTGTGTGGGCTGCTCACCAGCCACTTCTTGAGGTACTGCTGCCTCCTGCTCTTGTGCCTGTTCAAGTGGGGCACTATCCTCTGTCTCTTGGACCTCAGCTACATGTACATGAAGAAACAGATGTATCATCAGACATTTGCATGGGTGTATGGAGGAATTTCAAACTACAGCATCTAAACCACAGCTCTCAGTGCTACACCTCAGTGGGAGAACTTAGGGATTTTTTTTCTCAATCCACTCACACATGAAAAAGCCTCAGGCCCTCAGTTTTAATATTAGATATCATCTACAGAATTTCTTTACTCGAATTAGGAAGGTTATTTTTCATATTTCAAGGGCATTTTCCCTCGAAAGATTGGAATAGATCCTTCAGTAACTTACCAGCCTCAGTTTCTTGGACAGTGGCTTCGCCTTCTGCTGCTTCCCCTTCGGGAGAGCCTTCACCTTCGACCTGTGCAGATGATCCTTCATTTTCACCCTCGTCCTGCTCAGCCCCACCTTGGTCATCTTTGTCAGAAGGGTTCGCGTTAACATTTGTGTTTGCCTCTTCTGCCTCAGCAGCTGCCGGTTCAGGTACGGCATCCAACCCGCCAGCAGGGGCTTCTTCTTGTTGTGAGGCAAGGCCACCAGACTCCTCTGCATTTTCGACTGGCTGATCAGGTGTGGGTGTCTCCACGGCCGGCTCTGCATCCTGGGGTTCCACCGAGGGCTTCTCAACATCTTTCTGTTCCCCTGCTTCATCTGCTGCCTCCTGCCCTTCCTTCTGCTCCTCAGTATCCACATCCTCAGTTGGATCTCTGGTTGTGTTGTCTTCTGCGGCAGTGTCTTCTCGGGGCTCTCCTACTGAAGGATCTGTGTTATCTTCTGAATGCATAAAACAAGGTAAATGATGTCACTGTAGTTTCAGCGAGGATTTGTTGAAGACTCTAAGAAGAAATTGGTTCACTGGGCTTAATGCCAACAAAAGCAAAACAATGTGGAATTGACAGTTTCGTTAGCTTTCATCCCCCGTGAGCAGTGTTGTGGTCATCAAGTCTGACACAAGTCCACCCCAAATTAATCACAAGTGATAATACTGTACAGTGAATCTGTATCCATCACATTTTTCATACCTCGGGCAGCTGTTCCCTCCCCAGGTGGTGTGTCTTCATTAGCTCCATCTGAATCTCCTCCCACTGCAGGGTCTTTTGCTGATTGCTCCCCAGAGGGGGTGCCTGATTTGGCTACATCAGCATCCTCAGCTGCACCTGCAGGCTGTTCATCTGTCTGCCCCTCTGGAATTACATCGGCTGCCACATGTTCCTCTTGCTGTTCATTTTGAAAATCCCCTTTTGACGACACAATTCACTAAGTTAGTGTGCAGGAATGGATACTACTCAAAGGTTTTTGTTTAAAAAAGTTCGTAGAATATGGATTAGGCTAGTGTGCATTGAGGAAGTGTGTATTGAAGGAATGTTCAACAGACAGATTATGAGCCAAAAAGTCTGCAGATTTGTCAAAATCAAATTTATGAAAGATCAAATATAAATCATTCAAATCAATTAGGAACATGCAGTTTTCCATTTTCATTATGCCTATATTTATATCCTCCTTGAAAAAAATATACATATATTGTAGGCCAAGTGTATGTGCAACTAAACCAAAATACAAAAAATCTCCTAATCACAGACGTTTTGAAGAGTGAAAGTTTTCCAGAAAAAATGTTAGAGTTTCTTTCTTTTAATCCATTAATATGACCCAGGCTACTTCTACAATGAAGGAAAAGGCAGGTATCTATGAAGAGAATGTCTCAATGAGGGCGCAAATGAATTGATCATTTATGACTGCCTATTTTACAGCCAAAATGAAGTTTGTGTTCCATGAAACCTTTCGTCTGAAAACAATTCAGCTCCCTGAGCCATTTCACTAGGGAGCAGACTACCATTACAAACGGTACTTGGAAATGATTGTCACAGCCTGTGCATATATACAGTACCTGTACTCATTATCTATTGAGAAGCTAGCATGCCAATTTGCGATTGAACATTTGATTTTTAAAATATACCGTACACAATACTGTGCTGTAGAGTTACTGGAGAGGGTTACAATATTATGCATCAATTCTAATATTTTTCCTATTTTGTTTGCATAGGTTGCAAAATTAAGCCATTAAAGTACTGCTAGCATGTGTAATGAAGTCTGGTGATATGACCTGATGTGATGCATGATGTACACACAGTTAACGTCATAGGAAATGTTTTCAATCATTTTTGTCAAGGACTTTTCTAATTGCATTTACACAAACCCATCCTGCAGTTTTCTACAGGTTATTTCTGGTGCTCTCTAAAGCTTTCGAGATTTCCTATAAGCCTCGTACATGGTGGGGTCACCATGGTGTAATGTTTTCAGGTGATGAGACTTTGTTCATTGTCGATAGGTAGTGAAGTCATGGAAAAACTGGTTTTTGACATTTCTTGTGTCTTCAAAATCCTCATCTAAAGTTTCCGATTACGTGTACTGTAATTACATTAATGATGACTCCAAAGAATTTTATCGTCCCCATTGGTTGTTGTGGTTCCTTGTTTAATTGAATTTTGTGACTGGGGCCACCTTTTACCCAAGTCTTAAAATCAAAATAACACATATTTGCTTATAAAGCTATATTCCATGTCAATGAGACAAATGGTGTTAATTGCCTGTCGTCCTATGTAAACACAAAAATAATCACTCCTGCCCATGACAGACCTCGGTTTTGATGTGATGGAATCTACTACGATGGTTGATACGTGTACATGTATCTCATGGGTTCATTACATAAAAAGCAATGCAGTTACTGTGCTGCTTAATGAGCTACGAGTATGTCTTTATTTTGATCAGATAACTACAACAAATCCCTGTCCCTATATGGAAAGGATGTGCTGGCAATTTTACAAAACCAGATTGTTTCAATGTAATGGTTGTATGAAAATTAATCAAAGCTTTTCATGAAATATTAAGTGCAAACTTCAGTGTAATAAGGCAAATGAAAACAGTGTCATGGCATTCTGACACCCTAGACTTGGAGCTTTAGGCTTTCTTCAAATATAAATATTCTGATTTCAAACAAAATTCAGAGATCAAAAAAGGCAGGAGTTCCATATCTGGCCACTACATACTCACCAAAACACAACAAATTCCGCTACACCTTTGTATTTTTATTGAAGACAAGTTCATTCAGCTTGGGCAAAACTGACACTGTCTGAGGAAGTGGTTTTAAGTCCTGTTTTGAAAAACGTGCTGGTTTTAATGAAACTTAAAAATCCTACCGGTTAGATATGGAACTCTTTCAAAGAAAAATTGAAAGCTGTGAATTTAGACTGAATACAGAATTGCAAATGAGTGAAACGTGTGTATTCTCCATGCAAAGAGATCTACTTTAAAGCCAGACTCAAAGAGAAGCGATTCACTTTCTAGTGCACTACCAAGTATTTATAATACAGAGAGGAGTATTTTACAGCCCCTTAAGGGGAAATGCTTGATGTCCTAAATGGTAACTCTTTTTGCACAAGGTTGTGGTTTAGTTCTTCCTTTCGGAATGCCCAAGATTGAAGTCAGAGGTTTTCATGTTTGAACAACCTGAGTGCCTTTATGAGTTCTTACATAATGTACATACATAATTTCTGATCTGAGCAAGATGTCAACCAAGAAGTTAAACCTTGGCCTCTTCTAATCTAACAGCCGGAGGTGCACTGTGCCGTTAAAATTTTCTGTGCATACAATGCTATGGGGCTGGGCTGTTGGGTGTGAATGTGATTGGTCGATCAGTCCAGTTTGAAATCTCAGACTTTCCTTCTCCATTTTAAAACAAACCTTTACAACCATGAATTGGAAAGAAAAGATGATTGACTGATGGTGGAAATGTCAACAGACGGTGCAAACGGATCAACCCATCATGCAAGGATTGCACAAACTGACCGATTGCACTCAATGTATTGAAATACTGATGATGACCGAGTATTTGTGCTTCTAGTATGGTACTACGTGTACACTCCACTAGTATTCAGTGTTGTGAAAGTACCAGCAAGGATGGTCCATGCTGTTTACATATACCTTGACCTTCTTCCAAATGGGGGACACTGCCTGCATGTGCCTCACGATATTGCCGTAAAGCCTCTGCTTGCAATTTGTGAGTTGCAGCCCGGAGACTCTTGGGATTTTTGTGGGAACCTGACAAGTAGGCCTCTGTACATACCAGTTATATTGAAGTTAGTGAACAGTTCAGAGAAGGGCATTGCTTACACAAGCCTCTCATGGACATACAGTCAATGATGCAGGAATATTCAGAGACAAAATTCACAGACTAAAAAATATCCGTAGACATACATGTATAGAAATGCATTTCTGACCAAGATCCTGCACAGTGGTGAGCATTTTGTTTAATAATAAAATTACACATGCACACATGGCATAGGCAAAAGCAAATCATCACAACAGGACACACGTGTCTGTCAAGGGAAATTTTACAAATAATTTACAACAAATATCCCAACATGTCTGAACAAATTTATAAAATTATGGCCTAATTTTAGTAAGTGAATTAAAGGAAGGTGGTAATGTTTAATCCATGTAGGTACATGTACATATAGATTGGAAAGAGAACCATACGTGGACACCTTGTGCACAAACCCTAATAAATCAGAGATAATTAGTGATGTCCATAAAATGGGATTCTTACCGGTAGTTCAAAAATGAACAATACCCAGTTCTGCATCCAAAATTTGCTGAGCTGAACCAACGGCATGTTTTTAACTCACGCATGTCAATAACTTTAATAATTTGTCATTATTGGTATTGGCCTAGATGCAATTATATGTAGTCCAATCATAGCACGGCTTTCATTTGCGGGTGACAGTAAAACAACAAGGTAAAGATAGGAGCCATGTTGCAACTGGTCAAGATGTCAAGCTGTGGACAACAATGCTGTTGATCTTCCATGATGTGAACAGGCAAAGTATTCATGAATTTTACCATTGTAATGAGAGATAAGGTGAGCAAACCTCCAAATATGCCCAGACACTGGTCAAGAAGGAATTTATGAATTCTTCTTGTGCAGTTAGTTGTCATAGCATGGCAGAGTAAGTTGGTACAGGCCTCGTCAAAACTGCCAAAACTTATTGTGAGTTTGACATCTGCAAGGAGAGTTCCATATACGGACAACACTTGATGTCCCTGTGCACAATGAGCCAAAGCCATGAGAAAACCTAGGCCTAGGCGTTTATAAGTAAATGCTTCAAACTTTTCTCAGCTAAATTTAAGTTCTCCGGACATCTTATCACTTTCTGATGGCTGTGACGACATTTTAAGGGAGGATTAGTGTTGTCCATATAGGCCTGGGCCTATGGAACTCTTTCACGTTAAATTCTGGAAGTAGGCCAAAGGCTAGCCAAGGCCAGGCTAAGTGAAGTTACAATGTTATGATATGGGCCTAGGCTCTATCAACCAATAATGACAAATATCAAACATGTCCAGGATGACAATAAACGTGACAGAGTTAATGTGACGTCTGTCGCCAATGATCATGATTGACATGCAGCCCTAACCCACGGCCACAATGTAGACCATGCTACGAGTACAAAAGTAGGCCTTGGCCTAAGCAGTATTGCACGTCATGTGCATGTACTGATGACATGATGTAGGCCAACGTCAACTTGACTTCAATTTCGTTTGACTGCATGTTCCACTGACTTTAAAAACTTTAAAATGTCCCTTATCCAGCTCAAACTTCCTGAAATTGTGTAATTTGGGATATTCATGCCTACCGTCTTTCGACTGCTGGTCTTCGTCCATTGAGCTGATTTAAAACGCTTTGAATTAGTGAAAATGTAATGCACTCATCTCAGATTCGCGTTACTTGATACTGACGTTATCGTTGCTAGGATGTGTTGCCTCACACAGAACAAAGGCAGGTGCATCCAACCCGGTGTCGTTTGCATCATTATTAGATCAGTCTCGGTGCAAGACGGATTCACAGCCTACTCTGGACGTGCCGCTTGAGGGCGCTAAACAATTTTTATCAACGATGGCCACGCTAAGGCCGTTTTCTACGAAAGCCCACAAGTGCCATGTAGTGTACATTTTTTCAACTTCGTTTTTACGAGATTATTTTTCCAATTTTGTTTTTTTTTTACTACCTGGCTTCGAAGCTAGCCGTAAGCGCACTAATTAGTCTAATAGTGCCACAAAACATCATATAAGATGCAAAAGAGCGAACGTTACAGTAATTCAATTTGATTTAAACGCTTCAGGCCCACAACCGGGGATCGGCGCGGTTTCGGGGACTCGAAGCCTGAGACAGAGACGAAGACGAAGTATTGGAAAACGGCCTAAGGTTGCACTAATCCATACGCGCCCAAAGAAAACAGGGGAAAATCGGACCGAAATAGCGCCGCCTATTGACTCTCGTGAAGAGGTTGGCCTCCGTTTTTTTCACTGGAAATTCAAGATTATGGCCAGAAGATCACCTTTCGTTTCACTTTCACGGGAGTTAGCGAGAATTTTGTTTTATTCGCCTGTGAACGAAGATACCCCCCCATAGCAATTAAACAAAGCGCCCTTTTCTGAATGTAGCCGCCCGCCTCGATCCAAAATAGGTCCGCAATTTGGGGCTTTTTGTGAAAGAAGTACCCTGAACTGGGAACTATAAGCCCTAAATTCAGGATTTATAGAAATATTTCTATGATGCCTCCTGATTATGGCCTGTCTTATTGAAAAAATCCCGTGGGATCACAAAATATTCATGAGCTCCCGCGCAGAAATACAACCATTTGGTGGAATGCACCCTTTAGGGGATTGCCATGTCTGATGGTGTAACAAAACATCAAGTACTGAGATGCAAAAGAGCCAAACATTACAGTACTTCAATTTAATTCAACACCTCAGGCCCAAAATCCGGAATTGGTTTCGTAGCCGCTGCCTGAAGGATGACAAAGTTGAGTGTTGGAAAACGACCTCATTGGAAAATCGGGACAAGGCCTTGGGAACTTTATTGAAGACTGAGCTTAGCTGGGACAAAGGACAATGGGCTTCTGCGTTGTACAATTTTCCAGAAATTCGACATCTAAACAATATTATTTCTTATTGCAAAACGGCGCATTTCATGCTTGCAAAAGCATAATACGTGTACTCGCGCAGTGCGGGTGTGGGACGAGTTTGTCCAATGTGCACTATGAATGAGCAGGGACTAAACTCGATTTTGCAATGCGTGTCTTATCAGAAAGACTTGAAAAAAAAATTAGGGAGTAACAAACAGAAGAGACCAGATTTCTTATGAATCCAAGTTTCTTACGATACCGGTTTGAAAAATCAACACAAACACTCCTGTGAACTGTCCCAAAATATTCTTCAGGATTTGTTCGTAGAAACGTTTAAAATAGTTATTAAAATAATTTGAGGAATTAGATAAACATCCACTTTCAGCAAACCAAAAAGGTATCAAGAGTCTTCTTAAACTTGTTTTTTATTAGCAACAAAATAATAAAATATCACTTAAGAACAAACATCTAGCAAAAGAGCAAAAGTGGAAAGAGCGCAGGCCTTTGTTTATAAAATATCAAAAGTAAACTCCGTCGGGAAAGCTAAAAGACAAAGTAAGGCATCGACCTACTCATAGATAGACAAAATGAATTGGGATTCCTCGTGATTAAGACTCGAATGGACAACAAAATCGTCTGCCAACCTCTCCGCTACATAGACTCACGTACTGTTCACTATATACAGTGCAAAATAGCCTACACGTGGTGTTCAACCGTTACTCTTATCACTTAATTTCATTAATAAAAGGAGCAAGTCAGAATCAGCTACGCCTTCCAATCATAACTGTCTTTCGCGCATAAATGGAGAGAACCCTTAAACATTGTAGGCCTACGGTACGTCATTCCAAAATACATGTATCGGTGTATGCATGTATATTGTATACGACGCATTGTCTGTCTCAGTCAATAAATGAAATTGCAATCAAATTCAATTACTGCTTCACCGACAGAGTACTGATGAATGGCAATTTTGTCAACAATTCTGGGATTCATTAGAGCAATGCGTGAAGTGTGCACATGCAGTGAACCAAAAACATGGGGTTCAGTAAACAAACGGAGGGATATAAGATGATGATGATAGATTTCGGCGGACATTTATGCACTGTTTCAACAAACCCCAAATAGATTATCCTTGTATGCATTGTTATTATACTCTTTATTTTTGTTGGCATAAAATGTCAAAGAAATGTCAGGGAAGTTCTTTCTACTTCCACATTAGCTGTAGATTTGCAAATCTTCAGCTAAAGTGTACCTTCAAGTCTTTGTGGGAAAAAATATATTCTGCCAAACATTGATTGAACAAAGATTACATGGGCATAGAGATGTTTAAAGGCAAAGCCGGGTTAGTGATTCAACAAAATCTTGACGGGATAATGGGTTAACGGGACAAAAACTTTTTACGTTTGAGGAAACAGAACCCTCCGACACTACGCGCTTATAAAGGCCTTTAGTTGTCCGTAACCAAGATATCTGAACTTCGCATGGGTCTTTGGTCGGCCGCCGTGAACCCCCTAAATTTTCATCTGCCCTCACTGAAATAAGGCTTCATCAAGTGAGCTACCGTACGATTTCGTCGTAATTCAGAACTTTCAATGTCCCATCAAAACTCCGAACAAGATATATTCCACGACCCACGCCTTCTTTCGACCCTAACTGTGCCAACGCAAGGCCTCCCCTGCACATCGAAGACCAGTGATGTCTAACCTAAACAGCGAACTACCGTTTCTGTGGTGAGATCTCACACAAACTTAACCATAATATGTATATTTAAATGGAAGACTTTTGAGAGCAGAGAAGGAATAACGTCGATTTGTTCGTTCCCTTTAGCGCTTTTTTGAGGGAAGGACGTTCTCTTTGTATCTGCCGCTGACGTTGCCTGGGGGGTCATAGTTGAACACAGCGAAGACCTCGTTCTGCTTGCGTGGATTGACAGCCACGCCGATCCCAAGTCGCCTGCTGTCCTTCCACACGACTTGAGTGAAATGCCCTGGAGAAAAGTAAAGGGCCACTAATCAGTATTTGCCGCCAGAGGGCACTTAACCTTCAACCTTCAAACCAAGGTCGCAAAATTAATAATCATTTCTGGCTGCGACTGGAAATGACACGTGCGCATAATGAAAGCCACTATAACGAGCGGCTACAGCCTCTAAGTTATAGGTTCGTGTATACTTTTTTTGCCTTAGCTATTTAATTCGTACACAGCATTACTTTGAAGCAATAACCTTCGAGTAGATCGAGCAATCTAATGCAATTTGTTGCAACCGCAATCAGTTCAAACATCCCCAACCCAACCCAACCCAACCCAACCCAGATTCCAAATACGTTTTTATACACATATAAATTTGTATTTGCTTTTCTGTAAAAAATTTCAAAAAAAGATGTCCTCACCAAAAGAAACTACGAAAGCCACATGTAGTGCCATCAAGAATGTTCACAAAAGTACAGATTTTTTTTTCGAATTTCGTTTTTATGAAGAATACGGTACTTTCTTGAAGGTCGTTTTTGTGAAGCATATGTTTATAAATCCAAAAGCGCCGGTGCCCGGTGATCTCTTTCAGCAATCATTGGGAATAAAAATAAATATATTCTAAATGATGATGCACACACACAGGGAAGCACATGCTCATCCTAGACATGGTGTGGGACATTTTAACGGACACTTAATACTGATTTCAATTTCCACACATACCTCGAAAAAAAGAGTTCGAAAACAGTAATGATTTCGTTAATGATTAAAAATGAACCGTTGCACAATTACATGTACTCTTCGAATTTGTATTTACCTGTGCCCGATGAAAACCCTCCGCTGTTGAAATTGTATCTGTTGATTTCATCATAGAATGACTTAACAGCCTTGTCTCCTGCATTGCAGAGAAAATTAACAAAACGAAGGGTTGTTTTTCTCAGTTCGTGGAGAACAGCAAACAATAATGTAGAAAAAGAAGTTTCTGAAATCGGCCCTATTTTGCGGTTCAAGCGGGATTTGTTGAATTAATACCTAAAAGGGTCAAAGATCAGATGAATAATAAACTTACACAAAGGAATTTTCCTCTTTCTCTTATGTAAACCTTTGGGACAATTAAAGATTTTGTATCGTGCTGTCAATATAGGACGGACAGCGACGGGCAAGTAATGGAGGAGCTCCCATGACCAAAAATTAAATCAATTTTGACAAAAAGCAAATGAGCGGTCTCAGTTTTTGCATCACGTCTTTCGTAGTTTCTTACGTGTCAAATCGACTGCCGATATAGGGCTCAACAAACCGTGGGCAAATGTTGCATCTGGTGTAGTTATTAACCGTGGATGGATTCTGTCAAGTTGATAAATACGTGTGAGTGGCTACAACCATGGATGATTTATGATTTCCGGATCCTGTGAGGAACATCTCGCACTCCATTTTCAAGTCAACCGACCTTTGACCGAAAGGTACAATGACCTAAACGATCACAACCATGACAGCGACAGACGGCTGAGGATTAACGACAGGGATACTTTGTTTCCCCAAACTTCAGAATTTTCATCGAGGAGAGCACTCTCTAAACACTTCCGAAATCCCATGTAAAATGTAAAGGGGAGGTCACAGCCACGCATTTCCATGTATGTCGTTTCTTCAACGATTACTTAAGTCCCAGTTGGCGCGAATTCATTTCCATATTTTGAAAAGGTTCTCTTCCCGACCAATTTTGACAAGTATCCATACAAGTCTACAACTTAAGAGCAACGTTTGCTCAACAATCTAGCGACCAAATATAGGCCACTTCCCGCACACATTATTTACCGGTTAACTCATCCAAGCCTCTTGAATCAGCTCCATAGTAGATGTTCTCGCCGTACTTGTGCTCCGACCGGTGCTGGAGCTGCCCTTCCTTGGCCAATTTGTTGGCCCACTCTTGCGCGTACTTGCTGATGTTGCCGTTCAGTTTGATGTTGGGGGCGCCGTGCATGGACCTGTACCTGTTGTGAGCCTTGACTGCATCTCGTTTGAACTTTGACCTGTAGCCTTTGGATGGAAAAAACACACAAAAATTAAACATTTCATGCAAGTGTTGGGGATTTAGAACACGCCTTCGTTGTCTTCACGCCTTCATCTTCCAAGTATAATTATTCGACAAACAGCCTGGTAGAATGAAAAGAGACAAAGTTGACGATTCAAACTTAATTAAGCCCCACATGGGCGTTACCAGGAAAGGGGCATCTTTCTAGGGGGGAAAAGAACTCAACAGACTAGGCTGTCATTATGACAAACCATCGACAACGGAGGGGTAGAATTCCAAGGCACTTCCATGAAAACTGCAGTTTTGTGCCCGAGTCCTCCTATTGTTATTATTTGACAATGGAAAATCACTGTACGTGATGTATAAATGGACAATCCAAACGATGGGTCATGGATAATCCATCATTCCTCCAAAATTATGAAATCTAGCTGAGGCAAACTTTAAAATAAGGTACTGTGGCTATAAAACAAAAACCTCGCAAAACGTAATGCCTTTAACACGCAACGCCTATCAACTGGATTGCACTAAAAACCAATCACCACTCCAACCAAAATAATCATTTCTTTTTTTAACATACAACGTCTGCTCAGCGGGTCTGTCATGCCCTGAGGAAGGGATGACGCTGTAAACAACATTGTAATGACAATAACATATAAAAATGTTCCAATTCTGATGGCAATCTGGTTTGCAGTGTTTCACTACGTCTGACATTCTCCGTCCATTACTCATCGAGTCGTGTAACTTGTCACATGATGCCTAACCAGCACAAAAAAAATTTGACATTACAACTTAACCTCGTCTAGACAGCATGTATCGTTCGGTATTAAGTCTTCCCGTGTGAACATAACACCGAAGAGATTTCCATTTAAACAAAACTCCACAGCCCTTTCAATCCGCTGAAGTTTTTATTGTATACGTATTATGATTCAACGGATAAAGAGAACGTTGTGGTTTAGTGCACTGTTTCTTTAATTTTTAATTTTAATCTAACATTTACAGATTTGTTAAAAATGACAGCCTTTCGAATGACATGGAGGAACATGAAGCGCATCATTTTTATCTGAAAACATGTCCAAAGCTGACAATGTTGAAACAGTTCAGGGGCCGATCCAGAAATTTTCTGGGGAGGCAAGGGCGGAGATTTAATGTCTCATTTTTGCAGACAAGCGAAAACGATGATGAAACATTACATGACACATTGCTTACAATGGTATCGGTGCACTTACTCTAGTTACTTTTTTTAGTCACCGCCCCCCCCCATTTTTAAAGAGGGGGTGGGGGTTCCTAGCCCCCTTATGGATCCGCGCCTGCAGTTGGAAACTTCTACATGCGATCGGTATCGATTGTATAGCACAAGGAGTATGCTGAACTAAGTTGCCAAACAAACCAAAAGTGCTTATATACAAAATTATTAGAGAGAAAGCAACGAAGCATTTTTTTTTAAACCAAGCTTAATTTTTTAGAGAGACGCAAGTTGACGAGTCTGGCAACGATCAGCTGCAAAGTTACTTCAGACAGAAAGCTATAACATATTATATAGTCCACGTTCATGTACATGTACTGTATAGAAGTACGGTAATTACAGCTACATACGAACAAGAGTTTCATAATCCTTGCTATACTCAAAAACATCTGCACACGCCTCTACGTGAGGTCACGGAATGCACGCCAGCAGTGACATCTTACAAATAAACAAAGTGCTCCGGATTTCTAATTGAGACGCCGTGCTAGTAATAGCAGCCATTACACCCATGTAAAAGGAAACTGGGATGGGCCATTATGTGCAAGAGTTCCCACATATTACGAATACCTGGAATGACTTGTTAAACATGAATGTGAGGAACAGCAATATCAGGATGACGTGTGATTTGATGATTATTGATCTTGGGCTTTAAAAGATGCAATGAAGACACGAGGGGCAGTGACAACCATTTTCAGTTCTTTTCACGAGAAAAAGAAGTCAACATATTCGTGTTCCGTAGTTACTCGAACTGCTGGCATGTGTGTGTGTGGGGGGGGGGAAGGTGCGGATAACCATGGGATAGGCCCCAACCAAAAGTCTTCACAATTATCCATTCGGCCCTATTGTAAGTTTTCTCTAACAAAATAAATCTTCCCACAAGGCGCAGTACAAAAATCCCCTGTTGAAAACTAATTTCGAAGCCACCAGAACAGGAACATTAATCATCAGTTAGATTTTTTTTTATGATATTATTAATGAGGGCAGAGGTGAGCGTGACGGTGAACCGAGACGATGTTTATCTGGCCTTGATCAGCCACGCATTCCGGACGCGTGGCATGGCGTTGGCTGGCTGGAGACAGTCGCGTGCCAGTGACATTTACTCGAGTCCCCGCCAAGAAGCGACCACATTTTTTGAGACACGCCATTGTTAATATTAAACACAATGTGGGGGGGGGTTCCCAATTACAATGCGGAGGCAAAATGGAGCCCTAAGGTAATACGATCTGGCTCCAAGAAATCATGTCATTGTAACAGTAAATGAACGCGTCTCCACAGTAACTTTCTTAAACGGCTACACTGAATTGGGGATGGTTCATTTTCACAGTTGCTATGGCGCAGGGTTGTCTAAGTTGAGCCGCACCTCTGTTTTGTTTCTGCTTTTTTGGTTGGTCTATCTGGGACCTTCCGGGAATTGACAGTCACTTCCTGACCGCATCCAAAAGATCCAGAAACTGCGTGCGCTGTGGTTTCCGGCTCATACTGCGGCAAAACACTGGCGAGGGAAATAAACACCCAAATGGAAGCAAATCCGATATGGAAAGTTCCGGAGATACAGCGAAGGGGCTAATAACAAACAGCAAACGCAACCTTTGAAGCCTAGTGTTCAAAATGTGCGCATGGGGCTTATCACTGAGAAAGTATGAAAGTCGGTAGAAATTAGAAATTCACCAGTGGAAGACCGAGTGCGAATCGGTACGTCCCCCATCCTCGTAACCAGCGGCGTCGCTATCCTCTAAAGCCCGATGTCCTTATAAGGACGCGCCAGCTTTTTTTATGGAAGGGGAAAACGAACAAACACATCTCTACATTGTTCAACAGGCACAGATAGTTTCCACATTTCTCCAGTCTCTGGTGGGTACTTCTGCACGTCAGTTCCGGCTGCTGTCTGCTTAAGTCTTCATCCGGCTCGCATTAATGTCCTCTGTGATTGTTATTAACCAAAACATACTATACGATGTGCTTTGGCATGTCTCGACAAGGAATAAAAAAAGCACGGCTGAAGATAAGGAAGGTAATGTGAGCACAAGCAAAAAAAATACCAGAATGGTACTTTAAATTGACGGTGCTTTAACAATGAAATTAACAATCGCGAGATAATCGAAAATGAATATTCAGTGCTACTTTTGATTTCATTTATAATGGGGGCGTGGCCTTGTACAAGCAGTAGCTTTCTGCCAGCCTCCACGGTTCATCATGTGCATTAACCAATGTAATTTTATGTCACAACAAGATAAATGGAATGGAAATAAACCAAACTAAACTAAACTAAAATTTTGAGGCTTTACTCTTTGGGTCGGTAGAATATCGCTAATTGTGTAATGTCTGACAGAACTGTTACTTATTTATAAAGAAAAAAACCAACAACACATCTTAAGAATTAATAAAGACTGTAGGCATTTTGCCTATATTAACCAACTTAAAAAACCCGTTGATGCAACCTCGGTAAATAACTACATGTATAATACTATGCTGCCCTGAAAAATAATGTTTAGCATGACCTGAAAAACCTGCAGATTAGGCAACTGTGCAACAAATACTCTATATATTCTGAGGTCTTTGAAAAATGTGGCTCTTCTCATGATGTCAGTCCGTACCTGGCAATAATTAACCCAGATTTGCGTCGACCGACCTTGAATACTTCATAGACAACCAGGCCTCGTGAGCTTTCTATTGATTAGTAATGATGAAACGAGTCTGCAGCGACCCGTCCGCCTGCGCATTTCACATGCAATGTGTCGTGGCACGGCATTTGACCTCTTCAAAATATATCAATGCGGCAGACCGATTCTAGTAGAGTTTGAAAGAAATTTTTAACCCTTTCAAAAGCAATTTTTAACCAAATAAGAAATTTTTGACAGTGTTCTCTTTTTGAAAGATCCTTTCTATTGGACTCTTGGGAGCTACATCAAATCAAGGGCTATAGCATGACAAAGAAAGCAAGGGGTTATTTGTTAATTTTGTGACATCTGTCCAACATGGTACATTCTATTTTTTTATGAAAAACATGAATACATGTTCCAAAAGGAGAAAATGACGTCGAAACAAAACCGTGTTTACATTATAGGGGACTGAATGATAAAGCGCCATCATTACTTTCAAAACATGTATTCAGCATACGCTGTTTTTCTGAGAGCATCCCTGCTATGTTGGTCTTTCCCCGGGGCGAGGTCGTAGCGGGATATTATTGATATTGGCTGTCAGCTGGGCTGCAGCCGATATGTCGGCCTCCCGTGGGACGAATGGAATTCAAGGCTAAGACCGACTCCCGAGAAAAGGACCTGCCTCTTTTCTTGGTCGGTGAAATAATGCCCCCAAATGTGACCACAGACAGCATGATTCTCCAAACATTTTGAAGAACTGCTGCTTGAGCAACACAGCGATTACAAAATGTATAAGCTCCATTGATCAGTCCCTTGTCGCATTTTATATACTAACCCGATGTATGCTTTTTTTACACAAAAAAGAGATTAATGGTGTCACGACCAACGTGGATTCTCTTTTCCATTTGGTTTGATTCACACAACAGTGTCCTATTGAAAAAGTCAGGCATGTTCATTTTGTCGGGGACTGCGTTAGTCAAGCGAAACAGGACGCCTTTGTCGCATCCCAAACACCTGAAGCTGACCCAGCATTGAAATCGATGAGGGAAAATACTCTGAATAGGGAAGAGTTTGACCATATAACAAGAGGTACTATTGCTGTAAATTATCTCGTTACACTGATCATAAGAGTCCAAGCTTTCGATGTAATTACAGCAAAGATCCTCCACACTGAAGTCCCAGATGGTTACATTTTACATTTTTGTTCGTTCAACTCCGTCCAGATTATTTCTATTTTTATGCAATCAAAGAGAGAAAAAGTAGAATTAAGTTTCAGTCACAGAAGACCTGTAAGTTGGGCTTGTATTATACACTGTCGTAGAAAATAACGGGCAAAGCAATTATCGTCAACAATGTGACAATACGATCAGCAATACGATCATGCCACCATCACTTCGTGTACTGTTCAGAATGAAAGACAGATACAACGCAACGTTGCGCCTTAACTTGTATGAATAATAAAACGATACACAAAATGAAAATGAACTATGGGCAAACCAGAATCGTTTTGTTTCTCTGTGGGAAGGTCCAGTTCTTGGAGTAAACTAAGCTTTTATGTACGCTTATGTAAACTTAAGCTGAATGACACGACAGACAATGGAGAGGATCTGTTAATGATAAAACAGCTTATAGACCACAGTTGAAGATTAGCATCGATATATCAATAGCAATGGTTGCCAATTGAATGAACGGCCAAGATGCCCACTGCAGCGAACGCGACGTGGCAGCATTGGTAGCTTGCAACAGAATGTCAGACCCGTAACTCCCAAATCTCCTACACTCCAAACACTCATTAAATCCATTGACAGTACCAGTTTTGGATACGTCCTGAAAAGTAAGGCAAAAAACGAGAAGCCTACCGCTCGGGCCAGACGATCCACCGCTGAAACAGCCGCCCATCTCGCACGATCTGCTGTCTTCAGAGGTTGTTCAGAAAGCGCTCGGAGTTAGTGTTAAGCTTTACACGTATAGCCGACAAACCACAGACGAATCAACTGGCTGCAGCAACAGGGCCGCCTACGTACGTGCGTGTACACAGACGCGACGGTATTTGTCACAGAATCTGACTCTAGTAGCGTCTACCGATATTTACTTAAGCGCAAGCCTGGGGAGCGGGAAGTCGCGTACTTCGCTGCACGGTGTCACAGTCCAACCATAGCGAATGCAAGTGTGCACTGTATCTTTGACATGAATCCAAAAAAAAAAAAAAAGCTACTCAGTGACACCCCCGTCAGTGTGGAAGTGGGCGGACGTGGTGCACTATTACCGTAGAGTGCTCTTTGCTCCAGTGCAGTTAGACAATATGCCCATTCGCTTATAGCACTAAGGCAGCGTCAATGTATTTTTGTAATTTCGTGAAAACTAAACCACCCATCCAAGGGCCATATCTTGTCACAGTTTCAACTTGCAATATGCATATACATGTTTTGCAAAACGGTGCCCCAGATAAGTTGTTTGAGAGTCCTTGTCAGTAAGGGTGTCGTAGGGATTTTGTTTGTTGTTTGGCCAGAGAAGGACCGTGTTGGCCCTGGAGTGTCCCTAGAAGGACTGAAAATCGCTGATGACTGGTGGTGCCCTGTTCCTTGCCCCTATCTAGGAGGTTTTTCTTCCTCCGTGTTCCTATCAAGCTATAAAGTCACTTTACCGTATGTGCGTCTTCTGGTCTAAGAATCAACACCCATCCATTTGCCGCGTTTCCCGCTAGTACAACTTCATAGAACATCGTCCGTAATTTATACGCAAATGGACAGGACGCGCAGCCCAAACGCGGAGTGGTGCCTGTTATGGACGGAGATTTGACCTCCATTAGGAAGACGTTATAATGGAGATCAGTGATGGCCCCGCGGTATTAGACGCGTTTCCAATGCGTTTCTCCTCGGTATTCGTAGGCCTAAGTTGCAGAGAATGTTCATTGAAAAACGGGCGAACCACAATAGTACGCCTCCAAGAGTTTGCCAATCAAGAGTTTACGCGTTGGCCAATCACGATGCGCGAAATCTGTCGACTCTGATTTATCTGCAGTTTGGGGGTTAGCTTGAATAGTCCGATGTAAGCAATATATGACTTATTCTTCAACTCATACAACTTCAGAGTCATAGTTTCAAAATCAGGCAAGTTTAGATTTCGAGATGAAGCCGACTATTGGGAAGAAGTCGGTTCAACCCCACTGAAATTGTTGGACCGTAAGCTTTGACTTGAAAATGGTAAGATTGTAGGGAAGCAATTACTTCCTTCCCATTTGAACAAACTAACGGTCGATAATCATCTACTGCCAATGAAAAATTATAAGCGATCAGATTTGCGGACAAAAACACGTCTTGTTTATTAGAATGAGACAGGGCCTACGATGTTCGAAACCAGATGTTACCGCGATACTGTTCCGTCAGTCTCGGCTTAAAGTGTCGTGGAACTGTCCACTAACAACGAAAAAAAAACCCCACACGAACAAAACCAGGACTCAAGCTGCACTGTCTTGAACTCGCTGTGAATTCACTGGAAGGTTAAATTGTAGGACCTCAGAGGTTATGAAAGCATATGAGGGGTGTCGGTCAAAAAAGGTCTGTGCCCGGATAAACAACACCGTGCAAACTGGACAGGCACGGTGCCCAGGTAAACCCCAACAGGTGGTCACAATAAAATCAACACAATTTACCCCTTCTTTTCCTGAAAGGCTTTGTTGGATAAAGAACACCTCCGTGGAAGATTTGACTGCAGTTTTGAAAAGGTCTTTGTAAGAGGCGTTCGAGGGCAATTTTTATTTCTAAGAGTGCAAACTGCCCCACGTTCCCCAAGCCTGACCCCTTGGAAAGAGGATTTTGTCGAACTGTATTTCAGACGGCTTTGTTGTGAAAGGAGGACATCGTATGACCATGAAATCGCCCACAGCAACTTAGCACAGTTTCACAAAACACGATCACGATGAGATCCACCCAAGAAAATCCAAAGCAGGAACTCTGATGCGGTTGTAAAGGCATGACATTAAACTCTCACACGCACAATGTCTTTCAAGGGTTAATCAGTACATATCCTTTCAATTCTTGCTAACCTGGGGAAAAGTAAGAGAGTTTCAGATGTTTTGAGTGATTTCTGCCTCTTTTATGATGACTATTTTTTGATAACAAAGGGAAGACTGAACTGAAGAAAACTCTAAACTCTACGCGACATCGGTAGTCCCTTGCATGGAGTTTGAGAAATATTTAGCTGTACAATAATATTAAAATTTTCCGTTTGATGAGTTCCCCGCCGTTGAACTACGTCTACACGAAGAAATAATTGAGAAAAAGGAATCTGTACAAGAAGACGAAATGTCCCTGAGAGACGCTGATTTCTCAGCGCAATTTTAAAAGCGGTTGACAGCTATGGTCTGCGCCAACATGCTTCCGCGGCGTCCCCGCATAATGGGAAGTACCGGAGAACTTGAAGGTACTTTTTGTGTGTGTGTGTGTGTGTATTTTGTGTTATGCGATCACGTCCGGTAATAGTTGCTTTTACCTCATGCGACAGCACAAGTTCCGACAGTGATCCTTCGAGTTTCTGCAGGTAAGAAGCCATATAGCTAAGCCAGTTACCAGTACATGTCCAATACAAGTATACAGATCCCCCTGCCGAGTTGCCGATTATTAATTTCGCTTATCGCTCGTCTTATTGCCAGAATGAGGGGGGATATGACATGCAAAGATGAAACAAAATACTACCCAGGAACACGATCTTATTCCTCATGTATTGGTTTTTTCTTAAAGAATTAATAACACAAACTGGCACCTGTTCCAGAGAGGAATATAGAATTTTCCAGCCATTATCAAAATCGACAGTGCTATTTCATTGAAAATCCCGGTACATCTGACGACATCCTAAATTCTGTTGGTCAGCAATGTTTTAGATGTAACTTTTTGGAAAGAGATTTTTACATGAACAGTGTACAACAAATCGACGATTGAAAATATACGATGGTGTTATCAAGTCCATATTTCCTTACTTATAAGGATGAATTACTTGAATGCGTCAATTAAACAGGAGTGCAAAGACAGAGAGATCAGTTATTTAAGGAATGGTCTAGGTTAACTCTGACAAACTTAGGAAAACAAACGAAAGATACGATTTCAAATTGGTTTACAATCCCCGAACAACGTAGTGACCGTTTTTCAGTGCTAACTATTACGAGGTGTCTTAAAATACTTGTACATATACTTAAATCTATTCTACAGCATTCCATAAAGGCCTTAAATGAAACAGTCCCACCGATCAACCTAAATTACATGAAGTGAGCGAATCCATCCGCAGGAAATAAACATTCGCGATGGGTGTTGGAACGATTCAACTTTAACAAATTCTCGTCCCCAGACTTAACTTATCGCAGCACAGTCCAATTCTTTGTGGGTATTAAACATTACAATAACAACCCCATTTTAACAGAAAATTGTAAAATGACACAAGAGATTGAAAGGGGAGCCTTAAATATCTCGTCAACCCCTCCATGCATTTTTAATGACAGGTTTTGCCATTGAAAATGCATGGAGGGGTTGACGAGATATTTAAGGCTCCCCTTTTGACGTCAAACATTCACTTCACGATGTTGTTTACGAGTGTACGAGCTACTCGCCCCCAAAGCGTACAGGCTTAAATCACATGTGACGAACATCACCAAAAGTACATCGACCCGTCTATTACAACCATCAAAACTTGATGCAAAGGATAAATAAAGATAAGCATAATCATTATGAAATTTTACTAAGTGCGCACTTCAAAACCAAAATACATCTTTACATTACTCTCCAACTGTTAAATTTGTTAAATATTAATTTGTTTCAGAATGTTAGACATTTAACAGCGGTACAGCGAACTCTCCCGAGTCGGGTGTAACACACTATAACAATACTGTCAATTCCTTCCACTTTATATATTGGACTGTTCCGTAAAATTATTTCTCTTCCTTATCTTTGTTTGATATCAAAAGGGGGGAACAAGCGGGAAAAGTTGAATACATGTATAAAATTTCGCATGTTCTGGCCTTAAATGCTGTTCTATTAACTTTTGATTACGAATAAACATATACATGTACAATGAGTCCGCTGAAAGTCACTCAACATATCACAGTGGTCCACAGTTTAAGGAACAAGGAAATCGGAGTTTTAGGACCCGAATACCAGTACGTGTCTTCTTTGTAGCAGCAAAAGCTTATTGCACACTTTGGAAGGAGGGAAAGGTAATAAACCAAAAAGATCGCTGTTGGAGTCCTCCGGATCTGCCCTTTGTGTGAAGACAAATAACCTCTAGCCATTGCGTAATACGAGTGATTAAAACTAGTTGTATACGGAATTTCTGTATGATCTTAAATTGTTCCTTCTAAGAAAGAAATCTACGAATTGTTGTTTAAAAATTTTACCCTGGTACCCATTTTATTTCATCAAAGCGCTAACTTCTACACAGGAGTCGGACTGCAATAAAATATGAAGGAAACAGTCCTCATGTGAGTCCCGTTTAACTTTTTAAAAATTATTACCAGTTTGCTTTTCACAAGGGCCGAGAGTGCTCGCGGTTGGAATTCCAATTGATGCATGTACTCGTGGACCGTTAGTCTGTTCTTCCCTGCGTCGCCTCACTTATTTTCTTCTGGATTTATGAACAAGCTGGTACACAATACAGGACACTCAATTTGTACAACTTGGTTGTTCTGTATACGTTTCTATAATCGATTCTTGCCTACAGCATAGCAATTCAGAAAACTTTACTTGCCGGTTGAACAAAGGAAGATTGGATCAGTGAGTGGGACAATAGAAATCCCCAGAATCTATAGCATTACAGCTCTCAGTCAAAAAAATTTCATTAAAAAAATCTACTTCATATGGTACCTTAAATCAACTGTATAAGATGGTAAAAATCACTGTATTTCAAAATAGCACCTGTTTCCAATCCCCTTCTGACCATAAAAATTGGTTTCCGAATAACCTCATCTTTGGTCTATTCCCAAACCATCCCATTCGCCAATTTTTCATACTACAGAATCATTTCTGTCTTCAGCATGAAAATATGAACTGTTTATAACATTTAGATGTAATTAAGTGCACTTTCTAATACATGTATATAGCGACTTATCGCTTCATTTCCCCTTGACCTCATACAGATAACAATACATATTCATTAAACCACAAAATTAATTTGAGTGCGCTCGGCAACAAGCGGAGACGCACTCGTGCAAGACCTAAAATAATATTCAGCCCTAGCCCTGCGTGTAAACCACAGCAGACTGGCTGCGGCAAGAGTAACACACATGTCTACAGGGAGTGGCGTCAGCTGCTGTCCAGTGCCTTTTCAATTGGTAAGTGGTGTAGGTGTTATATCCAGCCGCAGCCATAGCTTTTGGACCGGCCAAATCTCTCCTCTTTGACTACTGACATTGTCGAATATGGCTTGTGAGTCCTTTTGGGTATGACCAGGAGCAATATATGGTGTACTGGTATAGTAGACCTTATTCATAAGGAAGCCATATTTGATCACGTTCCCTCAATCTTTTTCAATTGTGAATCACTCTTACTCAATATGGCTGACTTGTGAATGAGACCTATGACCGGCTTAGCAAAAACTCTGCCGTACTTAACGAATATATATACGCTCCAAATATAAATAAATGTTCTCTTCGGATGCTTAGCTGGAAAAATACTTTTCAGCAAATTTACGTACTAAGCACAAATCAGCCGAAACATGTTCGCAAACGATTGACATCACATGGCATTTAGGATGATTAGTGCTTGGTACCAGCGGGAATAACCCCTCACGTACGTCCATCTCCACAAAATGGCGCCGTCCACATTAAGCTTTCCAATGCAAGAAAGAATCTTCACCAATTTGTCAACTGCAAGAGAACCACGTTGAAAAGGAGATGTATGGCGCCATCGAATTTTAGGCGGAGCTGTCGATTCCGAGGAGTTGATTCGTTTCAGTCATCTTCTTCTGTCGGGTGGAGAAACAAAGAAAACTTTAAGGAATTCCAGATATAAATGGACTTTTACCATTATTTTCAAGTGTACATGTACTTGTTATCCTTCCTCAAGCACGGTATAGGACTGATGGGGAAACTAAGATAAGTCTGTGCTTTTCATAAAATCTTGTGAAGGAAATAGATCACAGCTATACCGACGTGCAAAGATTTCTGGGATAGGCATACTTGTTGTTCTAATTGACGCATGTACACCAAATGCACACGCGGTAGTTTTGACCTGTATTATTACTCAAATGAACTCTGTCCATTAAGTGCGGAATGAAAATTACGTCATGTGTTTGCCCTTCTCAGAGCCATGTGAGGGCACTCGGGACAAGCCAGCCAGTCTATACTTGGTAACCTCTTAATGGCACAATGTGTAAATCGTTTGTTCGATGGACCTGCCATTCTCCACAATGAGCTGAGTGAAACGGCCCAATCTGTTGTAAAAAATATCTGTGAAGGGAGTACAGACGTGGCAAAGCATTGTAGGTAGCTTGTTGCCTTAACCACGGATGCACATTTAGCAAGAACGTATTGCGCACAAGGAAATGTTGACCGATGTAATAACAAAACTGTTCAAATTCTGTCTAATCCTCTTTGGACAGAATTTATCAAAAATTTAAGTTTTCGACTTCTGAGGAAATTAGCCCATCCCCATTACCTCTTCTTTGGCCGCATCTTCTGCGGCTTTCAGGTCCTCATAGCGGAACAAGGCTTCTCGAAGTGGCTGGACCATGGAGATATCCAATACAGCAAATACCTGCCGTGTGAAGAAATGGTAAATACAAATAAGATGCATCCCTCTGATCAGTATCTGCCGAACAGTCGACCGTTTGTAATTCTATTAAAACCAAAATGAAACTATTCAAAGGTGATGCGACAGCGGTGCGAACTTTCAGAAAGTCGACAATTCTCGTTGCCACTACCCAAAGTGTGGTTAGCGAGGTACTATTTCCCTGAGGCTGAAAACGTCTGCATGTAAGCGGCAAGTTCACCTTGGCAACCACCTCGAACATGGGAATCAAGACAAACTTGATGAAACCAATCTGTGAGGTCGGCTTGGTGACTTTATCCCGGTCCATGAAGGACGCTACCGGAAGGCCCTCTTTCTTTTCTCGGTCACTCTGAAAATTATTTTGTAAAAAGAAATACGGTAGAAGGAGAAAGGCGAGCGCTTTTGCAATGATCATTAATTGATATTTATGCTAAAATATGATATGAATATTCATGAAATAATGACGATGAATATTAATAACCTGCATGAAGTATTCCTCCAACAGGCAGTCCACCCAAGGCTCAGAGACCTCCATAGGTCGCACTTCATTGGATATGTCACAACACTTGATCAACAGCATTTTCAACTGTAAACGCAATAAATTCCCGACAGTCACTCATTGATCGACTTGTCACTATCTGTCATTGATAACTGGCGATCGTGGACAAATGACCACCTACAACCGCCTACCACAGTCGTGCATCATCCATTAGGAATCTGGACTGTTGACTACACTATTCAAAAGTCCAGTACCAAAAGTGGAAAAAATTTTTATGCCAAAAATGAAAATGTCATTTTCTAACAATAAGTTAGAAATGATTTTTAATAGGAAAAAAATTAGTGCTGTAATATCCGTTCTTACATAGTTGAGATGTTCCTCGTTGTTGAAATTGAACCCACTCTCCACGTATTTCTTGAATTGGTCGAGTATCTCGCTGTGGCGAGCCATGTCGGTAGCCAAGATGAGCATAATGATGCCCTAAAATAGGAGATTTATAGATCAGTAACAAAAAAAAAACCTTTTATTATTTCAAGAGCTTTTTTTCGGCGTGATATATATAAATTCAATCTTCGAGACGAGGTGGAATTGCACGGTAAAAGGATAAGTAAACACTGGAAATGAGTTTTAAATTTTACAATGGTGCTTTATGCAAGTAATGTTTCTTTGAAAGCGATGTTTCTTGAACAAAATAAGAAGGTACAGATATTCTGATATCGCGCCCCATACCTGGCGAATCACCTTGAACGTGTCCGGTTCGGTGTTGGCGAAAATGTTACAGTCAGGGTTACCGATGATCTTAAAGGCCACGGCACAATGGTGGTTCTCCAGCGGGGATATGTCGTTGTAGCGGATCGCTAGGTCTGTGCGTGCATTGATTTGGTACCTGTACACGGAAAGTTTGCGAAGAAAGAGCGTCATTAGGCCCATAGAAGGATTCTGATGCTTTGCAAGAGAAGTTCGGTTTGCAACCGTGTTTGTGACTAAGGTGAACCCGCTGAACGTGTCGTGTTCGAAAAAAGCTTCTCGCAGAACTACGGACATACGTCTCTTGTCGGCGCATCCCCACGTATTTCCAATGGAGCAAAGACTTGAGGTAAACCTAGCTTTAGACAACAGAATTTGATGCAGCCTTACACTAGGGCGCATTCATAGAAATGCAAAAGATAAAAGCGTTTCTTAGGAAAATAATATATGCGCTAAACTTTAAGCCGAACACGCCGAGCACCAGTCGCGTGCAAGATACTTTGATTGGTAACCTGTTTTTGCTGAGTAAATGTCTCCTTCACGAATAATCTATGCTAAACAAGTGCAGTGAGATTTGCTCCAACATTATGTAAACGTTCACGCCTGGACTTTATTTTGGGAAAAAAAGATGGTCCGAATAGTGGATTATTACCCACGTTTAAAGCAGCTCATCTTTCATTCTAACTCTACTTTTTATGTACTGGATTTCGGAATCCTGCCTGTGAGATTTAATGGCAGCTGTTTGTCAGAGTCAGAGCTTTATGCAGAGAGAATACCTCCAGCTTCAGACTTTGTTCATTGAGTGTGTTGTACAGCATGCGGGTAAATTGGGCCTGTTTGTTTCATACGGTTCTGGATCTCGATCAGCGATCCTGACGCTGGTGCTATGCATTAGGCGCGTTCTGGTGTCAGTGAACCAATTAAGGATCGCTGATCGCAATCCGGATCCACGATAAACAAGCAAGTCCATTGTAATATGTTAATGTGTATAACCCACCATTTTGCTTCCAACAATTTAGACTCTTACGTCGCAACTCCTTCTCAACAGCTCTGATCAGACTATGGGCGTATTCTTTTCCCTCAATAATTTCGTTTCACACGCGACCTTAAACTGATGATAATCACCCCAGTACTGAGGTTGTTCAATTTGGAATAAAAATTAAATATGAAACGAAAACAAAGACAAACCAAACCAACAAACTGACGAATGAAAGGAAGCCTACGTGTTGTTGTATCCCGGGTGGTCCAAGTCGTGACAGAGTGCTGACGTCAGCAGAATTCCCAACTCCATCCGGGACAGTATTGAGCTCAGGTTGCAGAGGTGGATCATTCCGTACATCATCTGTGTCACGCAGAAGCAGTGTCGGAAGTTGTGGAAGGGATTGTGGCGGTAGTTCTCTTGAACACACAGCTGGGGAAACAAGAAGTCAAGATGAAAATGTGTTTCACAGACAGACGTTTTGAAATCCAAGGAGAATCTTGGAGAATCGCATTATCTTCACATTGTGCCATTTCGATTCATATGAAGATGTAAACACCTTTAGGCCTACATAATCAAATACGTTTCGTACCAAAAATCGTTTAAGCACCAGTGAGTTAATACTGAACTCCTCCACCAGTCCAAGCTCGTAGTACATGTGTTCCAACAGGCACAACATCTAAAGAAAAATAAAAAACCAAACAAAAAACCCACCAAAATAAGTAAGGAAAATCATCAGCATCGCCGTCGACATCACATCAAAAAGGTTACGCTGCGCCCAATGATAGCTCGTGTGGGTCGTCGTCCTCAAAAACGCACCTCACAGTGGATTGTCGTGCACTGAAAGTGTAGCCGCAGTGTATGAAAACTCCTTTACACTACCATTTGATTAAACGCATAAAAAAGCCCACTTTTTTAATCAATTAAAATTATTCATGCTTTCCTGAACAATGGAGGGCGCTGGTATTGTGATAGCATCCAGGGGAGACAAAGTTCATTGCATAGGATTTTTAATTAAAATCGTGAACCTAGAATTTACTTAGTGAAAATATTTTTGAGAAAGGGGTTGGTGTTCGCCCATTGCCATGCACGTAAACAACACTGAATCATCAAAGAAAGTTTAGTCCAGCAAGATTTACAAAAATCCACGACTTTCACATTCACAAATGTAACATTTTGGCTTTTTTCCTGGGGGTGAAATCACAGTTTTGCTCATAATTGTGGAAATATTTATTAGTGTAAAACGAACAGAGGCAGTAAAATTTCCCTTTGAAATAATGAAACAAAAGTTAAGAAGAAAGTTACCAGTAACTGAGACAAAAAGGTGCATTTTAAATGTTTGTATTCAAACAAATATGGCGATTCACAATAGTGCGCCTCCATGAGTTTGCAACGCGTTGGCAAATCACAACGCACGAAATCTGTCGACCTTTGACAAACGCGTGTTGGGTCGAAAAAAAAATCGCTTTTTGTAATAGGCCAACGCGTGGCAAACTCGTGGAGGCGCACTTCTGTGAATCACCGTATTGATTACAGCGATACCTTTAGATGGTTCTAGGGGTCGTTTCAAAACTACATGTAGGCCTAATGGGGTTCGAACCAGCCACGGTCGATGCTTGTTTAAGGTTTCCAACCTCATTGCAAGACGTGGGAAATGAGTCCCAAAAAAGCGGCCGCTTGCTGGTTTCCCAGTCCTTACTTTTGGCGCCAAAATCTCGACTGCATTTGATCAAACTGACCTCATTGGATTCCCAGTGCCAGATATCAAAGGCGGGCTTCTTCAAGTACTCAGTTGTCTCTTGTGACAGGGTGTACTAGACAAAAAGCCCAAAATTAAAGTCATTATATGAAATAAACAATTATACTGAAAGACTATCCAGATTTTGAAGCGACACAATATTCGGCCACAAATGAAATATTAGTTTCTTCTCTGGCGTCAAAACAAATCTGATGTTTACTGCATTTCCTTTTCTTACTTGGAATTTCTCCCGTCCAAAGGTCCAGAGAAGAGAAACTCAATCTTTCGTTATTGAAAGGAATGACTGAATCAAATGACAAAATTTGAGAATGTGGAAGGTTTCTGTTTTGAGACAAGTCCTTACGATTTCTTCTCGCAGACTTTTCATCTCGCATTTCCGATTTTTGATATTCTCGAATCTGGAAATCACACAAGCCCAAGCCCACCGTGGATCTTGGCTCTTACCTTGGGGTACTTGGGCACGTCTCGTCGGGCCACAATCTTCTTCTCATCCCGCTCAGGGATGGCGCATTTGCAGAATTTCACATGCCTACTGCAGAAAGGAGGACCGTAACTGTGTCAATGACAAGCGCACAATAGTAAGGCTACATCGGGCAATTAGGACAAAATCAGTCAAGAAGTGAACAGTTTTTAGTTACACGGACGCGCTAATACGAATGAAATTGGGAAAAGCCTTTGTCTGGAATCACAGAAATGCGCTCTACCTTTTCGCATTCAGTAGCTCTTCCTTCAAGTTCTTCAACTCCAGTTTGCATTTTTCAATTTCGATTGCCTTCAATCCTTCAACTGTGAAAAAAACGAGGCTTTACGTAAGTTTATGTCACAAATAGGAGACTTAAAATAAAGATGAATTCCGACACGTGTATTCAGCAAGCCTTAGGTATTCTTCAGAAAAAACTATGAAAGACCGGTTGTTTTGTATAACTGCTGCTGCAGTGCTGGCATCAAGGGGAGGCTGCTAAAGCTAGAAGTGGCATGCCCAATCTGTCCAACTGGGCCCTACTTACAAGCTTGGGCTGCTTAGTAAACTTCCACCCTTACGGGTCTAGGCTAACGATACAGTGGAAACCATGCCTTATTTGTTTTACCCCATTTTCGACAAAACTTTGTACACCGAGAGCGAGTTGTGAGTAATGCACCCTGTCTGTCCAGAGAAAACCTCGGCCCTTTTTGCCCGTGTTCGAGCCAGCATTCTGATTGGCCAAGAGGCTCGCAAACGGGCAAAAAAGGGGCGTGTTTTTTCTTGACAGACGGATTGCACTACTGCCGGGCGTTTCATTATTCTGAGCACGTGCGTGACGATCGTTGTAAGAAATCTTTGCCATCATCAACGTTAGCAAAGCTGGAACATTCTTTGACAAAAACTGCAAATCTCTGTTGAACTTAGAGTAAATTTCTTATTATTACAGGTGGACGCGATCTGGAGAGAAAGAGTGGCACGGATGTTTGAATCAACCGTGTGTTCAACTTCACCAGCGAAAAGCATTTTCTTTACGTATATAAATTTAGAGGCCGTAATAGTTTTCAATTTTTTACCCAAGTAGCATTAAGACGTAGCGCCTCTAAATAATATAAATGAGTTGTTTACCGCAACTTACTTTCTTTTTTCTTTTCGATGAGTTCAATTCTAGATGACAGCTCTTCCCTGATTTCACTGACTCCCAAGGCCCTGAGCAGCAAGTAAAAAGCAAGACAGTTGGCTCTCGTTAGGCACAATACACAGTCGACTTCTCATAATACAGGATCGACAGCAGCAAGGCGAGCATGAATCGCTTCGCCGTTAGTGCTGCATGCATTTGAAAGGTCCATCAAGGGCCACCGTAGCTAAATGAGGCACTGGTGTGTTCGTCTGTGGTTGAGTGTGACCCTGCTAACGACAATCGATCCCTTCATGTGCACCCTTCTTCGAAAATGGGTCGAGATACGTTTACTCACTTAGTGAATTGATCCGCAACCTGCGTTATCACTCCGGAAAGCACAGCATTTTCTTGGCCTATGAATAGAAGAGAAAAATATCTTGATACCTGCTGGGAAACGAATCCAGATAGGCCTATGGCAAAAAGTTGAAGTTATACGACAGTGACCATACACACATAAAAGAGGTCGCCATATTTTCGTCCAATAAGGTGAATATGGTGGCTATCCAAACCTCATCGAATGAAAGTTTTGAAACTCAAAAACAAAACATGTTCAAATGCTAGATTTCAGGTATTTCCGTATCTTTTCGATTTTTGTAGGAAGCTCCTCGTAAGCCAATGAAGGCACTCCTTTTTAAAGAAGATACAGCCGTAAACTTCTGTTATTACTCACCAATTTTCCCTCAAACCCTATGAGTGTCTGCACAGTAGCAGAAACCGATAAAGCAGAACAGCATTTATGATCCGCGCCACATGTATGGCTGATGTGTTTTCATCTGCAATCCCTGTACATATTTAGCTGTCCCAAATATAAACCCTAGTCACCTTCCCCAGATAATATACATACACATAACCTGTTGCAAGTTCACAAATATATAGACAGGAAATAGTTGCAGTGAAACAATTGTGTTTTATTCTCTCTCCATCGATCAACGATAACACAAAGTATACCCGCAGTAAAGCCATAATCAAAGGTTGGACCATAGTTGGGAAGGGGAGGCGGGTGGGCACTCCCCACCTGCCTCATCCTCATCTCCCAAAAAGAGAAATTAACAGTAAAAAGCCTGGGGAACTAAGGAAACGGAAACAAGAATACCTCGGAATCGACCCTTTTTGCTTTTCGCCTTGAGTAGAGCACCCCCATCGCTTAAAAGAGCCGTGTTGATCATTTTGTTAGTAACGCGTGCATTTCAAAGCCGTTTGTGAACCGGCGAAGCTCAGTTCCGACCAAAGGAGCCTCTGTTTCTAAGAAAAATGCGCCCTCTATTGGTCCAGATCGGGGCTCAATGATGAGTCATGCCCTCCCCCTGGATAAAATTTTAGTGACGCCCATGGGTTGGAGGGTTGGAGAGGTTTGGCTACACGTATAAAGGGAAAACACAAGCACGAGTGATACTGTTTCCGTCCGTCCTATCTTGACAAATCGACTTCGCTGATTTCATCACCATTCAAACACATACATGGACATCAAATCTAAGCCTTTGATATCGACAACAAAAGGCGTTAATCATTCAAACCTCAGCGTCTGAATCAATTTGATTTCCAACGCCGCTGCCCTCTTTTGTTTCACTTATCTTTTCTACATTTGTTCAAGGTTAACACGGTCTTTATCAGGTCTTCAGGAGAATAGTTGAGAGTAATGAATGTAATGCTACGTTGTCGTTACACGCTGATTCAAGGCCATAACCCATAGCAACAGTTGACGCAGGTGAGTGCGCTCGAATGCTAATGGTTGAGTGTAACTCAACGGAAAACAGAAAAAAAAATCGGTTCGACTACCTGCACCAAACATGCGTGCGTCAGGTATCACCTTGTAACGAGTTGGTCGACTGTTTTATTGTGTAACGAGCGAAATTTCACTCTTTCATGAGACAAAAGGATTCAAAGCACAATTCTTATGGGAAATCAGGTAAGGCATTTTCAAATGTGTTCCCTGAATCTTGCACACTGAATGCAATTGGGCTGGGTGGTGCCAGACATATTGGGATTCCACGCCTCACTTTCATTTTTTAAAAATCTGGCTTAAAACATTTTCAAATTATTCTAAAACTGGCATTAATTTGTAACATTAATATATATACATGTATATATTTATATACTTTATTTTGTTACAATTATTTTTACTCCCAGGCTCCGAAAATGAAAGGTTAACTTCAATGTAAATTCACGATTGCCGAATTCAGTCTTATTTCAAGGGTTTGAACAGGCACTCAACATTCGACTGAGTGGATTTCACTCAACCTCGTCGCACCCATTGTCTCTGATGGATACCGTGATTACTCATCCTTTGGAAATAATGGGGAACATAGCTCATCAATCATGCCCTCGCATCACCGTATAATTCCGTTTTCCACCCCAGCGCCATTAAACTAAACTGTTTGGACTCTGTGAATTACGTTTGGGAAAAACGGCCGAGACTGCATTAAGGCATCTAGAAGCCGGTCCCCGAGATGAGTTAATTTCCCATGGGTGACGTGAAATGTATAAAGTATAGGTCACAGATTGCATATTTTCCCCATATTCCTTACATTTGTCATGCATTTGTCTTGTTGGGACGAGAAGGCGGTTTGCATTTGCCGGAACGTCAGAAGCCCCCGAAATCTAGCGAGGTAGGTTTGAGGGGGAGTTGAGCCATTGGCATTAATAATCCGCCGCTTAAAGTCACGTAGGTTTTCATGCTCATCAGTTGCGAACGAGTCTTTGTCTAAGTGTCTTTTTTCCCTCCACTGTTTTCCACGCCCAATTTTATGGCGTGGAATAACTGCCAATTTATTCTGACAGAGCCGCTGTGATTTCATAGACACTGTCAAGCAGTAAGCGCAGAAAGTACAGGCGTAATCCCAGAGGGAAACGTTGTGTAAATCGTTGTCGTAACAAAAATTACAAATTGCCATGTTCGCGTCAAAACAGGTTCGTCAGAGCTGTGAGATGATGCTTATATGCACCGGCGTGATTTTCTGCTAGGCTGCTGTTGCGCATTGTCATGAATAAACTGGCCCTGGTTAAGGTTGGCCACAAAGCGAGTTCCTTTTTCTACAACCATTGCTGTGCATTTGCTGTGGTTTTTGTTTTGTTATTGCCGTTCGTGGTTTGTAATTTGTTGTTAATTAAAATTTTTTTGCACCTTCCATTGTTGTGTACGACACAGTATTGGCACTCATTTGCTAGAGGATATCATTTCGCGAAAACCGGGATATCAACAACTTCGGTTTCACGAACTAACAGCCGTGAGTGTGCACGTACATCGGACACTGACGGGAAAACAGTGGCAATATAAAAAATGCGGCAATGAGAAAAATGCTTTGAAAGGTCTGACGTGAACTTCATCCATCTATACACTTGTTGCCTTATCCCAAAGTCTAAATAAAAGCCGTTTTAACTGATGGAATTAAGATTGCTATCAGTTCGTGAAAACGAAAGTACACAGAGTACAGGCTTGAAGTGCCGCTCTATGCCCGTGTGCCTGTTTGTGAAAACGAAAACAACTCGGTTCTCTATTAAATGCGTGCAAACGAGCGCATCCTTCGCACGACTGAATGTCACTTCGTGGTGTCGATGACAACATACAAAATATACTCACCTGCGGATTGACCAGCGTCCTCAACGGCAAATAATTTATAGGGCGTTCTGGAAGAGACGTGCATTACGAAAGAACTCTGGTTCATCACAAATGGGCACAACTGCATTTTAATAGAAACTTTGTTTTTTATTGCGCTTTTAAAAAGTCATGAAGTGTAAATTTACCACTGAACTGGTTTTTGTCCCATGTGGATATTAGGGTGACGTTTTAACATTTATTTGTCATCACAGTGTTTACAGTGCGGGCAGCTAAAGATAATTCATTTACACTTAGTTAATTTTGACTGTGTGGCATTTTGTTTCATTTTATTTGCAGCTTAGGCCTTTGCCATTCAGGACTTCATTAAAGCTATCTGACTGTTTGATGTGAATTGCTTATTTGTTCTCTCACTGTTCGCCATTGTCAGTAAAATGTCATTTGCTGTTATTACTCACGAGGCTGTGTTCAAAGGCATTGCAGGTGACACGCTGACAAGGGCGCCATCATCGTCCTTCAATATGATAGTTGCCATTCTTATAGTCAAAAGGAACAAAATAATTGGAATTTAGTACAACGTGGATACAGTACACCCTAAGGCTTGTACGAGATGAGGGACTGGCCTCTATAATTATTAAAGCTCACCTAACCACACGATACTTAGGGGTATGACAGTAATAACAATCCCACGATTTCCTTCACCCTTGAAGAAAAAGGAGGAAATAAAAAAAAACAGCCCAGCCCAACCCACAACCCAACCCAACCCACCCCACACACCCACCCACCCACACACCCAACCAGCCACCCACCCACCCAACCACCCAACAAGTGCCCTTTTTAAAATTCAAAATTGACCAAGCATTCATGGAAAAGTGACGGCGCTTTTTCTTTAATGCAAATCAAGGAAGACATGGTTCAGTTTGCACGTCTTTATGTTCAAATTGTGATCTCAAAATTTGCTATTTGAAAGCATTTCTGTGGAAAGAATATTTGCAGGCTTATTGCTGTATACTTTAATACTCAGCAATTAATTGCCAAAGGAAATTGCATCTGAGACAGCAGTGTTTTTAAAATCTAGAATTTTTCTGTGCAGAAATATCAGTGCAGCATTGGGATTCAGTGCCTTGGATGACATCAGCATGCATTTGCATAAAACAAAAAACCTCAAAAATGGGTTAAAATTGAAAAATAACAATTTCAAATCAGGTTAATTGAAACCCAAAGGTGCAATTTCAAGGGCTTTAGTAAAATATTTCTATTTCAAGGCACTTTAAATACTCATAAGAATGAGCTGCCTTGTACCGACGAGGTTAGAGACGTGATAACTACTCGTGTTAGCAAGGCCATGATGGTTACCTAAACATTGTATTATAGCTACTGTATAGGACATCCACCCCTTGACTTATTATAGCTTACGCGATGTTCACGTATTTAATTAAATCCGCCTCGAGCAGAAACACTCCCTTATCTATTGAAAAGAGCCATATTGGTTGGGAGTATTTATTTCGTTGGTTGCCATGATGCAAGAATATAATGTGCGAATTTCCTATGGTCGTTCATGGACAGGCAAGAATCAATTTTGATTTCGACCAATGGAGCCCACGTTGCTAAGTAAATTGTGGTCTCTCTCCCCCCAGTTCGAGGCTTATAAAGGCGACTTCCCAGGGTACTGTTCCGCCGTTTCCAGTTAAGATGCAACCTCGTTCCCGTTGCGTCGAGCGGTATATGCGCTACCACGAATTGCTCTCTCGCCCTGACATTAGGTGATAAGCATATTTTAAACTGTTAGACAATAAAGTGGTCTGATGCCACTGCACTGTCGCTAGTCAATTTTGTCAATGTTAATATCTGAATTTGATGGCAATGGCGCTTGACTGTAGTGATTCCTGGCATTCCAGCATGTTCTATTATAAACGATAAAAATTCGATAAGACTAAAAGTCGAAGAAGGAAAGCCAATGTTTGGTTAGAACCACTGGGAATGAAGTTTGCAATTGCTTTTAAAGTATCATTAATCATTTGACATTAAAAGCCACCCAGGACACGATACAAATGTATTTCTCATAGGTACAGCAAATCATCTTTATGTTTTGTGGCAACTGCATGCGAAATGAATCCTTGGAACAAGGCTGGTTACGACTCTACTGCTCAAATGACGTCAGTAGTAATTGGGCCGGATAATGAACCTGCGTTGTTGCTAAGGAGTAAAGTCTACAGGGAGGGTGTCCTTATCGCCTGATACTCGAAATTATGATATCTAACGTAGACCCCTGGCTAAAATACATCGCCGACTTGTTCAGTTGGGTATGGGCAAAATTTCCTCCCCGTTTCTCCTTTCTGTTATTATGCAATGCACGTTTTCTGATACCTACATCCAAAGTGCACGGTTAACCTCGGTTTCAATTTCACGGGACATTTTTTTCCCCTTTGGTTTTTAAGCTGACGAGTATTTTAATTTTTATGAGCAAAACTGTAATGTCATCGCGGCAAGAAAACCTCAATGTTACATTAGATTGTGCACAAAAACTGCTAATTTTGGTTTGGTTTTTTATTTTTTTAAATTTCCTTTTCTGCATCTAAATAGCTTTCAAACACGGGATAAGCGTATGAAGTTGCAGCCAAATTGTATCAAAGAAAAATTCATTATCGCTACCCCTAAAATGTTTTTGTTATATCACGGAAAATACAGCTCCGTATACATGACCCTGCTATTTGATGGTAATTATTGCATAAGTTCCTCCTCTATTGCCTCGACTCCACCCCCACAAATTGGGAGGTAATGGGCATGAATTTTGTATCAGTGTCTTCCTTCAGGAAGATGGGAATCAATTCCTTCGATTTTTGAGTGTGTATAACCATCAGAATCGAAAATAGGTCGCTTGTGTTCCTGTCTTATACAAGATTGTTTTCTTCTTTCCTTTCTTTTTCTTTTTTCTTTGGGGGATTTTTCGATTTTTTTTGCTGCCCTTTAAATGTCTCTCTATAACCAGGCGTTGAAAAGTCTAGTTGAAAAATCCAGCTTCTTCATTTAAGCAGCACCATTGGGAAAAATTTACCGCGCCCTAGCGAAATATAGCAAGGACAGACCAGTTTTTTCATCTTAATTTGCAGCGACGCCTACCCTAGCAAACTGGCTCGGCAGAGGGCGTGGAGGTGAACTCCCACTTAAAAACCATGCCACTCCCTCCCCGTCGTCCCATTGAAAATGTGGGAGAAAAAAGAAACAAAATAGTTATAAAGAAAAGCAGAGAAAGTCACTGAATACACCTGCAATATGCGTCAGTGACAGAGCATGATGGGCCGCATAGCACGTCGTTTTCCCGCACGCCATATGAAATCACGAGGGAAGGGAATTGTCCATTACCTAGCAACTACACGCGGCATTCAGATGGATTGCGCGAGGAGTGCGAGTGCATCTCTCCGAAAAGGGAAGCGTCCCCTGAGATGGATCTACTGGGAAGACTTAATAGACACCAATTGAGAATGTCCACAATAATATTGGCAAAAATATTGAGCAAGCAGTAGTGTAAAAACTAGTGGCCCTCGACCAACGCTTTTTGTCTGAACAATTTGGCCTTCAGTTGACGAAAAGCTTTGGCTTCGTCGAGTCTTCCTAATGCACAGCGATGTGTCCAGATTTTACAATACCAACAATGTACTAAACGTACTTTTTGTGCCTTGGGTTCTAGTTGAGGAAGCTGCGTGTCTTTCTATCTTCACAGCAGTTTTGATTTTTTCATATCTTTTTTTTTTACTTTTATACCGGTTTTATATCCCGGTCACCCTCATGGAATTTGGGCATCCATGTTTGAATTACATTCAATCACGTCATTTTCAACATTTTTTTTTAGATTACTTATCCTTCGAATTTCGCGAACTAGAAGGGGTGTGACCACAAAGTTTTCAAACCATTCTGAACGACAATATTCGAAATCAGTTTAATTCAACGGGGTACCACTGTCTGGAATAGGCCATGCATTAAATATCCAGGACGCGGTCCATATTTATCTCAAAACCGACAGCACAACTTCACTTTCTATGTTTAATTTAAATACTTTATTTACACACAAGAGTGAGGTAATGATTCTCCTCTTGTCAAATGATGTGTTGTTTTCCTTCGTCCTCGATTTTTTTTGTTTACCTATCAATGAATTAATCACCAACACTGTAATTTGAAAAACATTAAGTACAAGACGTTGAGATAAACGTTCAGAATCCAAAAAGCATATCTGTTTCCGGAAATTGTTATGTTATACATGAAAACGTGTCTCTGGCGTACAGTCTGCTTGCTTTTATTACAAGCTGGATCAGATAACAATAACTTTTGTATAAAGTGTGTAAATCTCTAAATGTATCATTGAAAAATTTGATAATTTAGAAGGCGTTGGATTAGTTTAGTCCACACATAATGTTCGTGTCATTTATATCTCGTTTGTTGTATGTAACATCGGTTTCTCCAAGAGATTCGTTGACGTAAATGACAATTTGTTCGATGGTAGGTGCTTGGATATACATCGAAAATTTGAACCGGAAATTTTGAGATGGGGAAAGGTGGGGGGATGACTTGCTCGGCCATGGAAATTTGAAAAGCAGGGGGAGGATGACACCATAATGATCATAATTACAGAGGTTGATGTTCATAATATTAATGTGCATCTATAATATGTATTCAGAATGGCATGTCTATGGCTTATAAAAAAATGTTTTACCTTTTGTGAGTGATGCTGAATGTATTTTTGTAGTTGGAAGTCTGACAAATCCTTCGTAGTTCGCTTTAATTTTTTGCTCACCACAAAAAGTGTGGGGGGGGGATGATTCAACAGCCCATGTCCCACATCAAGAAGTCGGGGATATATATCCCATCATCCTCCCTGGATTTACGCCCATGGATATAAACTAATTTTCATGAGGTACTTAGATGATAATTGCGTCTTGTGTGGAAAGGACACGATACGCCCCCTGTTTAATATCAAGTCATGACTGTCTTGCGACAAAAGGTTTTTGATTTGAGCGAACTTACTTGTTCACTCCAGCCGCTGCTGCCAACAGATCATGAACATCTCTGGTGCTGCATCTTCGCCCAAATTTCACCTGAGTCAAAACAAAATAAAAATCCAATTCAAGGAAAATGTGAGTCATTTTTTGTATGTGCTATAGACATACATATTGAAGGGAAAACGTGCCATCGTTTATTCTTTGAGAGATCTCAAAATTGAGACATCTTCAAAACACGTGTGTGGGAAGTAAAGTCATGCAGGAAAATAAGGGCCTTCAATTTACAAAAAAAAAATTATTTGTCTTCGCGTAGAAATTCTTTGAGTTAATATATTTCTTGGGAAAAAGGCAAGGTCATCCATGAAATCAGGACATCGGAAGATCTCTTGTGACACACTCCCCTGTTCTCTTCATTTAAAGTAACAGACAATTCTAGTTTCCTTGACAACGAGATACACGGCTTTTTTTCTCGCGGTGCAAGTTTGTCAACCATGATAGCCCCAATGCCAGGAAATTCAAGATGCTGTCATGCGTCCTTGTGGCACTGGGCGAACCAAGATCAAACCGAGGTCGCCATCGGCCAACCACAAAGAAGTAAGATTCTGTCAATTCCTCCGCAGCTGGCCTTTCAAGTTGTCCCGATAAAAGCGCCTCACAACAAGCCTCGCTGGATCGTTGAGGCGATGAACCGTATTTTTTTTCCCCCGATAATGGATGTCATTAACCGCTCGACGCTGTCGTTCCCACGTCGAGGACGTGAATACCCGTACGTGTCGACTTTTCCATCGTAATTACGTACTAATTACGTGCTGATGCCGTACGCGGCGTGCGATGGTATTGTTAGAACTTGAATAAATATGGTAAGATCGAAACTAAACAATAAATGCAGATTCCTCGTACCACAAACTTAATAGTTTTTGCTTGACAGTTCAACTTGTAGCCAAATGCTAAAATAAGCAAACCTTTGTAATGAAAAATTTATTCACATTTTTACCAATAAAGACATACGTGTACTGTTGTATTCTCTCAAGTAGACTCAGCTCTTGTGCTGACGAAAAACAGGAATTGGCCCAGCAATATTTTCATAACTAAATAGTCACTTAAAGCTTGGGGGAGGTCACATCAATTTGAATGGGACTGTCATCAATCTTCAGCAAGATAAAATAATAATATATAACCACTCAATCCAATATCGTCACACCGCCAAGATGTGCGTCAACCCCACGGACACACTCCTTGTCTCAACGCACGTACCCTTTTAATACACGTAAAAGGATTGGCGTACACGTTTCTAGTAAGCGGACTATTTTATCTGCTCTACCGTCGATAAATCACGAAGGTCAATAAAGGTTGATTCACTCATTCCCGATTTTTAAAGCCTCGTTGTCACGAAAAGCAATTCAATTTAGGAAATCGGAGAGGGGTTCTTTGGCTCCCTCGAGATGAAAAGTTCGGTGAAAGATCATTTAAAGATCGGGAAGCGCCCCGACAATTTTGGACATGTTCAAAATTGTCGGGTGATTCTGTGGAAAATGCAGTTCCTTGTTTATTCTCGTTGTATCACAACTACTGTAATATTCTTTTTGCATTCTTACAAGTTTCGTGGAGTTATTCTTGGTAGTAAACAGTTTAGAATCACGCCGAATCATTTAAATGTATCAAGAACTTGTGGAAAGTGATCTTTATCTGCAAATTGCATATGCGTTCTGCACGTCACAACTGGTTAAACAAATTAGTATGAACAAATTAACCTGACATTAAATTTGACACTAAATTTACATTAAACACCAGTCTATTCTGCTTTCTGAATGACACATTTCGGCAAATGTGTTTGAATTCGACTGAACAATAGTTGAAATTGTGTGATAAATGGCGAAATTTAAAAAAATCGGTTGCGTTAAAATTATTGCAAAATACAAAGCTTTGAATTTGAATGAAAATATGTTTTTAAAAAGCCGTGAAAACTTGTATACAGTGAGGAATCCTTGGACCCAACAGATGTCTTGCCAGGGTAGAAACTTCTCTCGTTCAGGCATGGAAGCCCCACCTCCAATCGCGTGATTCGTCGACCTTCTCAAGTACATTTTGAAAGTCTTAAAACCTGGCGCAATGAAAATGTGTAAGCATTATGACGATATTTATTGTTTTCGCGACCAGCTATCCATCAACTTTTTGTCCCTTCAATATTGATAAAAGTCAGCAGCATTCTTTTAACATAAGCGTTGCAGCACGCCTCAGCCGTCCGTCAGCTGCCTCGCAGATTCGTCTGAAAGGCAAATATTCTGATGGATTTCACATGAATACCGAAAAAATGGGAAGAAACCGCTTCATGGTGCAGTGAATACGAACGGATTTGCCAAAATCAGACGCGTGTTTGCTGTTGTCCCTGTTTTCAGTTGCGCTCTTTATGACAAAAGACAAAAACTGAAAACAATTTCTGAAAAGCAGACAACGTCTGTTCAGGAGATGCGGAGAAACCGTTGCTGTAACAACCCACGTGATGCTCATTAATCTTCTGGCTTAGCGACTAAGACCTTGTACAGAGGGCCTTTGGGAAAAATGAAAAGAATGGTTCTGATTAAAAAAATCCTCGTAGGGTGCTTGTCATTTTAATTTTGGATAGTTATTTGGTCTCCATGGAAACCATTTTTTTCTCCGCTCCAAAGGTGTTTAAAATTCATGCTGAAACTCAAGCTTATTTTATGTTAAACATGTTAGTCAATAGAAACATGCAGTGGCTACATTTTTTAAATACTTGGTTGTTGAAAAATGTTATAACAAAACAAAACGAAATTATACAAAGTGCGCCCTGGAAGTGGTTGCCCAAATTTTATGTAATTTGAAGGACTCCTTTGGAGAGGAGCTAGTGCGAAGTCCAGAAAGTCAAACGGTCTCGGCCGCTGCTCTATTCAGCCGAACTAATGTAGTTCTTTAAACCGTGCCCATCACACGTTGATTACTGAGGGAGCCTGGAGAAATTCTCGGACAAATTAAATTCCCCTGGCGGTAAGGTTGGCAGGTTGGTTTATGATTGGTTGGATGACACAAGGGGTTTACGTACGTTATCAGTCGAAATTTGTCTCGGCGGGAAAGCATGATAAATTAAAAGATGGTGAATGGCTACTGCCTGTTGTTGAGTTCTTTGGATCTTCAGGGTCTAGCGTCTCAATGTTAAAAAAAGAACAAACAAAAACAAAACGAAAAAAATAAAACAAACAAAACAAAAAACAGTAAAACGGGCCATTGAGACATCGAGCACTCAACTCAGCTTTAATTCATGGATATTTTCAATCGGTTTTAATTCATGGACATTTTCAATCGGTGTGGACGCCACCACTTCCGTGCTGACCAAAGCTCGTGTGTTTTTATGCGTTTTTATTGCGACGGAAGCAGAGCTACCATCAGTATATTGTCGAAATTGGGCTTCCATCTTCATCTCGAGCTCGACTCCAGAAAAATTCTCAAGCACAAGACCGAGTATACATGCATTCCAAACTTTGACCTCTCATTTGACAGCGAAGCGTTCCCCTTAACGGAAATGAAATTCGAACTGAGCCGTCTTTGGCGACCTCATTCTTGAAATTGAGCGTGGATATTAACAGCGGGACTTCTTTGGGCTGAAGACGAATGCCAAAGCAGATGTTTGGTGGACCTCCTGTGCTTCCGCAGAGAAAAATAGTGCAAGTAATTTGGAAAGTGTCACCACGACGACGAATGCTGAAGAATAGGACGCAGAGCGAAGCTATTGATGTACTGTGGTAAATCAGCACAGTCCACGCATCACTGGAAGTAATTTAAGGATAAAACATTATGTGGCCGCTTCTTAATTTGAAGGATTGCTACCCAACAAAAGGGAGTTTGTGCATTAGATGGAATTTGTCGCTGCTTTCCCATTAGTTTGAGAATGTCTCTCTTCCTTGAGTGATTACGAAGCGTGAAACATTTAATTCAATACTCAGATTCCTAGTCGCTGCGCCATGAAGCTCATGAAAAATTCAGATTTTTAAAAACAATTAGCGTGTGCGTATACATTGATGGCCCGTGGTAGCTCATTTCGTTATTGCTCAGTACATGCATGAAAGATGTGATGCTACGGCAACAAATTATCCAAAATAGTCCTTATATATTTCCAGACAAGAGGACTCAAGGCGCCGTGGAAATGCCAAATTGTTGCGCTTTACTGAAACCAATTCTGTTACTCCACATCAACAACAGTCACAACATTTTAATTTAACAATGACAGCGTATGAGGATCCTGACTCGTATTTGCACTTTCATTTCTGTCAAGGCAATATTTGGAATTTAATATAATTTTAGATTCAGGTAATATATGCAATTCCCTAACACATTTTGATACCGAGATTGTTACGAAAGAATATTATGCATATAACATTGGCACAGGCTTGTTCTATTCCTGAGTGGTTTGCTTCTTTGTTGGTTTTGTGGAGCTTGTTTGAAGAGACTTTTTGTTTGCTTGTTGTTTGCGCATACTTTATGGCAGGTTAGTTTGCCTTCTTCTCGCATAAGATATTGAAAGATCTTAAAGCGGCTTGGAATGAAGTACAGTCTCGTTAATAAGCATGGGCCATAAGGCCTGCTGATGGCCTGAATAGGCGACAGAGGTCCTTCTTGGAACGCGGTTTGTAATTAATAATAGGACACGGTATTCCAAACATGTGCCTGGTGGAATGTTCAGAACTACGAACACAAATATGGATACATCAAGCGATGACAAGAACAGTGCAGAGAAGGACCCGAACTTAACCAAACATTTTTGTACGAGTGAATAAAGTCCTATGAACGTGGTCCAAGTATGAGACTGTTTGAAGGAAAGCAAAAGGCAATTTTGAGGGTGGAATTGGGCCGCTCACATTTCAAAAGCTTCTCGGGCCTGAAAAAAAATTAGTGGTAAAGATTTCGCTTTAATGTTTTTTTTTAAAGTTTGTCTTGGTGCAGACACACTCGACTGATGCCACGGACGAAGAGAATTACTTTCGGGTCTGCAAATATATTCAACGGACTGTGACTAAATAATTCAGCGTGAAAGCTCAAAATAGATTTCCAACGGCCAACATGTTAAATTTAATTTGGTGACCTCGACAAAACAGGTTCCTTTGAAAACAGCGTTTAATTTCACCGCAGTATGCTGTCAGTAATTCTAAATTGATTCTGTCATTTGATAAATGCAAGTTACTCAACAGTCAGCTCTAATACAGGTCCCCTACGAATGCCCCGGAGTGCCATCAAGTGCAGATTTTCAAAAAGTGAAGTATGTCTTTCTCGAAGTCCGTTTTCAGGCAATATACTTTTTCCGACTTCGTCTGTTCGACACATTTACGTTCTCCGCTTCGTTATAATGAGATATATATTTAGAAACACCGTTTCTACTTTTGGAAAGAAATTGTTTTCACGAGATACTTTTCTGATTAAGTTTGCTTTTATGAGGTATATGTTTTAATGTTATTTTTGAGGAGATTATCAGGTTTGGATTTATTTCTCACAAAACAAATTTCAAAAAAGTACCTCATATAAACGAACTGAAACAAATATAAAGCGAACTTGGAAAAATACATCCTGTAAAAAGTAGTTGTTTTCAAAAATAGAAACAGCGTTTTTATGCGTAGATCTTACGGAAACGAACTGGAGAATATATATCTCAAACAAACGAAGTAGGGTAAAAACGATCTTGGAAAAAAATACACTTCACTTTTTCACAATATATAATTGATGGCACTACACGGCTTTCGTAGTGCCCTAATATTTTCTGTAAAAAACTGTGAGACCCAAAATTACAATAAACTTCGAGCAACAAAGAAAGATTTTGTATTGAAAACACGGATGTAATTGAAAACACTGAAGGGAAAATATTTCTGGTGAAAAATCCTTCTGAAAAATGATTTGGAATCTACCATGCATGTTAAAATTTCTTGGCTGCGGCTTGAATTTAAAACACTAGCATACGGTAGTGTGCTGTTTCCACTTTCCATAGGGTCATTTGTAATTTGAAGTATTAAAAACGTCCAAAAAATTGGAACACGGCCTAATTTCGTCCAAACACGACACTAAAAAATTATCGCTCAATTATTCCCTACTTTCAAATTAATACAAATTACTTCAGTAAGTCATTACTTCAGTCACGTGACATTATGAATATTGGCGATGGCTTTTGACTAAATAAGGGGTGCAGACGAAAAGATTTCAACTCAGTTCTTGGCCTTTGTGTGCATTAACTGTCACCTCAAATTGACTTTCCCACTTTCCCCCTTTTCAAAAAGTGCTTCCAAGAACAACATATATATGTAAAAAAAAGAAATCAATGATAACCATCCTGTGGGGAATGGGGCCTTGAAATTACAATATGAATATTGGAAAGAACAAACAATGCAGCCGTGGTACTGGTTCGACTTTAAACCATCTTCTTTTGAAATGTTCGCAAAAAAAGAAAAAAAATACTCTTCGTAGAAAACGGTTGGAAAGGAAGGAAAGACAATATCTACAGACTGAACAAGACAGAAAGGTAAAACAGGTACAAGACGAAATTAGGTAAACTGTTACTAATTTTAAAAAGGTGCTGTCAGTACCTTTTGTCTGGAACCGTTGACGTCCAGATGAATACATGCGGTGGCATTTCGTTCTCTGGACGACACACCGTTCCCCATGATATCACTCGGCACAACCTGTCAGTCGAGGACGGGGGATGAAGAGCTGCGGAAACGAGTCCTTCATGCTACAGGCAAAAATAACAACAAACAAATGAACGTGCATCGTCGAGGTAACACTGGCATGCCTGCCTGCAGCCGGACAATATCATTTTGAATTCATTTTAAATCAGACGAGTGAAACGACAGACACTTCACCGATACGTTGATGACCAGGCACTCACCGTTGGGTAATAACAATGTTACAACGGTGTCAAGACGCACTATTGAAGTGTTCCCGGAGGAGTGCAGAGATCGACGACATCGACCGGGCGACTGTCAAGCCTATGTGTTGATTCTATAGAGCCGATTCGTCCCAAGCCTGCAATGACAGGCCTGCATCACCGTCCTGCATCATCAGCCCTGCCGTCACCGTGGTAACAGCGATAGAGTGGACAACTCTCAGTGTTAGGGGAGGGATAATGCTGGCAACGGGCCGCTGGTATACCGTCTTGTCACTACGCGGAGGGAGAGAACAAAATACATGGTATTGCATGCATTTTCGGCTGGTTACCGTGGCAACCAATCTCTGACCCTTGACTCGGGTGTAATTCTTTTCCACGGATACTGAGGGAGAAAAAAAAGCACTCCGGCGGTTTTGCTTGGTCTCGCGCAGAGGAGCATAATTTGCAGTTTAAGGCCATAGTGCATTGACATCCATTGCGGGCTGCTCTGTGCTTCATGTGCGAAGAAAAAGACTGATTTCTCTTCCACAACAGGCCCAAGTTTAAGATTTGTCCATTCGAAGGAAGTACTCAACCTGCATAAATGAGCATGTCTTTGAGCGCCTGTTTTGTAAGAGCACTGCATGCGCAAGATAGTATCATTCCGTATGCGACTGAAAAAACACCGCGCGTGTTTTGGATGGAAAAATCTCTGTAGGCCTAACAGAAGGCAGAGGTCATCGCATTCTTTACAACTGAGACTGAAAAAGATATCTTGTCAGGGGCGTTGCTAGGGCAGGGCCGGGGGGAGGAGAAAGGACAACAAAGGAGGAAAGATTACAATCACCAATGGGCTTCAACATTCCCCATTATGAATACTGGTTTGCTCCTGATGATTGTTTTTCCCTTCCTTAGGGAGGAGCTTTCCAGGCGACGGCCCTGCGCCTCGTAAAGGACGATGCCTATTGTCCGACCCAACTATAAAAACACGAGTCTTCAATTGCACATTACCATGCAAAAGACTCAGTGGAATTTATAATAAACAACCCCTCTGGCGGCTAAAATTTCTGGGTAAGGAGCTCAACATCGATCTTTGAATTCTTCTTTCCTGAAGAAACAGGAAAAAAGCAAGGAACGTTTTAAAATCAATAGTGTCGGATAGGTTTTTCTGAAGAAATGTGCAGGAGGCCTGCAGGGTATTTATAAGTCACAGAGAATCTAAATAAACATGAAAAAATTCTTCCAGTAGGATTGCTTTTACTCAACCTTGTTTTCTAAGGAAGCGCAGAGGGGCCACGCCCATGTTTAAAAATAGCTTTATCTCGCTGCGCTGGCTCGCCCTTTGTCATGTCATGTCTGGTCCGCTCGACTCCACCTCGAGCAGAAGCACCCTCTCATGGGTTAAAAAGAGCCTTTTTAGTCGGGAGCTTTCCTTTTGGTAGCGATGCGACCTTGACACGTGCATTTCAGTCGTTCGTGAACCAACGAAGTGCAATCCGCTCGGAGCTGAAGTGCACCCCCTATCGGCGAAAGAAAGACAGGTGGTTACAAGCGGGTTCTTGCACGCGTTCTCCGTGTACGCAAAGACCATACTCGGCGTGCTCCGCGTCAAACGCGCATATACTTGGGTACACTGATCTTCATTATAACGTTTTTATGATGGAGATCAATGGGTGGGTACTAAAACCCCACGCCCTCTTTTGTTCCGCTCGGAGCGGATTCGGTACCAAAGGAGCCTCCGTTGCTAAGAAAATAGCGCCCTCTCTTAGTCCAGCTCAAGACCCATTGTAGGCATTTGTAATACGTTCTAATGTAGGCAGACGTGTGGTAGCTGCCTGTCAACAACTTCCAATCAGGAGGGACAGTCATACCCATTACATGTAACCGCATCTAAAACCCGCCCGAGTATAAACTCGGCTTTCAAGTTATTGGCAAAAATTCTGTATTTTTTAGCCAGAGATCTTTCTCATATACCAAAAGTCCAGATCATACGTTGTAAAAATGTTGTAAATACATTGATGTCTCCTGCTTGTTTGGGACAAACCAGCAGGGGCGGATCCAGGATTTTCAGGGGGGGGGGGCGTTAACCCAGATGGCCGGGGGGGGGGGGGTTGAACTAAAGCAGCAATGGTAAAATGGGCAGTGGGGGGGGAGGGCGAAGCCCTTTACNAAAATGCGCAGTGAGCGCGTAGTGCGAAGCCCTTTACGGCATGGAGTCCGGGCCATATTTGTTAGGCGTTTTAGTGCATCAGGCAGTGTGACCCCTCATTTTTTCTTTTTTTTGGGGGGGGGGGTGAAAAAAAAGGGGGCCTGCGCCCTCTGATCCGCCTCTGCAAACATTTTCTAAGGACCTGTTATAATGAAATATTATCATAAATGTAGAAATAACTCTGAAAATAAAATGTAAATGATCTTGAAATCGGAGTATTTGGGACTGTTAAGGGCTAGAATGATCGACGTACAAAATGTAACAGTAAAATAATAGGAACAAACAAACAATTTAATAGGTGGAATGAATGAGAAAAAACATGTTTTATGTTCACCACACAGAAAGTTAAAAACTTTTCCAGTCACAGATGTTTTAAAAGCCCATGGATGAGAATTTTGGATATCTACAGGAAACGTATTTGATAATTCTGGGCAGGCTGGGCCTGCTGATGAAAATTCTTTGCTCTAACTTTGAGGATTCTGCAGTGAAGCACGCCCTCAAGTTTGAGCGTAAACCAGATTGAATAATTAAAAAACCATCCGGGTATTTCAATACTGCTCCAACATGATATATAAAATAGCACACAATGTTCACGAAACACATTTTATATCTCATTACTCTCTGCAACTGTGGGATGTCGGTAGATGACCTATGCCCGACTGCCTGACGCTGAATGCAACATCGCAACAGTTGTTCATCATTACTTCTCCGTGCAAGGTAGTCTTTGGCCAAGACGGTGGGCTGCGCGCGCTGATTTCTATTGCGCCCTCTCGAGAATTCATTTCAACAATCGACACGGCTCGTTCTGCCGTCTTTAGCCCTTGATCAAGGCGCCCGCGCGCGGCGAAACGGATAGTCAAGACCACACGACAAACTGCATGCAAGCCCTGCAAACAGTAGCCGAGCTGCGTGTGTGGGACTGTGCGCGCCGCCGCAAGCGACTTTGGAGCTTTGTTTCCAGCATGTTTTTCCATCTGTATTATTCAATGTGCTGCTAATGTATGAATTATTCACATTTTCTCTGAACCATTCGTGGGGGGAGGCTAAGTAGTCCGAGTATATTATGTCTGGGCCACTTACGTTCATGAAGTATTTGCACAGCGGTACGGTCGGGTATTTGAAACTCTTGCCATATCCAGTTGGAAGATTGACAAATACGTCTCGACCCTCCAGAACAGCCTTCACGGCCAACATTTGCTTTGGTTTCAATTTGTCGATCGGAATCCCAAGCTTCGGTGCTGCATATTTGAGGCCATTCTGGAAGAGATTGTCGTCTAGAGTTTACACCACTGCCGGACACCGTGTTGAATACGCGTGCCATTGTAAAGATGAATGATTTATTACTTGCGCCACAGAGGCGATCGTTTTGATTGGTTCAGACTTATACGCATGTATCATATCTGCTTGTGCTACCTAAACGGTAGAAAATGTAAAGAAAAACATACGTGGGGTAGAACTCCAAAGGCGTTCGGGGCGTGCAGTTCGTCGCTTAGTCTTTCTTCGTGCGTTCGTTTTGTGCTTAAACTAGTCTCCTCCACCTCCTCAGTCGCTCTTGAGCGACTATCCATTTCACTGCGGACGCCTTAATCAAAGGCCATACCATCTTGGGAATCTTCCACAACCGAGGCGTGGCCTTTGTTTGCAAAATGTAGTTTGATATGAATATTCATATTTGACCATAGGCTGTGGAACTTTTGTATCCTACGATAGGATACAAAACAGACCGTGGGAGCGTTGGAGCGGGTTCGCATCAATAGCGTAAGCGTGTTATTTCTTCAGAAGTCTTTTATAGGCTCGCTTCTTAGCTCCTTGTTCCAATGCAGCGACCACGGCCATTATCAACGGTTACAGTACTGGTACTTTAGTACATGTACTGGTACTTTAGTACTGGCAGTAGAGTACCAGTACGTTTAACGTCGCGTAGTAGCGCTTGCACATGTAGGCCTACATGTACAGTACATTATGTCGCGTGAGAGGTCATGCGACGCAGGTCACTGATCCGTATTCATCACATACAGATTCAACTGCTACCCGAAAAACAAGAAAAAAAATACTGAACCTGCAGATCGGGCAGTCGCAGATCGAGTCAGTATCTGAATGCAAACATAAAGACAAAAAGGAAAGTTAGTGAAAAGGGAAGAGAAGGGAAATTTAGAAATGATAGATAAAACAACCACATAGACGAACGAGTAACAAAACACAGACAACGGGTAACAGGACAAACGTGATCGCATAAAAGCAGGGCCGATCACCTCCTGAGGGTAGTAAGAGCTACCCCTACTACCTGATAAACAAGCAAAAAATACTCAACTTGCAAACTGGTAGTCGCACACCCAAGTCAGCCAGGCAGTTGCAGGCATCCAGTCAGTATCTGAATGAAAACACAAACACTAAAACAAGAGTCAGTGACATGCCAAAAGAAAGGAATTTCAGAAATAATAAATAAAACAAGTACATAGACGAACGAGTAACAAAACGCAGACAACAGGTAACAGGACAAACGTGACCTGGCAAGGGCAGGGCCGATCAAATCCTGAGGATAGTATAGCTACCCCTGCTACCCGCACAAGAAGTAAAAAACTACTCAACTTTGACATCGGGCTGTCACACATCCAGTCAGCCAGGCAGTCAAACATCCAGTCAGTATCTGCAGAAAAACAAAAAGACTAAAACGAGAGTCACTTGTCAAAACAACAATTTTAGTGAATGGCAGAATAAACAAGCAAATACAGGAATGACTGACAAAACGCAGACAACAGCGAACAGGACAAACGTGATCTCGCAAGGGCAGGGCCGATTAAATCCTGAGGATATAGCTACCCCTGCTACCCGCACAAGAAGTAAAAACTACTCAACTTGGACATCGGGCAGTCACACATCCAGTCAGCAAGGCAGTCGCACATCCAGTCAGTATCTGCAGAAAAACAAAAAGACTAAAACGAGAGTCACTTGTCAAAACAACAATTTTAGTGAATGACAGAATAAACAAGCAAATACAGGAATGAGTCACAAAATGCAGACAACTGTGACAGTGAACAGGACAAACGTGATCTCGCAAAGGCAGGGCCGATCACCCCATGATGGTAGCAAGAGCTACCCCTGCTACCCAATAAACCAGCAAAAACTACTCAACTTGCACATCCGGTAGTCGCACATAAAGTCAGCCAGGCAGTTGGACATCCAGTCAATATCTGGATGCAAAAACAAAGACTAAAACGAGAGTTAGTGACATGCCAAGAGAAAACATTTTCGGAAATAACAGACAAAACAATCACATAAACGAACGTTTGACATCCAGTCAGTGTCTGCATACAAAGACAAAGACTAAAAAAAGAGTCAGTGACATGCAAAGAAAAGGGGATTTCGGAAAAAACAAACAAAAGAAGTACATAGGCCTACACGAACGAGTAAGAAAACGCAGACAACATGTAACACGACAAACGTGATCTTGCAAATGCAGGGCCGATCACCTCCTGATGGTAGCAAGAGCTACCCCTGCTGATCGAACAACAAGCAAAAATACTCAACTTGCACATCATGGCAGTCGCACATCCAGACAGTCGCACATCCACTCAGTATCTGAATACAGACACAAAGACTAAAACAAGAGTCAGTGACATGCCAAGAGAAGGGAATTTCAGAAATGACAGATAAAAAAAGCACAAAGACGAGCGAGTTACAAAACGCAGAGAACAGGTAACGGGACAAACGCGATCTCGCAAAGGCAGGGCCGATCACCTCCTGAGGGTAGCAAAAGCTATCCCTAATACCCAAAAAGTAAGCAAAAATACTGAACTTATACATCATGGCAGTTGCACATCCAGGCAGTCGCACATCCGGTCAGTGTCTGCATACAAAGACTAAACCGATAGTTAGTGACATGCCAAGAAAAACCATTTCGGAAATGACAGACAAAAGAATCGTATGCATGAACGAGTAACAAAACACAGACAACAGATAACAGGACAAACATGATCTCGCAAAGGCTGGTTCGATCGCCTCTTGAGAGTAACAAGAGCAACCCCTGCTACCCGAAAAATACTGACCCTACACATTATGTCAGTCGCATATCCAGTCAATCAAGCAGTCGGACATCCAGTCAGTATCTGTATGCAAAACAAAGACTGAAACGAGAGTCAGTGACATGCCAAGACAAAACAATTTCGGAAAAGACACACAAAACAATCACATACAAAAACGAGTAACAAAACACATACAACAGGTAACAGGATAAACGTGATCTCGCAAAGGCAGAGCTGATCACCTCCTGAGGGTAGCAAGAGCTACCCCTACTACCCGATAAACAAGCAAAAAAAACAAAAAAAACTTGCAAACAATTAGTTGCACATCCAAGTCAGCCAGGCAGTTGCATGCATCCAGTCAGTATCTGAATGCAAACACGAAGACTAAAACAAGAGTCAGTGACATGCCAAGAGAAGAGAATTTCGGAAAATGACAGACAAAACAATCACATACACGAATGAGTAACAAAACGCAGACAACATGTAACAGGACAGACGTGATCTCGCAAAGGCAGGGCGATCACCTCCTGAGGGTAGCAAGAGCTACCTTTGCTACCCAAAAAACAAGACAAAAAGACTCAACTTTCACATCTGGTAGTCGCACATCCAGTCAGCCAGGCAGTCGCACATCCAGTCAGTATCTGAATGCAAGCACAAAGACTAAAACAAGAGTCAGTGATATGCCAAGAGAAGGGAATTTCAGAAAGAGACAGATAAAACAAGCACATAGAAGTAACAAAACGCAGACAACAGGTAACAGGACAAACGTGATCTCGCAAAGGCAGGGTCGATCACCTCCTGAGGGTAGCAAGAGCTACCCCTGCTAATAAGCAAAAATATTGAACCTGCACATCATGGTAGTCGCACATCCAGTCAGCCAGGCAGTAGCATATCCAGTCAGTATCGGCATGCAAACACAAACACTAAAAAAAGAGACAGTGACATGCCAAGACAAGAGAATTTCGGCAATGACAGAAACAATTTCGGAAATGACAAAAGAATCACATACACGAACGGGTAACAAAACGGAATAACGGCTCTGAACAGGCCTGCTGTACTCACTTTGTATGACTATTTGGAAAGAATTCCAGATACGTCTGCACACAAACCCCGTGAGACTTGTCTGTTGTTGAAGTGAATACTTATTTTCACTGATAAATTTGACTTTTTAGGAGATTTTATTTCAGAATATTAATGATTTGCAATGAAGTTTGCCTACGTAAACCGAATAACACTCGGTACATTATAAATAAATATTATTAAATCTGATGATCTGAAAATGTTTGATTTAAAGAGAATGACACGGCCGAGATCTTCTTGGAAAGAGTTCCATTTACGGACGCCAGTAATTATTCCCTACAGTGACCAATAAGACATCAGAAAGCGGCATGTCCAGTTTTGAAGGGAAAATATCGAGTCGTTTACTTTGAAAACACATTTTGTTTTCAGACCAGTCTCAATTGGTTTATGCATGGGTTGTAAAGTGGCGTCCCCATATGGAACTCTTTCTTTAGCGGAATCGGGAGTGTTGAAGTTGAAGATATACCGGTAACCTACGTTTGTTTCAAGCATGGAGCTAGGACCTCCATGTTTCAAGGCACTGAACGAACAGTTGGCCTGCAATTTTCTCTGCGCTTGAGTCGGCACATCCTACTTCAGCTATCACCGATATAATGACGGCAAGTTCTGACTTCATACCAGGTCCTTAAAAGCTGCAACACGTTTTCAGAGTTTACACCAGCTGCTGTTCGGTGTAACACGTTGAGGTTAAGATGATATGCCTGTGCTTTTAAGATTTAAACAGCTCACCATATGCCCAGCAAGAAATGAGACCGAGGGGTACCCCTCAACATGTCCAATCCCTTTACACATTCCAGACTATTGTTACTTAACACATCCCCCCCAGATGTCTGAAAGGAATTCCCCAGATTCCTGCGAGACAATGACCAACACAAAGCAGGGGGGGGGTTCTCTCCGTCTCGTACCTTGCTGCATATGGCTCACCATGAGTCTTCATCTATTCACACATCCACAAGTCTCCACGACCACCACCACGCAGGTTGAAGATTATTTATGAAAGCCTGGCTAGCTTTCATGTATATAAGGTGCGCAGTTTGAAACGATGCACGAGTAGGCCTGTGCACGACCACCTGTTCGGCGTGTCAATGTACACGTAGATGCTTCAAATTTCGCGCATTGTGTCGTTCAATGACCACGTGGTAATGAATGAAGCGACTACTTCAGCCTTGAAGTTGGGGTTCCATTAAACGCAACGTGAGCGCGCAAACTGACGCGTCATGACGGCTGTAAATGTAGATATTCCCTTACACCCTGCAGACCACATTTCTACTACGCCATTCTTTTATTTTAACATGGTTGTGCAAATGCGTTTGATAAATTAATTTTGCAGCTATGATCGCCCTATCAGAAAAAGAAGGAAGAAGGAGAATAAGTTGTCCTGAGAAATATTGCCAATGTTCAATTTTTAAATTTATTTATTAAATTAGTACTAAGAAAATCTTATGATTGGTATTACCATCTTTCTTTGGGTTGGGGCAACTTTTTACAGATAAAAGTGGACTCATTTTAAGAGAATATTCCTTTTCCCCTTTTGGACGTACGAGCTGCATACGTCACTGTTGGGTTTGAGGTCAAAGCTCAGACGATCTGATTTGTGTTTACAGTTATTATTTCCCGCGAGTAAAAAATGAGGGCTTCACCCCTAGAATAGAACCTCCAAAGTAAAAGCTCTTGTTCAAAGCTTCAGTACACCTTTTGTTTACATGCCCTTCAGGAATTTACGACCCGCGACTCTCAGCTCAGATAACACACAAAATTTGAGGGACCCCATCATTTTTCTGTTTAGGATGATTTGAAAATAATACATGAAACTGGGCTGCGTCCGATGACACGATAAAAATGAAATGAAAATGTTCAAGTTCTTTTTTCTAAGTTTTCTTTTTTGCACATTTAAGCAATTTATCTAGGTTTGGAGGATTAAATTACTGGAAATACTTTTAACACGTGACTTTTCTGCATGCCTTTCTATCAATAAAAACTGCTTAGTCGTCAACTAGTCAAAAATGGAAATTTTGTTATTCCCAAATAGTCCAAAAAAAGATAAGAATTCTGAGCTGAGGGAAAAGAATTGGAACTTTAATACAGTGCCCCTTTTAAGATTGTAGTGTTCGGGGTCGGTGTGCTAGTAATAACAACACATAATAATGTTATCCTCAAACGCCTTCATGGGTTGTTACTTTCGTTTTAAATCCACACTAGTGCATTATTCCTGTTCTTTCACGTCCAGTGACTAATTCGCAAAATACAAATAAAGAGATACATCTACATAACTAATTTGAAAGAGCTCTGAGAGTTTTTTCTATGGAAACATATTGATGCCAACGATAAAAATAATTTTATCCCGTTTTAACAACATAGTTATCTTGTTATGATGGACTTAGTTATCTGAACGAGGTATGTATGTCGTTCAAACGAGATAAAATAATTTTATCGCGTTGACAGCAACCAACGACTTGTATTCAAGTCTATCATAACCAGCCCCTAGTGATCACGTGCTTCTTCGCGAGGTCGTCACGTGATGCGACGGGTTTGATCGATGATCCTCCGATGATCGATTACGCAAAATGTGAATCCAGTGAGTTGGGACTCTCGTGTCGGCAGTCTTTGCTTGACAGCCGGTTCCTCCATTGTACAGAATCGATTTGAGGTTCCCCTCCTGTATAACAGCTGTTAACAAACTGCCAGACTGTGCTAACCTCTCAAGAAGGTAAGTACTACTACTAAAATAGGCAACATGATTGGGGGCTTTTGTTGGCAAAAATGCAGAACATCGTACCCAATCGGTACAATGGGACATGCAGACCTGCCAACCTGTCGTACTCCTTCTTGAGGTCAGGCATAATACTACCATGGAGGTAGAATCACACCTCCATGATACTACACAATAGATTAAAGGGTATTTAAATGAGCCCTCAGTTCATTTAAAATTCTAATCTATTATGTGGTGATGCCTGACCTCAGGAAAGATTACGACAGGTTGGCAGGCATATCCATGCATGTCCCATTGTGCAGCGACCGATTACACAATCGGTCGCTGCACAATGGGACGCGGCCTTCAAGAAGCAAGGCACTAGACCTATCAGCCTACAGCAACATGTAACCTAAAATATTGGATTAAATTTAAAGTGGGCCTAACAATACTAGCCTATAGTCATTTAAATTTCCCTAATTTCAGATTGCAAAAATTATTCAGTCAGATTTCAGCTAAAAAAATCCTCAAATTCCAGTTAACTCTTGTCAGACTACGTGTTGGACATATTTGAGATACTGCAACATTAGGCCTATTTTCCAAATTTAAGCTTTTAATTTGGACTCACACTAGTGACAATGGCACTTTCCTAATTCTTAATTGGTTTTACCAGTTCCGGATTGTCACAAAAACTTCTTTACTCATAAAAAGTAACCTTTGTAACCTAAAAGTCCATTTTTCTGCCAGAACATTTTAACAAGCATATTTCTGTGAAAAATTTCTTTAGAGAAAATTAGTTTGCACATTGGAATTATGTCAGAGAATTAAAACAGACTTTCATAAACTTTGACTTGCCATTTTCAGCTGCACAGCGAGCTATCAGTGATACAACATGTACTATTCCCTGCCTCGCACAATTGATGAATGCATTACGTCGTATGCATGATGTATCCTGCTGTGCACATGTTGTTGACTTCGCATGTACAGTGCTGTACATATATTTGCATGCTCTTGCATGCGTGATATGAAACTAGGAGAAAAATATGAATTAAGTTAATCTTGTTTTTTATTTGTGTTGTAGATGAAATGTAGCATTGGCATATTTTGAATGAATTTCATAAGCATGGTTAGGTGTGAGCTGCAAAACTTGGAGTTTGGAAAAGAGTTGGGCCAGCCCAACTGCAATGCTATAGTTGAGACCCCACAGTTGGGGCATAACATCATCATTGGTGTTTTGTACAATTTGCCACATATGGTGCTAGCACTGACTCAGTATAAAAAGTCTGGGACATTTTATATGATATTTCTATAAAAGCATCAGCCTTACAGTAGTCAGATACAAGGTTTTTGCATAGTAACTGATAATAAACATCCCTCCCCCTGGTTGATAAACTCATCACGTACATTTAGATAGTAAGCAGAAATGGTTAGAGTTCCATACACGGACATGAGTGATTTTTCCCTGTAGTGGTAAATCAGAAAGTTATCCATATGCCCTAATACATGTACATGTACATGTATGTCGAATTTAGCAAGATAAAAGTGTTTACGTGGAAAATACTTAAAAGTTTTACAGGCTGTCAGGTGATGTCCGTGTGGGGAACTCTTTCAAGTAGAAAAATTTTGCCAGAATAAGGAAAACCACCACTGCCTAGGGTTACTGAGTGAGTGAGATCTTAACTGTAACTGTGTTCATTGTTTATAAAGCATTTGTACAAGTTAACGGTGTAACTCCAGTAACAGACAGACCCGACATTGTGCTTGATTACATGTAGTTGTATTCTCTCCCATGTCAATTATAACAACCCCCCCCCCGTGGAAGCAAATTCTTGAAACAGGGAGCAAAGTGAAGGAACAGCATCGTGTGGATTAAAGCAAAACAGTGTTGCCCGGGGCAACATTGTCTTTTTGACAAGCTTAAGTTCAGAGCGTGTTTTCCATCCAAATAAGGGCAAGCTTGTGAATTTCTTCCATTGCTACTTAGTCCATGTGTAAGGATTGCTTGTACTCTAAAGAGCCATGGTGTCATTTAGTATCACTGTTTAAACATTACTAAGGCTGCATCCGAATCTGTTGTCTAGAGCTAGGTCTAGGTCTTCACTCCATTGAAAGTACGTGGAGACGCGCAGACAATAGCCGTAGTTCTGGAAGGCCCGTTTCAAACACGGCCTAAGTTTGCATGGTTCACATATGACCCTCAACCTGTGGGCTTCTTAAGGTACATGTATGTAATGTATTAGCGCCACACTCATAGATTGGCTGAGAGCTCGCCACATGGCATTTCAACTACATGTACATGTATATTGTTTTGCACGGCCAATAGCTCTACACGTACATGTATACCGGTAGCAATCAAAGTATTATACACATTACCAGTGACACTGTGTGCAAATGTGTACAGGCGTGGACATTGTGCGCATTCTGAAGAGGTACATGTAGTACTGTAGAACTGGGTTCAGACATTTAATTAAGAGTTATCGGGTAGTTTTGGAAAGTGCTGATCTGTATGTACCGTAATTTATGATAAAACTTATTAACCAGTTTTTGCTTAGATCAAGCAGTATCTGTGGGATACAGATCTGTGGCAAATTGTTTGGCTTCCAGCACTTAGTAGCTACAAATAACTATGTAAAGGTCTGAGCCTGGAGGACCTAGCGCTACAAATTACTACTTCTGGCTAGGGCACCCTCCATTGTTACTCAATCAGAGAACAGTAAAGTCCTGCATTCAAAGTGCCATAGCACTGTAGTGTATTGTCTTATCTATTGTATTTTATGGCTTCAGAGAACAATAAGGTCATGTCCTCTTTCAAGGGACAGTACTGAATACTATATTATACATGTACCATTTTAAGTAGTACTTTGTAGTGTTCAAGACTGTTAGTGTTAGGGATAAAACAAATACGGACTGCTTTGTCTCGTGATTTACATGTAGTAAACCTAATCTCCCTAGTTGATCTATGAAGTATTCCAGTTTTCCTTATCTTTGCCTTGGGAAAATAGACTTCTCCCTAGATCACTTCAGGAGGCTAGTTTTACAACACCACTCAAAGCAGAGTCAATACATGTACAATGTATACAGTATATATTGCGTATTTATATAACTGTTTTCCTTACTTGACTTAGTCCAGCTGACTGACCATGCCTGTGGTGATGGTTACAATAGTCTATTGCTTGTTTACTCATGCGTGTGATTGCCTTACAACCTGTCAACTTTGGACAGAAAGTAGACCATTCAACCCTGGACCCAGTTTTTTTTACTGGGTCGCAGGAAATTTGGCTATATATGAGAGAGTGTGAATTCAGTGGTGTGGAGTACAGAGATACAGTCAACAATGTGAATTTGAAACTTTTTATGGAGAAGGGGAAAAAAGGGTAGAATTGATTGTGTTGGTTCACTGTCTGTTTCAAAAGAATGCTGATTTACTACTTGGCCCACATTGGGATTTGTTTGACAACCTTCAGAAATATAAATTTGAAGAAACTCAATGGATAAGTGCTTTAGCGTAGTTGTGTTACTTTGTCAATTTTACCTTTTTTAATCAGTGAAATGTAAAGTACAACACTGATATTGTCCTTGAATGAAATAAAGACAAAAGCAGAACTCTTTATCACAACCAGAACAAGTTTGCTCATGGTTGTTTTTGTTAATGTTACAGACATTTGTGGAGCGAGATAACCCAGCAACATTATGGGAAGCCCAGAGGAAGCTAAACCACTTCTGGCTGAAGAGCCTCAAGCAGTTTGCTACTGTCGCAGCCAAAATGCTGCATCAGCAAACGGTGGCACCATCGGCCCTCACGCAAGTGAGCGTCCCTTAGAAGGAGATTACGAGACGTCCAACCCTGGGACAATCGCTATTCCTGAAACGGAAGGGGTATGGATTCTGAAGCTGAAACAATTGAAGGTTTTGTGTATGAAAATCGTTTTGTGGACTGGTCATTTTGAGCGCTGTTGTTGAGTCCGTGTACACGTTCATATAAATGTTCATCTCGATCTTGTTCAAGAATATGTACACATCAGTGGTGTAACAAGGCCAGTTTGAATCGGAAGGGGTAATTTGAAGTATTGCACTCAGCCTCCATGTTGGAAGGTAGACAAGGTGGAGGTTTCATGACAGAAATTTCTGAAGCACATGTTCATGTCATTATGCTTGGGTAATTCCTATTGTTTTTGTTACTAAGCAAAAATTTAACTGGGAACATCTTCCAGTAATTTGCATCGCAGAACTCTTATCCGTATATTTTTTGCTGGTAACCTGTTCAGTTTGGCAAATATTTGCTGTTTTAGCAATTGTTTTTTTCCTCTTGACCCCATTAATTTGGTCTCTGAACATTAACTTTCCTGAATTTGACATGCAACTTGACCTCCACCTTGGGAGAAGATCAGGGCAAACCTAACATTAACATGCCGTTGAGGTTTGCTTCTTTGTTCGAAGTTGAAGTCATGGAGAATTTATCTGTTGACTGATGATTCAGAAAGTGCAGTTAATAGATTTCAGGGCATTTTTTTAAAAGTTAAAGTATCTTTAAAAGTAAATCATGTAGTGACGACAGTGTCAAGTCATGAAGTGGTTTCTTTAAGGCATTATTGCCTGCAGTCTGAAAAATCTGCATCCATTTGGATTTGCAATATCTTCTCTCCCAGTGATTGGCTCAATTCTCAAACATTGAGAAATTAGCTCAGAGTGTTTCGGTTAAAATCTTGGCCAACTTGCTGTTGAATTGTTTCGCTGTTTTGCAGACCAAGTTCAGTTTCCGTAAGCTGTGGGCATTTACCGGACCTGGTTTCCTTATGAGCATAGCCTATCTGGACCCTGGCAATATTGAGTCCGATCTCCAGTCCGGCGCCATTGCAGAATACAAAGTAAGTCAGTTCAAGTAATTGCTTTTCAGGGAACTGCATGTATGACGAGAGGACTGTAGCACACGAGGGACATCTAATAATGTTGAATATCTTTTTGTTTTGGTTAATTGTCTCAAGTTCATGCACACATGTACACATACATTTCCTGCTCATTGCTATTGTTCAGACATGCTGTCCCAAGTAAAGATATTTTTAGGTATTTTTGGTTCACACTGAAGGGAGCACAGAAAACACTGCAAGAAAACTGCCACAGATACACGTCATTGGAGAACTAGGAGGGGAAGAAGTTGATAATGGAAAGAGTATTAAGGAAGGCATAAAAAGATGGTTGATGTAATATCTTGGTCAGCCGATGCTTCAAGTTACCATTTTTTGTCAGATTGTCAGATTTGATCTTTTAATGCACGTGATTCTTTGTATTAAGACATTTTGGGAAACGTACCTCAGATGGGGAAGAATTGGTGAGGTTACACCATCTTTTACTTGGTTAACACATAGACTACAAATTTTGGTTTAAAAGTTTTGTCTCATAATAAAGTTTGGAATTTCTAATTTGCTACATGTATGCCATAATTTGAAATCTAGAAATGATTTGACTTTGCATAGGATTTGAAACAAGGAATTCAAGTCCATTGGAGGTCAAATCACAAGTAATAAACAGGGAATGACAATTACCAAAAATGCCAGTGTCACTCTCAGTGGCATCCCTTGTAGAGACTGGATGATTTGTGGTTGACTCTTAGTGGGCTTATGATGTGGACTTTTGATGAGCTCAACTACAGCTCCGTCTGTTTCTTGTGCATAACACCAGTGTTGGTCAGCTCTACTTCACCACTGATAACTGTTGACTGGTTTTGTTTCATGAATTGAACCTATGATTTTATATTTGTCATTGTGTTTAGCTGCTATGGGTTTTGTGGTGGTCTACGGTTCTCGGTCTTGTTCTTCAGCTGCTGGCAGCCAGACTAGGCAATGCAACAGGTGAGTACTGACCTGATGGTCTGAAGGCCGAGTGATGTCTTGAACATTGGCCCCCGGCTTATAATCACACAGTTTAATCGACTAAACTTTTCATATCCCCCAGACTTCCCTGGGATTCAGGCAAAGGGATCAACGGTCAAAGCCACTTCAGCCTATGATTAATGTTGTCAAAGTTGATGGAACAAAAGGTTCAGATACTAGCTTTATCTCCAAATCATTTGTCGCATCTCAAAACTTCAGTTAAATCCGCAGAAGCGACGTGGCTTATACCCTGACTAAGTATGCCCAACCAAAAAACATGTTCTGGCATGCTTTCCTTCTTTTTAACAATACTGTACAAATGTATTTTAAGAATGGAAACCATGATTTTACTAAGATTTTGTATTGTTCGTATCTACATGTAAAACTACTCAAAGTTACAATGTACTGCATATGAAATATGAAGTAAATCCTACCCCCTTCCTGAAGCTGGCAGCTTTTGACTTGATTAGGAATTGAAACTTCTTTTTTCCAAATTTTGTCATTTTATCTGGCTTCGACTCTGAATAACCTCCAAGATACTTGTAGCGTTAGCCTCAGATCGTGGGATTTTAATGTTTTTGTTATTTAGCTGCATTGCCCCTATACTGCTAAAAAACTTAACGCAAGCCCAGAGCTGAATATTCACTTGGAGACAAAGGCAAGGATTGGAAATGTGTGTGTGTACAGAATGTGAAGCCGAAGAGCAAAACATTTCCCAACCCTCAGTCCTTTATATACTTCAAAAAAGAAGAGGTGGGAACAAGACTGGATTTGAGAGACCTAAATGTACATGTACATGCAGAGTGTAAATTTTGTTGACCTGAAGGGAAAAATCAATGTTTTGCAGGGCTGTCTCGTTGGTTTTTGAAATGTATGGTTTTGGTGAGGCTTTGCGGCTTTGTTTAGAGTTTTCCATGTTAAGAAAGTATTGTGTCAGGTTAATACTGACATTTACAGTTTATTTACGTTGTAGGTTGCTGTTTTCCATGAATTGCAGAATGAGTCCTATCACTGGTACCAAAGCCGTTCTGTGATGCAAAGAGTTTCTCAGTTCAAATTTCACAGGAAGTATTGCCTTTGTGTACTGTGGGTAATTTTGTGGCTGAACCTGTGTGTGTGAAATTGTGTCAAGTCTGAATGTACATGCACATGTACATGGTTATGACATCAAAAGCGGAGAGTGATTTAAATCCAAAGCGGAGAGTGATTTTGCATTTTGTGTTAACGAAAGAGTCATTTGTATCCTCACTTTTTCCTTTCGGATGTGGTTTTACATTTGTGTTATCCAAAACCAATTAGCAAAACATCTGATTGTCATTTTGCCTGAGCATTCCTAGAGCATAACACAAACTTACATTTGGATAGTGCGACATCACAACAACGTATATCATTTTTTTCAGGACAATAAGTGGTAAATATGTACATTGCGACTGTGATAAATAACAGATCAAAACCTGATGAAGTTTCCGAACACTTTTTGGGGGTTATTTTACCCTCAGTAACAATAGGAATCCATAGAGGCTTACATGCACATGTACATGTACATGTTCATGTCTTTCTGTCTCTCCCTTTTTTTTTTACAGTTGTCCCTGTGACTTGAAATTACCTTTGTCTGCCAGTCAAGTGTATGCAAGTATATGTATTTAAGGAAAGTCAAATATCATAAGTTGATGAAGATGTCCATTTTTTGATATGGAATGTGGAGATTACTTTTGGACTGTGCTCATATACGCTTATCAAATACGGACTGACGATTGGTTGCTAGTGATTTATTTGGTAAGAGAGGAACAAGGTTACAAGGAAACAGACAAAAAAATCACTGTAACCGAATACATTACATGTATCCATGACAATGTCCCATTAACCCTAACAGTCCTCAGTCCTCCACCTGTTGGAGGACTGAGGACTGTTAGGGTTAATGAGTGGCTGGGAAACATTACAAAGCTTTGTCCTAAACATAGAACTACATGTTGTACTCGGTAGACACAAAGAGCAAAAACAAAAATGCATTGGAAACAGTTTACATAACTTTCCAAAATAATCATTTTGTTGAATACCTGTATGAGTGTTCTGTTTATAGTCATTTGTCAAGGAAGTTTTGAGTTTTGTTGATCAGTTGATTGGTTAAACCCAATTCTCTCAAGGTTTTTTGGTGATATGGACCATGCCGGGAGGGTCATGACGTCATTTTTGCTGTTTTGTAAGTGAGGCACTGTGTTATGCAACAAATCCTGGTCCGGCAGGAAGTCTGCAGGGCCGGGTTGTTCATCACTTTTTAATCACATTGTACATGTAGAGTCAGACACCCCAGGATGCTCTGTTGCATAAAACCTGTTTTTTCGCCAGACCTTGCGTCCAAGAGCCGATCACATGCTCAGCAGTCATTTCCTGTCATGTTAAGGATCATTACTGTTTTGTGTTTGTTAGTAATGTCTTCCTGTTATTTTTTGTCTTGTTTTGTATCGACTTTTCTGCATCATTTCATTTGGCATGGCGTGAAACTACAGTGTAACTTGTAAGTCAATACAGTGGGAGCATGTGGTTTCCTGTTCCAGAAATTTCTGATAATGTTTTTATTTTATGTCCTGAATTTCAGTTTCATTGGTTTAGACAGGAAACACCAAACTTCCCTGTAGCTTAATGAATTTGACATCTTTATTCTTTCAATCCATGTGAAAAAAATCACATGATGACCAACAAGAGAGCACAGGATTGCACAGATAACCTGAGAAGCAGCAAAGGTTAATGGTGGAATTAAAATATCCCTTGATGGAATGTTTAATAGCAAAGATGTGAAGTTGATTTATCAGTTTGGCCTTTGCAAGTACATGTATGATGTATCAAGCACTTCATGCCTGGTGCCTTCCATTTGTTGTCCTAAGCAACTGAGGAAAAAATGCAAGAGTTTTCTTGATACGTGAAGGGATGCAAATCTGTGACCTGCTTGCTAGCGCCTGTATCTTAACCGGTTACTGAGCTTGTCAGAGTTACATGTAGCTTGTGTGTCCAAAATCCATGTGATATACATGTACCGGGTAGCAGCAAGTACTATAGTCAGTGTGGAGGTGTGGAAATGATGGACGAGGAGTGACAAAGAACAGAAGGGATGGACATTTTCAAGCATCCCAAACCAGTTTTGTGGTGTCATTATCTTTCAGTCCCGACCAACCAACTTTATTTTTTGACTGTGACAGCCAACAATATACAAAATATCAACAAGATTCCCCCCCCCCATGGTTGTAGCCAAACAGGTGATCTGAACTGCCCAGCCTGACTGGACAGATCTTCACATGTCAAAAGAGTCTCAGTTATCCTACTGTTATACACGTACATGTACATGTCTTGTACAAATGATTTACTGTTTGCATTGAACAGAATGTTTTTCGAGCTTACATTTTGATTCAAGTGTTTTTTGTACTTCCTTTTTAATACACACCATCTTGATTTTAAAAAATGCTGTCACAGTTTGATCTCAGCATAGGGTTGTGTGGTTTTTGCTATTATGCGTACAGTACACTTTGAAATGCATGTACATGTACCTGCCCTATTGTCCAGCAGATAGTAGAGATAAAGTGCACCTAATTTGGACCATTTTCGTTTTTCAGGTCATCACCTGGCCGAGATATGCCACCGAGAGTACCCCATGTTTCCCCGCATAGCCCTCTGGATCATGATGGAGATTGCTATCATAGGCTCCGACATCCAGGAAGTGATTGGCTCGGCAATAGCAATTAACCTCCTCTCAAACAACAAGTGAGTCCCCACCCCCTCCCACAGAAACAGTGTCGGAAAACAAATTGAGCTAAGTGCTCCAGTCTAGCAATGTCCTTTGTTAAACCAGACTCACATTTGTGTTTCAATTACTTTACAAACAGACAGACTTTGTAGACTTTAATTTTAGACTTACATATTCAAACTTACACACATTTGAAAGTAACTGTAGAAAGTGTTCCTAGAGTGGGGCTTGTTTATCTCTAGAACTCATTTCCCTTCCAAACTTGTAATTTTTCTCTCTGTTAATCACACTTTTCATATTTTGATTCCAATTTTGGCAGGATTCCCATATGGGCTGGTTGCCTGATCACCGGTATAGACACATTTACCTTTCTGCTTCTTGAGAATGCTGGTAAGCAAGTTTCTTACTTGTGTCTTAACGCTGGCATATGAGAGTATAACTGTTTGGAGTCACTTGATGAAATCCAATCACCGTTCCTTTTTTGTGTTTATATGCTTGCTGTTTGTGTGGCGTTTTAAACCAGTCCGAGTGTGTAACTTTTCATTTGCCAGGTCTCAGAAAGTTGGAAGCCTTCTTTGGTCTGCTTTTGACAACCATGGGACTGTCCTTTCTTTATATGGTATGTCAAATCTAACTCCACCAAAGTAAGAAAAAATCCGCATTTCTTGATAGTCACAGGGTAGTGATGTATCATTTTGCAGCAGCTTGGTTGTTCAAGTGATAAGTGTTAAAGGTTTGGTTTTCAAATCACAAATGTCTGACTCTAACTTTAGGCAGCACGGTGTAGGCTGTTGCTGCATTACATGTAACAAATTCTTGTTCTGTTAACTCAGTGTTCCGTAGGATGACACGCATGTATGACATGTGTGAACTTGTGCGGATGCAGCAAAGTCTCTGTAATCAATATACATGTAGACTTTTTTCACCCATGTGACTGGATTGCGCCAAATGTAAACAATACCACCATGTGTAGACCGCCTTGGCCATGGTGATGGCACACATTCCTACGGGCAGCTTCAACCGCGTGCAAGGGCACGCGTGAATGCTGCATGCTTGACTAGTTTATCTTGAATAGGGACAACACTATGCACGCATTACCATCAAAACACATCATACATGTAGGTCCAGCGTGATTGTGACATCACAGCAAAAAGGTCAATAGAGTTTCCGTACAAAACACAAACTTTACACAAGTTTGGCCACAGAGGATGTGCATGTATCATGCAAGCACTAGTTTTACAAATGAATATGGGGGCACAGTTCTAAGTTGCTCCTTAATAGTATGCCAGGGTCATAAACCAGCCCTTGCTGTGTTTTCATTAATCATATAAAATCCATTTCTTACAGTACATCACAGTGAAGCCTGACCAGATAGCCATTCTGGAAGGCATAGCCATCCCCTGGTGTTCCAATTGTAGCCTGGCAGCCACACAGCAAGCCGTCGGTATTGTCGGTGCCGTCATCATGCCCCACAACATCTATCTTCACTCTGCTCTTGTATTGGTAAGCCAGGCTGGGCGTATAAGCCTCATTGGGGATGCATTTGAATCTCCCCTGGGTAGACTCGATTGTATTGCCCTGTGTTGATCTGATATTATTTTTACACCTCGTGTGGGATAGCCACAACAGAAGTCTGAGTGGGTTATTGGTAAGCTTTCTTGATGGCACAACACAGATTTGTAGCCTGTTGTCTTACAGTTAATATAAATGGTGGAGAATTGAAAAAGTTGGGTAGCTTTAATCTTCTACCTTGTTTTAGTTCTACATTGAATTCCATTGGTGGGAGTTTGAATTGATTGTGGTGAACCCCTTTAAAAATTATGCCATTCACAACCCTAGGATTTCTGTAACGTGAAATCAAGTTCAAAAGTGGAGTAAAGATGTTTGTTTGTATATTTTTAGGCATGAATCAGAGGTAAAAACAAAAGATTTCTTATGACTACCGGTACTCAAGTCAAAAACCCACTTCTGATAAAAGAGAAAGAATACATGTATGTCAACGCATTTGAAACCAGAGTGATTTTGGAAAATCACCTTCTATTGGGACGATTGCTTTGGTGAAATCTAAGAATTTTCTGAAATAGTATCAAATCTGTTACATAACTTGAATGAGAAAATCAATTATAAAGTAGCATTACATGTATATAAATGCCTGCCTAGTGGTGGACAGTAATAGTGATAAAGGACCCACAGTCAGCCTAATTAGAGAATCATGATGATTTAACACCTTTGATGCTTTCTTACAGTCCCGCAAAGTACTTCACAATAGGAAAGACAAGGTTAAAGAGGCCAACAAGTATTACTCTATTGAATCAGGTTGGTATACGATGCTTTAAAAGCACCTAAATCCGTTGCAAATGCTACTAAATTTTTGCGTATGTGATCATATTTTCACCATACGGTTGCCATTTGCGACATAAGATAGCTTAAAAACTACATGTACATACCAAATGTACTTGAACTATTTTAAGTATGCTTAAAGATCAAAACAGAAATGATTATGTAGTCAAAATTCATTCTGGAAAAGTAGAAATGGCAGCGCAAGTTGCATCGTGAATTCAAAGCTTACCGTGTGTGTTCTATATGTGCACCAGGGCAGCGCAAGTTGCGTTGTGAATTCAAAGCTTACCGTGTGCGTTGTATATGTGCACCAGGGCAGCGCAAGTCGCATCATGAACTATGAATCATTTCCTTGAGAGTGAAATGATGACTTTTTGAACCTCACTGATTATTTAGAAATAATTCCTTGCTCTAGAGTCCAGCTATTTGACTGATTTCTGTTAGGGTATACTGACTGACATTTTGAAGTAGATTCCTTATTCCCCTGAGAACCATAGGTCTCTTTTGATTTACAGATTCACTTCAAACACTTCTCTCTATTAATTGTTTTCTTTTTCTCTTTGGTTTCCTTGCAGCCATCGCCTTGTTCATGTCGTTCCTGATCAACCTGTTTGTGGTGGCTGTCTTTGCTGCGGCATTCTACGGCAAACCAAACCCTAGTCTGAAAACTGCTGTGAGTACTTGAACCCAAACCCCCCAGGGATCATTGAAATTATGCAAAACCTTACTGGATTTGACATGGTTAAGCTCAAAACACAGAAAGTGATACCTTTTTTGTCATAGTGATGAAAAATAATGCCAGTCCCACAAATTGACAAGTTACACAAACTCAATCCACTATCTGGCTTTGCTGGCATACTGACAATAAGAGTAACGTAGTGTGGTATTACCTGTTGTAGTTATCTGTAATTTTCAGTTCAGTCAAACTTCAATTTAGTTCAAGGCTCAACTTGCAAATTTATAATTTTTATGTTATATCCATACTCAAGCACATGCTTGAGTATGGATATTTATATATTTATATGCATAGTCTTGAGCTGCAGAAGTTAATGATGTGGAGGTTGCCTTTTGATGATCTTCATTGTTGTGGGGTCATGTTACATTTAATACTTTGTCTTGCTCCTTACCAATTTGATACTACAAGCGTTATCATGGTAACAGAGAGGCAGGAAGAAATGTCTTGGGCATATTTGGAATGGAGTCAAATCTACAACCCTCCGGTCAATAAAATCCTGAGGTTATTACCATGCCCAACACAGTACTAGGATTTAGCACAGAGCAAACTTGGAAATGTAATGGCCTGTTGTGGGGATTGGGCTACATGTACATTTGGGGGCTTTTTGAAATGCTTTTTGAAGGGATGCAAATGAAATAGCCAAGAAACTTTGCCTTCATCTCATTATTGTTCCAAAAATGGGGGGCGGGCTCTTTTTCAAGTGTTCATCTGAAATGGCTAAACCCCTGATTTAATCTTTGATTTGAAAAAGGTTTAAATCATTTTTTTTCATAAAGGGTGAGTGGATTTATAGGAAATATGGCGAAGGCTTGAAAATAATCTGGGGCATAGGCTTGCTGGCTGCAGGCCAAAGTTCGACTATGACGGTGAGTTTTGTCATTTATTTTTGTTGTATTAAACGCAAATGTGTGTGTGTTTAATTGTTTCTCATCACAGCCACTTCCCAAGTGAAATGCCATCTGGAAAATGGCATTAATGTTAATGTATGGAGTTAGACTCCCAGTTTTTGTTACACATCTTTGGAATAGAACTGAGTGTGCTATAGGCTGTAAGTTTAAGAAGCAGTGGTTTTCGTATCTTATGTAGATTTAATTATAAAGGTGAACAAAGAAATCGACTGGAGCAGGATTTGAACCATTGAACTGAGGGCTGGATTTCTCAATTGGTATAGCATTGGTACAGTGTTATGGTGGTCGCAGGTTCAAATCCCACTCCTAATCAATTTGTTTTATCTGTGCACTTAATGTGTGAGCACCTAGTCAGTGTACCTGTTTGGGTTGTCTGATGGTCCAGTAACATTTATTGAGACATTTCATATTTGTAAGAGATAAATTGTTAAAATTTCAACATATTTTGTGACTGATTTCTTTCTTTCATTGTTTGCCATAGGGAACCTATGCTGGGCAGTTTGTCATGGAGGTAAATGTTTGGAGTTTTCAATTCGTTTAATTTTCTGCTTTTGCTCATTAATCTTTATTGAAAAGATGCATTGCATTTATTTATTTTAATTTTTAAACGAAAATCTCATAATTTTAAGATATTAAAAACCATTGTTTCAGTAAGTACCATTCCTTTACTTCATGTAGCTTCTGCTAATGTGACACCCGATGTTTTGCTGTGACAAAATAGTGAAATAAGATTTATGGTACTGCCGATCTAAAGAAGTTTGTTTTGTTGTGATTTCAGGGCTTCTTAAAGATCCGTTGGCCCAAATGGCGGCGTGTGCTACTGACGCGCTCCATCGCCATTATACCCACTATATTTGTCTCAGTGTTTGCTGTGGGGACGTTGGACGTCCTCGATAACCTCCTTAATGTCCTTCAGAGCATCCAGTTGCCATTTGCCCTTCTGCCTGTCCTGCATTTCACCAGCAGCAGACGGATCATGGGAGATTTCAAGAGTGGCAGGTAGGATGGCGGGTATATCAATCTTACCAAGACTTTAGCCCCCAAATTTGTGATATAAATCTACTAGGGCCCAACTTAATGGAATTTTGTGCTGGCTCGAATTCACTGAGTCCGAAGCATGCAGGAATCAAGTAATCTCATCACAGATTCCTTTATACTTGTGTACTCGATTGATTTGTTGTTAACTGCAAATTTGCTTACACTGGTTACAGAAATAATCACAGTACAATTTCAGAATGAAACTGATTTTGTGACTTAGTGTTTCGCACATCAAGTCTTAATAAATTCAAACCTGGACATGTATGATTTCACACAAACTCAAACACACAAACCATGTATAACATAGATACGAATTGTGTCAGATGTATACTCAGTTGGCAAAATTTGAAACACTGCCAGCATTTGCTTAATTTTCTTGCTCAGCCAGGAAATTTACTAACCATTAGTGTAGAAATGTTTACAATCCCTACTATTGGATGTTAGTCTTTTGTGTCTTCCAGGATCACCAAGTTTATTGTCTGGTGTCTCGGCATCTCCATCATGGGCATCAACTTCTATCTGGTCTATCAAGTGCGTGTTCAATCATGTTATCTCTCTGCAGTAGAAGTCATATCTAAGCACCTAATACCCTACACTTTGGCCTGAATGCCTGAGGCCAGGATAATTGATAGCATTTTTAGTTGGACAAAAGAATTAGCAAAAGTAAGAGCATTGGGCACATCTGTCACTGATTAGGTTGTTAGTCTTATGATAGGCTACGAAAATGTCTAGTCTTTTTGAAAAAGACATAGTTTTGAACTTTCCTCAGAAATTTTTCTTTTGGAGAAGTACTGAAAAATAAGGTGATTCCTACTTGTGTAGAAGGTGGACTTATCTAGTTGTCAGTTCTGTTTTGTTAATCTTACTTCGCTAGGTTTTGTCCACAAATTTTAAGGAAAATGTTATTACGCAAATTTAGAAGCCCATATGATGAGTTGGCCTATCATGTTTTGTAATTTTTGGATTTGTTTCTAGGAGATAGAATCCACTCCAGCTTGGGTGTATGTCGTCGTGAGTCTCATTGGTGCTGTATATGCATTTTTTGTTGGTTATTTGGTAAGCATTGGCTGCTCCGTCTAATTACAACGTCTCATTCTCTGACAAACGTGAAGTGGACCAGTGGGTCTCAGAATTCTAATTTTGCAGTATTTCAATAACCTAGTAATACTCTTTCTATTACATCGTAAAATTAACGTAGTTCTTGAATTTTTTTTTTTTCAGGCAATTGGGACAAAGAGTGCCTACAGACTACAGGTAAGGTGGATCTGTTGTGTAGCTGTTTTTTCTGTCGCTCTAGTTAATGTTGGTTTACCCTGGATAATCAGCTATCTGGGAAAAGATCCCTTGCATAGTGATCGGCCAAGCATTCCATTTTTCCCTGTATAAATGGGACATGTGTTTTCAAGGGTTACATTAAAACTTACATTATGATGGCCCTTTTATAAATATGAAGCTTATGTATATCAGTAACCAACCCCAGGTTAATAATACTTTTTTACTTGACATCTGATTTCTGTTCCAGTACTATCTCCTTTCTTTGATTAAACGGCGGCCAGAAATCGGCGTCTTTGAATGGGTGTGCAATAGGCCTGTGTATGTACAGACGCCTATCGGTGCGGACTGCCCAAGTAAGAAATTTAGAAAATTTTGAGAAATCTTGACTTGCTTTGTTTGAAGTTGCATTCAGTGCTGAAGTTGTGATCCATTCCTGTTTCTGTCCTATTGGTATAATAATCATGATTGAGTCAGTTCAATATTTTTGGGGGATCTGGGATTGTAAAGGCTCAAGACTCCTCAATTTTTCTGCAACTTTGTATTCTTCTTCACTGTATGAAAACTCTTACATTCCGTTTGGTTAAATGTTTTGAAAAGTGCTCTTTTTTAAATACTTACAATTATCCATGCTTTCCTTGACAAGTGAGGGCGCACTCTGTGATGTCACCCAGGGAAGACCTGGGCCGTTTTCCAATACTCGACTTTGGCTCCGTCTCAGGTTTGAATTTTTTTTACTACCTGACTTTGAAGTTGTAAATACTACCTGATTTGAAGTTGTAAGTGCAATAATAAGTCAGATAGTGTCACAAAACATCAAGTGAGATGCAAAGGAGCCAAACATTACAGAACTTCAATTTAATTTAAACGCTTCAGGCCCACAATCGGGCTTGGTTTCAAAGACGAAACCTGAGATGGAGATGAAGTTGAGTATTGGAAAATGGCCACAGTTTAGTGCATACATTTAGGTTTTACTGTTAAAATTGTGAACCCAGAAGTTACACTCTGATAATACATGTAGTTCTGATGAGATTGATGTTTGCTTATTGCTAGGTACTGAAACAAAATGAATGAGCAAAGAAGAGAAAATGTACAGACTTAACATTAAAGTTTCTTGCTGGAAGGACATCACAGTTTGCTCTTCAATATAGATATGCTCAGCGTAAAATCAAAACAGTGGTAAAACTCCCTTTTAAATAGCGAAACAAAGCTTGAAAATAAGGTTTTGAACTGAGACATAAGAGTGCATTTTGATAATTTGTATTGAAACAAATTGATTGCAGCTACCCTTTCAAAAAAAAAAGGTGAAAAAACATTCCTAAGGACAGGACTTCAGGATGATTAAAAAGCTGGTGTAAATTTCCATCAGTTTTAGAATGTTCCATTCTGACTTTCCATGTCTCAAAGTCACTTTATCAGTTCGGTTAAGTAACCATCTGAGAGGACCCAAGATGTTATACCTACTCCAGCTAAAGTATTGTGCTAAAAAACATATTTCAGTGATGTACATGTACCAAGTACTCACGGTATTCATTTTGCTACCCTCAGTAGATGACACCAACCCCCCTTCACAAGTGAGTGTGGTGACTAGATTTATCATTTCTAATTTGAACACCGTTTTCTTTTCACAGTAGAGGCACAAGAAAACGCAGCACCTTCAACTGTCACCCCGCATTCGTCTTGTGTAGAAAATAATATTGAAGTGGCTGTGTCAAAGGATGCTGTGTGATTCACGATAGAAGCTAAGTCACCTATTGGCATTTCTCACTCTACAGAAGTAGATTTTGTAAAAATTCGACCAGCTTCAATCTTGTTGTTATTGAGTACGTGTATTGAAATGTGAACAAATTATAAAATGCTCATAATCTTCTACATTGAGGTTGGTTAGGGTCAAGATTTTGGATATATGTATCGTTAGTGGGTAATTGAAAAGGAGTTTTAATTCTTCGTGTTAAAACCCTGTCCGTGTGTGTTCAATTTTTGTTGATGCAGATTGTTGATGATTAAACCATATACAAAATCAGTTGCAATAATGCACACAATGTACATTATGATCGCTATCATAGCTTCTCACGTCTAGGAGTATCTCCAGCCACTATTTAGAAAGATTTAAGATACCAACAATACTTCTTGCCCTGTTGAAAATTTCTATTCCTTGTAAATTTTTTAATGAATAATTCACTTTTTTGAGTTGTAAGATTTCTGTTGCTTTTCGTTTGAATCTGCTTGTAATTACTCCCATTTAAACCAAGAGGAAATTCTCCCTTCCTTTTCATGAATTTTGCATTCGATTATTCAAATTTGGAAAATAATATTCTAGTATTCGATAATTGATCGGATATTTGGCACAGCCCGAAGAAAATCGCATATTTTTACAGATTTTCAAATGGTTTGTGATTTTTATGGGTTTTCAAAGGTAAATATTTCTGAATTCTATGCAAATTTTGTTCAGGGAATATTTAAAAACTGTTTCAAAGTGGCTTTATAACAAGCAAGAAAGAGGTCAAGAAACTAGCAATTGTACTGTTTTTTAAAATCTTATCCACTAATGCTGCCTTGAGGTATTTTTCCTTTTTATTTTTTCCCGTGTTGTCAGATTTTAACGGTCAAAAGAGCGTGTTACTCCTGTTAACACAAAAATGATCGCATGATTAGTTAATCGCACGATTATTTTAAGATAGCTGAGAAGTCAGTCATTTCTGTTTGTCCAGTGAAATCCCAGAGCAATGCTCTAGCAACTTTTCTGCACCCGAAGCATCAAGAGTAAGGCATGTACATGTGTCTCCAAAATGAACCTGAAAAACCTTGTTCTTCCAAGTTTTTGGAGACCACTTTTCGATTTTGATATTTTTAATGCATTGTGTGCTCTACTGTTGTCCTTGCATGGTTGAAGTTGAGACAGCTATCTTTGAGGAAAGCTTTGTGAAAATAATGGATTGATACTGATTACAAACAGAAATTACCACAGGAGTACAGCAATGACTCTTCCTTCAGTACCTTATTTTGATACCAATTTTTATATCTTGTTTTTTATTATACTGGGAGTTACTCTACCCATGTCAGAATGAATATTACATATAGTACTTATGTTAGTACCTGTAAAAATATTTTTCACATCACATCTGTTATGCTGTCACAGACTTGGTATTGAACTTTCTCAACGAGAACAGTTCGGAAGGTTTATGATGGTAAAATTGTAAAATTGGCTATCACATTTAAAATTTTGAAAAGCTTGTGACTTGAGTCCAGACTACAGGTCTGGCAGTGGTCCTGCGGGTTCTTGTGATCATCTTAAGAGGTCATCAGAAAATGACGACAATCGTGGTTTCTTTGTGTAACACATTATATGCCTACTGTATGAACAGTGGGATTACTAATGCCTCGTTTAAATTATCACCCACAGGTCAGGTGTGTGGCATCTGCATTTGCAAAGATCAATGTTTGTACATATGCAGCAAGGTATGAGACGGAGAGAACCCCTCTGCTTTGTGTTGGTCATTGTCTCGCAGGAATCTGGGGAATTCCTTTCAGACATCTTGGGGGGATGTGTGAAGTAACAATAGTCTGGAATGTGTATAGGGGTTGGACATGTTGGGGGGGTACCCCTCGGTCTCATTTCTTGCTGGGTATATGTTTGTGAACCAAAAAGTGGAAAGCTGTGAAAAGTCTGTATAAAGGTACATGTACAATGACAAAAGGGCAAGTCCAGGACTTCCCAGGGCAGCCGTTGAACAACAGATTATCCAGAAACTGAACTGACTGCATTCAGGCAGTGAATAGAGACACTGGCTTCATTTTGTACACACTACAAGGATTAATCCCACCCCTACCATGTGTGTCCCTACTCATTACATCTGATGAAGTAGTTGTTGCTGTGAAAGCTCATGCAGTCTTCAAGTTTCTCCAAAGTTTAAGAGTTCATCTACTTTGAGGGCTCCTTATCACTCTAAGGAATATAAAGCAGTGAAGAGGTTTTCATAAAGTGTCATAATATTCATCCATGTGCCAGACTTATCTTTTTTTTACTTAATGCATTTTTATGAGGTACAGGGTTGCCTATAGCATGCAGTCATTGTTGACTTATTTCACTTGTTTTGCTGTTGTGTATTTATGTTTTCGTTTAGAAAGTGTTGTTTTGAATTGTGGGTTATGCTGTGTGATTCAGGGATGGTGCATTGTTACGAGGTACAGGGTTGCCTATAATGTGCAATTTTTTATATGTACATGTACATATATGCAAGAGCTGCAGTCTTGCGGTGTGGAGCTTGGAACTTGAGAATTGTGGATATGTCTGCCATTTATGGGTTCAAGTCCGGCCTGCTGGATTGCTTGTGTTTCAAGGCAAGGCATGTTGCCACTTTTTCCACTCTGGAATGTGGGTGAGATGAAGAGATTATTTTGTGTGTGAGTTTGGAATGACATTTTGGGCCAAAATAGCCGATTCAAATTGTCTGTTTCCCATGGAGGAGAGATAGAATTAACTGTTTTATGGATAGAATGACAAGGGGTAATGAATGCAACATCTCGTGTGCCAACCACTGATGTGGATTTGAATCGTGTGCTGAAATGATGCATTAAGACTGGTCGGTGAATTTGATATCACAAATTTGCAATGAAATTTGCTGGAGTTGAAATGTGTTCAACTTTTGGAAAATGGCAGCTAGAACATTTAATCTGATATTACAAGTTTGCTTTCATATTTGCTTTGGCGTCAAGTTTGAACCAGTCTTAGTTATCATTATTATGGTTTATTTAGCGGTATTTTCCGTCTTTTGCTTTGTCTTGCATATTTAGCTAATAGATCAAGAGCATTGCTATGAGGTAGAGAGTTACCCATCAAATGCAATTCAGTTATTGTACTCCTGTAAGTAGATATTTTAATGAACCATTGCCAAGTTTTATTTTCCATTTTCCCCATGTATTGTACTGCTGGTAACAGGCAGTTCGTGATATCTGATTAAAAAAGAAAAAAAGGGCAGTATAGGTAAATCATGAAATGTAATGCAATAATAAGCATTCCAAAGCCCTTAAAATATTTTAGTAGTTTGTGCAGTGCTGAGGTGGTTTACTTTTGGTAAGAGGGCTTTTTTATTGTGTTTGTACCAAGTGTGCCACTTGAAAATGCTTTAATGCAAAAAGATTCAATTCGCATTGTAATAATAGATCTCTGTCCTGATGATGCCATGCTTTATGTGTGTGCGTTCCGTTGGTGCCCAGTGGACCATGGACTCCATCTAGCTCTGTAGGAAAGCGCACAGGTAAACTTTTAAGAATGTGTGACCTCAGCAGTACATACAATGTACATGTACATGTAGGCCTATTGTGACTAGAACTGGGTAGAATTTTATCACGCTGAAAATTGGCAGCTGCCAGAAGCAGAGCCCATAAGACCAGAAGCCAAGATAACTATGGCGTCGCTTTTACCAATAATTGCATTTGTATGAATATTTCTATGACTTCAAGCTTATTCCTTGTAGTCCTTTAATGACTAGTATTTGATCAAGTTCCCCCCCCCCCAAATGGTTACCCCTCCTTTTTATTCAGTGAATGCACAGCTTCTGAAACAATACTACCACCTTTTTGAGGTGGGGTAGGATTTATTTATGAAACACTTTGCCATTTGTAGAGAAAAAACTCTTTGGCCCCCATAATCAAAACCTAGATATGCCACCGCACGTGTTCCAAATAAGTACATGTAATGGACAAGTCTGCAGTTCGATACTTTGCTACAATGTTATGTGGCCCATGTGTGGATGCAGTTCAATGGGGTATTGCATCTGTGCATGCTAAACAAGCAAGCTACACTGTGAACGCTGAAATTTCAGGAATCTTCCTACCTAGGACGGAGTGTCTGCAGTGGGCACCAAGCCAAGAATGATAGGCATCACAACTGCAAGTTTGACTTGCCTGCAGTTCCAGTTTGACTGTGTCCCAGAGTAATTAAGATACCGTCTTCCAAAATGATAAAATGTCAAATGCTCATTTTTTTAATGATCATTAACCTCTTCATGATGTATATGTATCTGTGTATTTGTAGGGAGTGAAGGATACCTTGGGAGTAAGACAAGAAGGAAAAACGCATTCTTTAATTTTTATTATACATGTAGTGTTATGAAACATTCCTGAGCCCTAAAGTGTTTTGGGGTTTTTTGCATTTCTACAGATCTGACTTGCATTCAGTTGCAATGTTGCATATATCCCACAGGAATTAATTTCTTGTCTTTCAAAATGGTAAAACTGTCCAAATTCCACACTGAGCGTACATGATTTTTTTAAGCCAAAGAATCAAAGTGCATCAAAGAACCGAGTGTTTTTCAATTGTGGCTAGAAGGTATCTTATCTCAAATCTTTGCCTGATATAAAGTATTTGTATATTTAGCAGAAAGTGATGGGTAATTTGGGAGTAAGATGACAAGCTTAATTGAAGTAGAAACATACACAGATGATTCTCAATAACAACAAGTGTTTGGTGTTTGTCAAACAGCTAAATTTATTGCTTTTCACTTTCAAATTTACATTGTATCACACTGAAAAGTGTAAAATATATGTCAAACAATTAGTTTCTGAAGTCGGTGGTTCTTTGGTTGAATACCATTGCTTGTGTATGAAATGGACGGAGAGTAAAGGTTTCTCAAAACACAACCTAAAAATACCACGTACATTAAAAAAAGTAGGAGACAGGGCTTTTTCTGTTGCTGGACCCAGATGCTGGAACTCATTACCTCTTAGTATTCGTAACTGCAACTCCCTACAACAGTTCGAATGTAAACTTAAATCTCATCTGTTTCCACTCTAGGTTTTGGTCATTTGCTCCCACTAATTTTGTCTTAGCACCTGGTTTACTTTCCTGCAGTTGCTTTTTTTCCCAGTGCATTAAAACCTTCGGAAAAATGCGCTTTACAAATATTATTATTATTTCTGATGGACGGATTCTGAATTTTTTAAAATGCTTGTCGGTGAAATCTATGTACTTAGCCCACTTGGTTGTAATATATAAAAAAATCATTTGAAGGATTGTGAACTACAAGGCACTATCACAGTAAATATGACGACAAGTGTTGATGGTTGATTCAAGTTGAAATGTCAACCCCTCCCCAAAAAAGTCAAAACATTTTTTTAAAACCTGTTCGCCAAAAAATTAAAACTGAAATTGAGGAAACATTTATAACGTCTTGTGTAGTATTTGTGTGAGGTTATTTGAGGTTCAGTTCAGCAGGGTTGGGCAAAAGTGCATACTTTTGTCAATCCCAGAATCCCAGTTCCCTTCAAGGAATACTGATTTCAAAACAATTTTATCAGATTATTGTTCTGTGAGTGGAAGATTACAGCAAGGTTGGTGACAGTTTTCAGAATGCTTACTTATTTACAGTCTGCAAGGCTTTACACGCACATGTTTCTTTTACGTATAACTGTTGGTCAATCCCAACCCATCAAATTCAATGTACAAAACATCCTTCTCGAAAATATTTACAAAAGTGTTCTATTTAACCTGCTAATTAATGCAAAATAAAATTTGGTCAACCAACACTCAACAAGATACAGATTAGTCTTGGCCAAAAATCACCCATAAGGCACACCAACTTAGAATAAAATATAACAAATTCTTTATGAAAACTTTGCAAACAGCAAACGGAATAACATTTACAAGTGAAAGGGTAATACTTAAATAAAAATAGGTGGCTTAATCTCTCATACGCAAACTTACAAGTATATGGTCATTTAAAAACAGCTTTGTGCATGACACATTAAATAACAATCTGTACTTTTTTGGAATGAATCAAAGTTTAACAACAGACTTTAGCGTCTAAATTTTGTGTTTAATTTCTGCCAGCAACTGCTTGTTGGCTGACAGATTTGTCAAGAATTTGAATGCTGTCCTTGTGAGTAATTTGAACATTGGAAGGTAAATACAGCAGGGCCTTGTTTCTATTCGTTGAGCTGGCAGAGTAAAGCTGAGCCCTTGGAGATCCAGTAATCCTGAGGTTGATTGGACGGAAGATGGACGGCCACCACAAAGTTGGTGGAGTGACCTGGAGAGCAGAGAAGAGAAGACGAGTGAGCCGTGCTGATTGTTCAAAGTTGTGAACCCCCTTTTTTTCTCTTGCAATTGCTGTGGCAAACACTTGTACTATGACCAAGTCCAGTGTTCACTTTAAAAAATCTTAGCTATTGACGATGTTTTTTTAAAACCTGCTGCGACTAAACAAGCCATAACATTTCTCCGTTGTTTTTAATTTATAGAACATGAAGCAAAAGCAGTGGAGTCCATTATAATTCCTTTCACAAGTCCAAGTCCTGTTGCAAGACCAGTCAAAAGTAATGAGTGAACAATGACAAAGGAATACTTTGGTAACAGTTCATTTGAACAGCTTCCGACATCTTTAAGACGGGATGACATGTGATGGACTTGTGATACTCAACTACACAACACTTGCTGAAGGATGAAGAACTGCCTTTCTGCAGTGCATATAGTTTTTAAAATGACACAGATGTTTGCAGATTCACAAATTTTGCAGAAGTTGCTCAAACAAAATGCCCTGTGATCAGCAAGGTATGCCGGAAATTTTGTGCAAGTCTTAAAGGCCCGAGTGGAATTGGGAAAAGCTTCCTTGAGTTCTGATCCAAAGGGGCTGGTATGATCACAGATTAAGGTTCACTACAGGAAATTGACTCATTGCAAAGTGCTGAATCCAACTAGTCAAAAGAGACAGCCTGGTATAGGAGAGATGGGAAACATGAGATGAACCTCTCAGGGGAAAAAAAAAATGGCCAACCTGTTGTGGAGAGCGTGCCGGCCCTCAGCCCCGTCTTGTACAGTGGGCTGATGTAGTCGGCAGGGTCAGGGCTAAAGTTCATCTCGGGCTCCATCAGCATGACGGGCAGCGGCGGGTTCATCTCGCCCGAGCGCGAGTCGGCCAGGGTCATCTTCTCGTCGTCCCAGCGGCAGGCGTCCATGAACAGCCCGTGCACCAACACGCCGTTCTCGGGCGTGGGAAGCTATTGCAGGAGTGGGTGAAACGAGTCAATGATCAAAGAAAATTGCACGGCAAGCATGACTGCAAGATTAGGACAAATGCTGCATCCAAATTACACTGTGTGTAACCTCTTGTCACATTATGCATACACACACCTGGTATATCTCATGAACCTCACGTGACTCATTATAACTCATGTAAACCTAATGTTCAGATTATCAACACCTCAGTAACTTGGAACACACATGATGTCATTGGATGGTGCAGACGTGTTAAGGCCGGTTCATACTTCATGTGAAAGCAAAACACAAACGAAGATCTGTGACGTCAGATGAAATATTTGTGCCGTGAATTTGCAAAGTTGAATACACTCCAACTCGAGCATGACGTCAAATTCACTTCCCTTTCACGTTCACCTGTAGTAAGAACCGACCTTCAGGTGGGTGAGGATCCAACAAAAAAAGCAACAACCAGTCAACTGCAGAAATTGTGGTTGGACTTGTGGCCAAAGAACAAAGCAAACTCTACACACAAAGTCATTCGTGTTTTTATTATAAGGGAGATAATTATGCAGTTAACAAAAAAGAAAAAAAAATTTGCTGTGAAACAGGTTACTTATTATTTCAAAGCATGCACAGGCAAAGAAACCAAAGGTGCTTATGGCATGTTTGCTTAGGTTTAAAGCAAACGGGTCAGGAGGGATTGAGTCAATACGTTAAGTGTTCCAAGTTATTCCTCAGAGAGATGTGAAATTGCACAGCCGTTTGGAGTGCCAAAGCAAAAAGAAGACAGACATGCAGTCGTGCACACCCAAACCCACTCCACATGCACGTCTCTCTTCTTCTGAGGACCCTTAAACACTTTTACCCTGATCCATATATGGTAGGTGCCATTGAGACCAAGCATTTTCATAAAAAATCGCATAAAATTTGGTTCCCTTCATGTAAATATTGCTTGAAGCATCAGCTCTGTGTGCCTCACGGCTGACACACCAATTGTGTGCGTGTGTAGTCTTGGTCTCAAGACGCTGTTGAAATACATGCAACGATCCCCTGCCATGAAGGGCCTCGTATCACAACGAACCACAATTACCCAATTTACTGTTGTTGGTGGTTCATGGGCGATAGAAGTCTGTTTTCAAAACACCCCCTCACGGTGGGATGTTGTGCACACATCTACAACTTCTTGAAATCAAGACTAGGGCAGGTACAAAATAACAGGGCAAGTGGTCAGACCCCACAGGGTTATTATCCAAATGTCTGGTGGAGAGTGGTAAGTGAGATTCTGTTGAATGAGTTTGACTGCAAGTAATTTTGCAACCAGTTGATCACTGGACAGATTGAGCTTTGAGTCCTCCAAAACAAGTAGGAGTTCAAACTTTGAGTCTGAGTAAATGGAGGAACTTTTTTGGAACAATTTGAAAGAAAAATCTGGACCGGATGTGAAAGTACTGTCACCTTCAACCATAAATTTCAAGGTGAACTTTGTGTGTTGCAGTAATGAAGCACACATGCACTCATCATGGGGAACACACCGCACAAATCTCAATGGCATGAGCAGACTGTGTTGACAATCATGGTTT